CTGACATTCCAATATTAGTGATGTAGATCCTGGTGGTGTGGATCAGTGAGTTGGTGTCTTGCTAGCTCTTAGCGAACAGCTTTTTGTCATCCACGTAGAGGAGGTGGCTGATTGTGGTTCCATTCTTGAGTTTGTATCCATAGCTAGTCTTGTTGTTTATTTGACTGAGGGGGTTCAGATGTATGCAGAACAGCAGTGGGGACAGGGTGTCTTCTGGCGTTCATGGAGTGCAGTGAGATTCTTAAGCCAGTAGGTCATACATGAGACTCTTTCTTAGATGTCTGCCATAGTGGATACTGGGGTCTCCTTCTCCCAAATTTCCTTTCACTACTGTTTAGTCTCCAGCCTTTGTGGGTCTGCTTTGTTGTTATTATTACCCTGCCATTGAGAGTACACTTTAGCTGGTTGAGTCGAGAAGAGACGTTATTTATTTATTTATTTATTTTGCCTGGCTTCTCTTTCTCTTGTGTGTTTCTTTAGACTGCTGGTGAGGCTTTGAACCTTTGTTTGACAATTTCCAGTGCTTCAGGTATTGGTTTCTGGCTGTAGCTCTTGGGTACTGTTCTTCTTCTTGTGCACTGACAGTTGGCTCATTTCTGTCCATACTGTCTTGATTTTGGCCTCCAATTCCATGGCAAGTATTGATTCTCATAGTTACTCATGCTCTTATAGCCAAGCATCTCAAGGATCACTGCTGCTGAAGTGTATTTCAGCTCCTTGGTTTCTGTGGGAATCATTCTCAATGCTGCATTCACATATTCAAGGATTCTGATGGTACTTCACTCAGCCATTGTAGGCATTGGGGTTGCCTGGTGTTCATTTGTTTTGATTGCTCTCATCTTTGTATGAGGTAGGGAAAAGTGCCAAGGGTCTTGCCTATCTACCCACACTGGTCTGAGATGATTCGAGCTGTATGACATGGTGTATTATTCTGCTGGAAGTAGCCATCAGAAGATGGGTACACTTGTGTCATAAAGGGATGGACATGGTCAGCAACAATACTCAGGTAGGCTGTGGCTTTGCAACGATGATCAGTTAGTCCTAAGGAGCCCAAATTGTGCCAAGAAAATGTCCACCACACCATCAGGCAGGATGGATCCATGCATCCATCCATCCACTTTGTTGACACCAAATTATGACCCTACCATCCGAATGTCGCAGCAGAAATTAAGACTCATCAGACCAGGCAACATTTTTCCAATCTTGTATTTTCCAATTTTGGTGAGCCTGTTCAAATTGTAGCCTCAGTATCCTGCTCTTAGCTAACAGGAGTAGCACCCAGTGTGGTCTTCTGCTGCTGTAGCCTATCTGCCTCAAGGTTTTTTGTGTTGTGCGGTCAGAGATGCTATTCTGCATACCTTGGTTGTGACCAGTTTTTGAGTTACTGTTGCCTTTCTATCATCTCAAATCAGTCTGACCATTCTCCTCTGACGTTTGGGACCATCAAGGCATTTTTGTCCACAGAACTGCTGCTCACTGGATGTTTTCCCTTTTTCTGACCATTCTCTGCAAACCCTAGAGATGGTTGTGTGTGACAATCCCAGAAAATCAGCAGTTTCTGAAATACTCAGACCAGCCTATCTGGCACCAACAACCATGCCATGTTCAAAGTCACTTAAATCATCATTCTTCCCCATTCTGAAGCTCGGTTTGAACTGCAGCAGATCGTTATGCCAACATGCATAAATGCATTTAGTTTCCACCATATGATTTGGTAGTCATTTGCGTTAACGAGCAGTTGGACAGGTGCACCCAATAAAGTGGCCAGTGAGTCAGTCAGTCAGTCAATCATCTATCTATCTATCTATCTATCTATCTATCTATCTATCTATCTATCTATCTATCTATCTATCTATCTATCTATCTATCTATCTATCTATCTATCTATCTATCTATCTATCTATCTATCTATCTATCTATCTATCTATCTATCTATCTATCTATCTATCATCTATCTATCTATCTATCTATCTATCTATCTATCTATCTATCTATCTATCTATCTATCTATCTATCTATCTATCTATCTATCTATCTATCTATCTATCTATCTATCTATCTATCTATCTATCTATCATCTACCATCTACCTACCTACCTACCTACCTACCTACCTACCTACCAATCCTACCTACCTACCTACCTACCTACCTACCTACCTATCTATCTATCAGTCATTTATCCCTTGAGGTCCACGTGGCATTGTCACTTTACGAGGAAGGTTAGGACCCAAAGTGCAGATTATCCAGACGAAAAGAGGCTGGAGATGATGTAAAGTAAATATGCTTTATTTTGCAGGACGAACAAAATAAATCCAAAGGCAGCGAGCCAAAATTCCAAAAATCCTGGTAACAAGAACAAAAGCTCACTGAGAGCACCAACACCTGGAGACATAAGCTCACATAGAGCACAAAACAACACTGACAAACATACAATGGACCGACATAAAACAGAGACAAGACAGGGCTTAAATACACAGGGATGAATAATTAGGGAAACAGGCAGCAGGTGTGTGGAATGAGGGCTGGAGGGAAGGCAGCTGACACAAATGATCCAAATGGGGAAACAGAACCAGTGAAGGGCAGATAAACCTAAACATAAAACTAAACCTAAGACTGAGGGAAGGACTCACACACACACACACTCAATCACACATATACTGAGCAAGAGGCTGGAGCTACAATTGGAGGGACTGGGGATGACTAAATGAACACTGGACCTGAGGGAATGATATGAATGCCTACAAACAGAAGACACATAAATGAGACGCAGACAAAGGACACATGAGGGTGCTTATGAAACCCAAAATGGGAACTTAGAGGAAGGAGAACACATGAGGGAAGACACAGACCATGACAGGCATGTGTGAGGATTGATGACCACCTCACCCCTGCCACATGAACCTCAAGGGATAAACCATCAACCCTGCTCAATGGTCACATTTACTGGAGAGGTCACCCGATAGGACAATAGGTGGGTTAATTGGAACCAGTGTTTATTTTTGGTTTATGTTGTTTTATAATCTAGAATTAGTTTGCCTATACTTATCGGACATAAACAAGATATTTTCATCCACTGCTGCTAACTGCAGGTTTTCTCTTTTTCTCAATGGTTGAGAGTAAAAATCCTACTAGATCAGCTGTTTCTCAGCTATTTCGGAGAACCTTAGTAGAGTTAAGACTCCTCCTCATCAAAATGAGCCAGTTTAGGTGTTTTGAGCATCTGGTAAGTATACATTCTAGGTTCTTCCAATGTAAGGTGTTTTGGACGAGTCGCAGGGGAGAGGAGATAATAACAAAAACCCACAACTCACTGGGAACAATCAAATTTTTGGCCTTTGCCCCCTTTCCACTAAAATCATGGTTTGGTTTGACTTGGCTCAACACTACTCTACTTGCCATTATAATTAAAAAAAAACAACAGATATTTATATTAGAAAGTATAATATCATCTGTAATAGCTGGAAAACACTACAGCTCTGAAATTTTAACATATTTATATTTAATGAACACATATGCATCACATTCTGATGGATGGTGGAGTTATAGTTGTGGTGGTCAAATTTCAGTTACAGTTCCTTGTCTCTTGAGCCAATTTCCATCAGAAATAAAACTTTTCACACAAATAGCAATTTTTAAAGCCATACTGGCTCTATTTTAGACCACTCTGCTTGTTTTACTCATGTTTTTAATGTTTCCAAATAGGAGAAAAAAGGTTAAATTGTAGAGCTTTTTGCAAAATTGTGAGAAATGACAACTTTTCTTGCTTGTAAAATGCAAAAATGAGAGATCCACCATCCTTCTGGGGAAGGAAAGTGGAGACTGAAGCCCACCCTGCATGTGGGCCTGTCCTGACACAAGACTAAACATGATACACCGAGTGATGAAACCAATTGAAATATTGAGAAAAAGGCCAAACCATTCTCTACACACATAACCAAACACACACACACACACACACACACACACACACACACACACACACACACACACACACACACACACACACACACACACACACACACAGGTGTTCGAGTGTTATCTGATGTTGCGCTGAGCTATTGTCTTTAAGTCTAGGTGGGGCTTTCTGGCCCAGCACATCACCGTCTGAGTCAGGGTGAAGAGACGAGGATGGGGCATCCCACTCACCCTCTGCACGGCCGGAGACACTGCTGCTCTGCTGTCATGGCAACAGCAGCAGTCACCACTGCCAGCATGGGCCCATAATGCACAGGCCAGGAGGAATCTCTCTCTCTCTCTCTCTCTCTCTCTCTCTCTCTCTCTCTCTCTCTCTCTTTCTCTCTCTCTCTCTCTCTCTCTCACACACACACACACACACGCACGCGCGCGCGCACACACACACATGCACAGAGTGAAATGAAAGATTCTTCCTCAAACATCTGGCATGTGTGAAAAATCTATTTAAAATTTTTCTTGGACAGATGTTCCTCTGGAGGGTTGTTGAATGCCAGACCTGGATGATGACCATGATAGTGACCACTATCCTGGGCAGTTTAGTTGTTTTTGCTCCAACATCTGATTTGAATCAATGCTGAGTAGCAGACCTCTGTAAAACTTCAGGAGGCAACTAGATCAGGTGTATTGGAGCAGGAAAACACTCAAAGCATGCAGAATGGTGCCCCTGTAGGATCACATGTCTTGCAGGCAGGTTTGCAGACTCCTGCAAACGATTTAAATAGTGAATAAAAATTAAGTTATAACACGTATAAATTAAAGAAAAGTTCATCTTTTGTGCATAAGGCTTGATGTGGTTAGAGTGATTTTGTGCCATCTGCATATTGACACCAACGTTTGGTTTCTGCATCCAGCCTCTACCCCCGTCTCCAGATCGGACATTTTCCGCTAATAGGGCCTACTGTTAAAAACAAACGTAGGCTTTGCTGCAAACGAGCACGTTCCCATCGGTGCGCACCGCAGATCTGCATGTGTTTTTCTAACCAGAAAGAGGAGTGTGAGCGCAGACCCCATTCAAACAGGTGTGAGGAGCAGAGACGGTCCCGGGTGGCGCATGTTGATCGGATACACGGCCATTCGAGGCGCATTGTGAGCATCTCGGCGCTTTTTGAAGGGTTTGGCAACCCGCATCCGAAAATAGTGTTGGCTGTTAGAAAGTAGGTCGATAGGAACTGAAAGCGACGGTTGTTTCCGCGCTTTTGTCTGTCTTCTTTGTTGTTTAGTGAGGACTGTTGGCTTTTTTTCTCTCCCTCCTTTTTTCCTCCCCTAGCCCACCCTTGTGTGGAGGTTTTACGCACAGGTGGGAGATACCCGCTCAGCATAGGACAGCCCCCCTCTCTGCTCCTCAGCGGATGATATGAGGAAGTGACATTTTTCACTGCTGCGGTTCGGGACAGCTCGGCTCCTCTGCAAACAGGTGTTCCGCTCTCCGGGTCACTTTCACTGAGAGACGACGGGGAAGCGTCCCGGATCCAGAACCGATCCACTACCTGAACGCAGGACAGCGGGGACCTAGAGAACCCTGCTCAAGTCTTGCTCTTTATTAGCTGATTGAACGGGCTCAGGCGGAGAGAGGGGAGCGATGGCAACGAAAAAGGCGTGCGTGGATGCGCCCAAGAGGAGCCGGAGTCCGGTCGTGTTGGAGGCTGAGATGTTCAGAGAATTCCAGGACTGGTGTCTGCGAACTTATGGAGACTCCGGTAAAACAAAGACCGTTACCCGGCGGAAATATAACAAAATCATGCAGACACTGTTGCAGAACGACGAGTCAGACGGGGTGTACGTCGACAACAGCCACATCAACGCCAAATTCAAATTCTGGGTGAAGTCCAAAGGATTTCAGGTCGGAACCAACGTTCTGGGAGAGCACAACAAGAAGGGGGCACCAGGGAAACCTGTTCTATATGTACCGGTCAAGTCAACGGTAAACTGTGTGTGTGCGTGCGCGCGTGTGTGTTTTGTCTCGGAAAGGTAACGTGCGTGTACACGCTCACGAGGTGTCCCGTCGCCGTCTAAGTGTAAGTTGTGATGATTTAAAGCAGCGCCCATCGCGCCTGACTCATGGAAATAACGTCAACTTGTAACATTCCGTGCTCATGTCTTGCTCTCATCCCTCCCGATGTATCCCCACTTTGTCCACATCCCAACCAGAACAGCCCTGTACTCTCATCCCCTGCTACCATAGCAACGCCGGTGCCTCCTGGCAATGGCAATTGTGGAAGGTAGGCCATCGTGCACAGCCTTCCAGCCGGTGAGGCTGGAGTCCTGTTCGCAGCAGGACACCGGCTCAAGGAGGACAATCGTCTTTTGAAAACGTTTAGATTCTGTCCCTGTTTTCAGGTCTCGTGCTGCCCGGTGTGGTGATGCTGTGCGCGCGCACGTGGATGCAGAGGCATGTCAGAGGGTCGGGTTTATGTCAGAGTGCTCTAATGTGCCCCCTCCACGTTTAGAGGGTTATTAAACTCTTTAAGAGAGTCGCCACTCCGCTGCGGGGTTCTGATTGAGAGGAATTCATCAAATGACGCTCGCCCTCACTGTCCCATCTAAAAACCCAGAGACACGCGCTGCGTCCGCGCGCATGGGAGAGGATTCATCCCCCACCCGAAAAGAGAAAACAATTGATGGTTTTAAATTGTAATTCAGTTGTCTTATTTCAGAACTATTCGTGGAGCCTCGTGATGTGGCAGACGGGCTGTATTGTCAGCGCACTTTTCATTGTCCTGAGCAGGATGCGGATCGCCTCGCTGGCACTCGTTGCTCTGGCAACACCTGTGCAGCCCAGGATAGCCTGCCTCTGCCGCATTTTATGTAGGTTACAATCCCACATTTGGAGCCAGTTTAAGACTAAAAACATTAATTATTCTTAGATTTCTAATTGAGAGCTTCACGTAATTGGTGACCACGTGAGGGGCTGTGGCGGAAACAAAAGGGTATGCTCGGGACTGATAGCGACCTCCGCCCACAGTTCCTCACACCTCACTCCTGCGTCCTTCTTGGTGGCGCGTTTCTGCAGCGGGGGGGGGGGGGGGGGTGTGTGGGGGTCACATCTGCCCAGCTGTGGTGCAACGGGAGCGTGAAGGGTTAAACCACACGGTCTGGATGAAGATAAATATGATGAACTGTCAACCAGTGCCCCAACAGCTCTCTGCGCGCGTGCGTGTCTATGCGTGGTGATGGGGCCTGCTGTGCCAGCGAGCAGACAACCACCATTTTAAATAAGCGCCTTCGGGAATAATCCCCTCCACCCGCTCTGCTGGGACGAGTCTCTGTGGACCTAGGAGAGCAGACCTGTGTGTGTTAACAAACTGGAGGAGATCTTGGCCCGGATTAGAGGCTGAGCCCTGTGATTTGAGCTGAATGGTGCTGATCCCTCCACAGGTGTTTTACCTGTGTGAATGAACAATTTAAATTTGGGCCAACTGCTTTTTACAAAACTCTTCTAATCTCTGCTCAATATTATGTTTCCCCTCTGGGCTGGAGGGCAGGTGGGATCTGGCTCTGCAGGTGCAGATGGTGCCTGCGATGTGTTGTTGATTAGCTTTTGCCTGTCGTTTCTCCTTCATATTCTCCAAGGTCTCCTTGTCAGATATATTTATCAGTGCAAAGATCCTCCAGAACAGTTTTTTTTGTCAATTTCACCTTAAAGGCCTTTTAAGCTGAAATGACTCTGAGGTGAATTGAAAAAGGCAGATTCCTCTTAAATAAATGCCTTTCTGTGTTTACTGAGAGAAGTGTTTTGTGGTTGATATCACAAGTCAGGGGGAAACGCCCCCCCCCCCCCCCCCCCCAACTTGGCTTCACTTGGGAAATTTAAACAGTAAACAGCATATCAGCCAAAACAAGCTGCCTCTAATGATGAGTAAGAGGCCGTTCACATGCATGAAGGCAGGATTGAAGGTTTTTACGAGTCCAGGACCTGTGGTGGAGTGACATGCACGTGGAGACACGCACACACAACGGTCAGTGCCTGCTTGCAGGCCTGCAGGGTCGGGGGCGTGTCTCTGGTGTTCAAGCACTGGAAGCCCGGCTGCAGCTGCTTCCAGGGTGTGCCAAGTTTCTGTATGGGGGGCAGGCAGGGTGGGGGTAGGGATGGATCCTGGCTGATGAGAGGACAGAGAGGGTCTCTTCTGCACGTCAGCAAAGCATACAAGGCATCTTCAGTGCGTGGCGGGACAGAAAGGCAGCAGCACAGGCTCAGTGTGGCCGCCTCTCTTTTCTCAAGCCGGACACAGAATTATGTCCTCTGTGTTTTCTGTCTCACCCCGCCAGTGCTCGGAGAATCCACGGAGCCCTTCTGTGTGGAGATGCAACCTCGTTTAGCTCTCATTATGTCCTGATTAGAGGACGCTACAGAGGAGGAGGGGACCAGAAACAGACACAGAGATGCACACAAGCCTTTCTCCAAGTGCAGCTTATTTCTAAAGAAACGCTCAAACGCTCTGTGCATTTTCCTTTCACTTCATTGCAGCGAAAATTACAAATTATAGCAGGCTGTTGCTTTTTGTTGCCATGCCAACTGAAATCTGTAAAAATCTGTTCAGATCGTCACACAACTATAGGTGGACATACGTCCTGCATGTGAAGATGCTTCATAAGTCAGGACACAAAAGTGGGAATCCAGCTGTAGTCTTAAATGTTTTGCAAACACCTGAAGCTGGAATGGCATCCGTCTCCTTTTACTGATGTTTTCAGATCTTTTGTTGAAAAAGAAAAAAACAGTTAACTGCAAATACAGCTCACCATCCGCTAATCATATTTTTCAAATTCCTTCAAAAATGTGCAAAAAACAACTCATTTTAACTTGTAAACATTCACACCTCTAACGTTCTTTGCTAATAATGACTTTGAAGACACCACCTTAGCCATTTTAAGGTTTTCGTGAAATTTATTGACAACAAAAGTTCATCAGTCAATTCAACATAAAATGAATATAAAACCTGCATAGACTGGATCTGCTCATGAGAAAGAAAGGCCTTTTGAAAGTGCTGGATTGAAAATGCTATCAAAACAAAAGGTTTGTCTGAGGACGTTCCTCCTTTGTGAAGAGGTTCCGGATTTTTGTCTTGGAGAAAAGGCCCTAAACGTTGGTGCCTCACATGAGATGGGATGAGGAACATCATCATTATTATCTGATTAATTAGTCTGCTTTCCCCTGAGAGCTCTTCTTTTGTGGAAGGGCCACAGAGTTAAAAGAATACTGGCCCAATTATTGAGCAGCATTTGCATTAATACTGTTTTTTACAGAGTGCATGTCCTACCCTTTTGTCCAGCAGGGTTTTTACTCTGGCTTCAATGATAAGGAGCAACAAATAGATTCAGATAGCCCAAACCTCTCCTGCTGTTCTGGTTCGTCCGAGCTGCAGGTAAATACCAGAGTGTGTGTTCTGCTGAACGGCCCGTTTCCTCTTTGGACCTACAGATGGAGGTGCGTCAGTTTGAGGGACTTTTCTTTGTTCATCGAAGGTGGAGAACAAAAAGTTTATTTCTGTATGTTTCATTTCACACATTGCCATGACTTACTGTAAGTGCGTGACTAAATCTATATTGCACGTATGTGGCAGTGTGTGTGTGCGCGCGTGTGTGCTCGTACAGAGAGGGGGGTCGCTGATCGCATGCTCTGTGTTTCCTCCCTTCAGCACTCTCTGTTGCCATGGAGAGACCATTCTTTGCTTTCCCATAGGAGGAGAAATTAACACCATTTTTAACTGGCCCGGGGGCCTCCCCCCCTGTGTGGGAGATAGTCTGAGTTGTGCTCCACGCGCATGAGCTCACACACTCGCAGTCTTCATGGGACAACGATGATCTTCCCACTGTCATGTTTCATGCTTCTGCCGGAGCAACGTTTAAGGAACTGGGACGGTGTGCTAATGGCTGGAAAACGCAGAGGTGGACTCTGGGATGTGATGATGTATGTGCACGGCATTTACATGCACTTCCTGTCAGGCACTGGAACGTAAACAGTGGCAGTCTGAGGTGGGACTGTCTGCTTCCCAGGCTCGGTGGGATATTAAGGCTGTCACACTATCAAATAATGCTCATGGTGGGAGCTGCAGAGACTGAAACACACACACACACACACACACACACACACACACACACACACACACACACACACACACACACACACACACACACACACACACACACACGCACACACGCTCGCACACACACACACACACACATGCATGCACTCACCAACGATGGACAGAGGGGTCGAGCTCAGTGCACCTAATGTGGATTTAATGACAGGGCTTTACGAATTGAAGCAGAGAGCAGAGGATGAAGGTGGAAGGTAAAGAAAAGGAAAGGAATTGAGTTTATTTATATAAAAACCTTCGCTATACAGAGGTGATGGTCTCTTTTATCCCAGCTTTTAGTCATGAAAAACCTTTATCTTGCACTGGCTTTCCACACACACACACACACACACACACACACACACGCGCACGCACGCACGCACGCACGCACGCACGCACGCACACATACACACACACACAGAGAAGAAACAAGGCTTGTCCCATTTATGTGTTCATTAGCTGGTTGACAGATTTACAGAGCAAAGACGGGACTTTAAAAGATGACCTGTTGTCACATCTGCAGTGAGATAATCTGAGTCATGAGTATTGTTGACACAGCCATCTTTAGCCCTCCACTCTTGGGCACACACACACACACATGCACCTGCACGCACCACAGCTCCGTTTACTTTACTTATTTTGCAGCCACCTTATGAGAATAAAATCTCCCTCACTTTGCAGCTTGACTCATTTTGAACATTTAATTTCATTTTTAGGGGGTGGGGGGGTGTTAGCTACTGAGCTAATTTCTTGTGCATCCCTTCTATCTTTGCCGGCTTGCTTCCTGTGACCCAGCTGCTTCCTATGCCCCCCCACCCCACCCCACCCCACCTCCTCCTCCTTCTGACCTGGGTGTGTGCAGGACGACTCCTCTCTCCCCTTAACAGCTCACTGCTGTGTGTGTGTGTGTGTGTGTGTGTGTGTGTGTGTGTGTGTGTGTGTGTGTGTGTGTGTGTGTGTGTGTGTGTGTGTGTGTGTGTGTGTGTGTGTGTGTGTGTGTGTGTGAGAGAGAGAGAGAGAGAGACTGCCAGCGGGGGTGGGGGCAGTTGACTCAACCCCTCCAGTCTCCTAGCAACAGAGCGGTTTGGTGCGGGACAGTGGGAGGCGCAGGGAATGGGGGCTGGTTGTACAGTGACTGGGGAGAGCAAAGTCCTACGGGATTAGAAAGCTGGAAAGAAGGAGGAAAAGAGACGAAGGAGGGCAAGAGTTCTGCTGTGCTGTGGGTGATTAGGGATGCTACCATGTATCCTTTATAAAAGTGTTGTGCTGAGGAGCCTAAACATCTCCAGCACTGCTAAACATCTGTTCTCCTCTGAGATGCTCCTGCTACAGGCTCTTCCTGGTAGACACACACCACACTAAAACACACATGCTAAAAGTGTGCTGGGTTTTGAGGTGAATGTTAAATTCCCTCTTGACTTGTGTTTGGAAACAAAGAGCTCATTGGTTAAGGAGGGCAAGATGAGGCCTCCAAGCAGGAAATGCTTTTAGCTGCAGTTTCTTTCAAGGGGTTCATAAAAGTTGGGCTGCTGAGTTTTCACAATTTTCAAACACGACTCCCCAGTTTCTGCGGGTCAAACAAGCCTGTTTGTTGTCTTGTCAGATTCGTCATATTACTGGCTGGAAAGTAATACATAATAAAATAACGGTTACATTTTGTGACTTTTGACTTTCATAAAACTTCAAATGAGGTATCCAAATAATAACTTTCCACTTTTTAAAGGATATTATGATGTGATGTAGAGTTGGATTCAAATGTTCAAATAAAAATCCAAATCGTCGTGCAAAAAAATAATAAAAAAGCTAAATGTGGAGAAGTAAATGTAAACATTTAGACCTATCTAAATTTAGAATGTTAAATTTAGAAAGTTAGTATGACATGTAAATATTTAAAACTATTAAATTAAACCAAAACATAGCTATGTACAGTTTAAAGGCATACGATGCAACTTTTTCATATTTTTAAATCATTTTCTTGAGCCAGTATGTGCTAAAATGACCCTTTACGGGGTTAATAAAAGGCTACCCAGCTCCACTTGTAACTTCAGAGCGGCTGACATAGCTGGCACTTCTATCTGGCTCTAGCACGTTTTCTGCATGTTTTATATCAGCTGGTTTGTTTAATTTAGTGATGAACCACTCCTGTAGAAACTAATGAAGGCTGGGGAGATGTTTCAGCTGTTAGATTAAGGTGTTAAAAAGACAAACACACAACAAGAAGATACATTTTCCATTTGGTTCTATAAACGGACACAAGGGGTTGCTGAAATTATGCCAAATTGCATAGTTCCATACACTTTAAGCTGCAATGACAAATCTGCAAAACAAGTTATAGCTTTTTAACACGGACACAGTCCCATAACTCTCACCCCTCCTGTTGGTTATCAACCATAGGCCACGTCTGCCGGAACCGGAACCCGCATTGCCTGAGGAAACAAGAGAGCTCTGACACCAGTCACAGTTTATGTCCAAATGTGTTGTTGTTTGTGACTTCAAAAGGTGTTTGTCTCTTTGGGACTCTGGTAGTTTGCCGTAAAGTAGACGTTGATAGCAGCCGGCTTCTCCTTCTCTGATGTTTTGAGCGGAGATCCTCTCTTACCAGTGGTGTTCTGTTGCGAAATGCACAGGTGGGCAACTGTGGCAGAGGAGTTAAATGTCTGCCCGGTATTTGGAAGGTTGCAAGTTTGAGCCCCTTTCAGTCTGTTGCCGTTGTTGTGTCCTCGGGCAAGACACTGAACCCACATTTCCTGCTGGTGTCACCAGTCCAATCATTGGTTTCAGACCAAGCCGTGTCATTGGCGGATGTTTTTAGACAAATGCAAGAAAACTGCTTCAATCTATTTTTTTATCTCCACAAAATATTTATAGCTGTGCTATGTTGGAACATTAAGACACATGAAAAAAATGTTTAAGCAGATTTGCCATTGCAGCTTTTGATCTAAATACTTTAAAATAAAATCTAAATATATAAAATTGAATTTTAATGTTTCAAATCAAAATGAAAACCAAGATCTAGAATAAACTCTTAATGTATAAAATTAAACTTAAACATTGAGAATCAAATCTTGATTCAAGAAGTTGTATCTAAATGTTGAAACTGAAATGTGATGGTTTAAAACTCAAAATACAAACAACACACTGTTTAGACTGTATGGTGAATTCCCCGTTCAACATCACAGAACCCAGCTGATGGTAAGGTTGTGTGAGACATTCTCTCCAGCGACGGCATGCAGAACCCAAACAGGAACATTCAGAACGATCCACGGTTTTACAAACTCACAATCGCTCCATGAAAGGCACTCTGAGACTTCAAGAACTCCTCTCTCCATTTTCAGTTCTGGATGAATTTGTATGTTAGCTTATTTAGTTTTGAAAAAAAAAAATAGTTTCCTAAACATAAATAAAAATTTGTATATTTAGATTTGATTTTAAATATTTAAACTCAATATATTTTCACTATTATAAATATTTAGATCTGACTTTAAATATTTAGATTCAGTTTTTAGTGGTCAATCAACTTTATTAACAGACTCAGGATCCAAAATGCACTATAACAACAGTAGCAATAAATAAGACAAAGAGAAACAAAAAAACAAAAAAAATAAACAAATACAAATACAGTCAAAATTACATCTAAATATTTAAACTTTATGCTTTTAAAATTAATTCTAATTATTCAATATAAGATGTTTTTATTCCTAATATTTATTTTAAACTTGATTATCTAAAGTTAAATATATATGTTTACGTTTCATTGTATTACTTCACAACCAGCGCCCCGTAGACATCGTGTCAGATTCTTGATCCCACCAAAAACAAGAGATTTGAGTGAATCATGTTAGTCTTTATACTCTCATTAGGATTATTCTCTGGTTTTATTAAACCTTTCGTTAAACCTGTAAAATGTTCTCGGGCTTCGCTGACACGTTTGCAGCATTATGTATTGATTAAGGTCAGAGAAAATACTCCCAGCTGAAATCAGTCTGTGCGTATGAGGGATGTTCTGGTGAGGGATACAGCAGCGGTGGGTGCACCACACACCCCATAGTTGCAAGAGATTATCCAAATCCAGCGTGAATGGACCTGACACCATTGTCCCGAGCAGCAGCAGCAGCAGCTTCAGCGTGGTGATGTCACCAAGGAGAAGATGATGATACCTCCAAGCGCGATAGATTACAGCTGTGATGATGGGGCGGTGGGGTGCTATTATTTCATTTATTGCCATCCCATGTAGCCCATGCTGACAGGGGGAGAGCAACTACCGTACCCAGGGAGGGAGAGTGAGGGCCGGATTAAAACAAACCCGCTCTGTGAGCTGGTTTTAGTTGCCATGGTAACGATCATTACCTCGCACTTGGGAGAGCAGGAGCAAAGAGAGAGGACAAGAGAGGAGGAGAGGAAGGGGGTTGGTGGAGGAAGAAAATAAAGATGGGACAGAGGAATAGGATGAAGACACGGAGGCAGGAGAAGGGATGCAGTTTGGAACAAACAAGAAAATAAAATGTCAGATCCTGTGAGCTCTGCAGAAATGTCAGGGAGGGGTGGAGGTAAACGCGTGGTCCTTCAGATCAACTTTTAAAACTCAGGACCCTGCTCTTCCTTCAACAAAAAGTAATCACTCCGCAGCACAAACCCAGTCTCCAGAAAATGTCAGAGCCAGACTCCTGATTGCCCCGCAGAACCAGACTAAGAAGTTGGTAAACAAAAAAACAAAACAAAAAAAAAAACACTCAAGTCCATTTGCTGAGTTTTCTGCTTGCTGGGACTGCCTGAGCTGGGTCCATTTGTGTAGAAAATGAGGTTTTAAGTTTGTAAGTGGACTAAGGAGTTGTTTCAGAGAAAACATGTAGAAGGAAAGAAGCTGAAAGCCCCATGTGGTGCTGTGGATGGAGTCTGTTGTCCTGGCGATCCTACTTTCATGGTGTGTCACATGACCCTCTGCCCAGCACACCTGCCCGGGAGAAATCAGTAGCAGTTTCTATGGCGACAGGGTCAACAGTACGGGAGGCATGAAGGCTGCCAGAGGTGGTGGTAGGAGGGACTGCTGGTCTCGTTCAGTGTCGGTGGGGTTATTTTTAAACACGGCAAAGATGAGGTGATGGTTGCACACCCGGCCAGGACTGAGACTTCTCCAGCAGTAAATAAAAATATATTTCTAAAGCTGTCGGACACCTTATGGAGTGTGTTTTGCTGTCTGTGATTCACAAAGATCCTCCGTCTGTAGTGTTGCTTTAAAGATCTACAGGATGCACACATGTAATCGTCCTGAGGCTTCACTGCTTACTGAACTCTGGCGTTTGTCCACGTTTCAGTGTGCAGACGGGAATTCGGCCCAGGACAACTCTTCCCTGAAGCGTGTGGCCGTTGTTGAGGACTTCTTTGACATCATCTATGCCATGCATGTGGAGATGGGCGCTGACCCAGGCAGAGCCCCCAAACACGCGGGGCAGAAGAAGACCTACAAAGCGGTGAGTAAACGCATGGTACACAACTCACATGTGGTAAAAGTTCCCAGGGTCTTTGATGACACTCAGAGATAACGTCATAACTTCACAGACGTATGAACGACTCTCAGCTTCTACCGCATCAAACTCAAACTATGCATAATTAACAGAGGCATAGCTAGTTTTGCGTTGCTAACTATGATGATCTGTGGTGGCCATCTTGAACTTGGTTTACTCCAAAGTGAATGCGAACTGTCCCAGTTGATTGCAGGTGCAGGACTCAAACCAATAAACTATCCGTCCCTAAAGAATGAGCTTGTTGAAGCTTGTGGCCATAATCTAGCAGATGTTTATTCATAAAGTATTGTTAGAGAAAGATATCGGCTTGTGAATATAATCAGGAGCCTAATCTGTGTGGAATCTGGTTCCCATGTGGTTAAGTGGTCAGAATATAATAAAACTAAAGAAACATATTCCCTGGAGTCTGAAAACATTCAACAATAATCACAGTAGCCTGGATGTCCTAGCTGGAATAAAACGGTGACATCACCAAATCCTGATGCACAGGACTGTGCCTACAACTATCCTGCGGAAACTTTACAACAACCATTGAGTTTTATACATTTGTAAAACATTTGTTTTCATTTTTCGCCTGTTGCTGCTGCCTCCTTATGGAGACATTAGGGAGCCACAAGCTGTTTTAGGACAGGTCAAAAACATGCCTTTGAAAGGAGCGGCACAGGTGCAGAGCGTTCCAGCGGAGCTCATGAAGTCAGACTTTTTCTTAGTGTCACTGAAATCATCAGGAGTTTCCAGGGAAACAAAAAGCCATCTTGCAAGACTTATGTTGCTGGATTAAAGTTTTTTTTATTTATATTTCTGACTTATTTAAATTTAACTCGAACTAAACTTGGCGTGTTGGCCTGACAGACCTCTGGTAGGGGTACGGATGCAGCATCAGGACCTTGGAACCCCTCCTCCCCTCCCACTCCACCAGAAATAAAAACAATCACAGAGCCAGTTCCTCCTGCCCTGTAGAGAGGTCCTGTCATGTCTCATAGAGCCTACCCTTTTGAGGAGGCAGCATCACTGGGGCAGGGCATAATATGGAACTGTCACTGTGGCCTTCTGGGACGTGCACGCTCCTCTGGGTGGCCTTTCCCTCTCAGCTGCCTCAAGGGTCCACGAGGGGGGTGGCAGACAAACGGGATGGTGCCCCCCCCCCCCCCCCCCCCCCACACACACACACACACTCCCGCTGCCTCTTCATGGTCACGTGAAGGTCGCATTTTTACAGGGAAACGCCAGAGGGGGTGATGAGGGGATGGTGGCATAGCAGAGGAGACTAACAGAGAGGGAAGGCTGAGCATGAGAGGGAGGTGAAGACCGGCTGCACCTGAAGAAGAGGAGCACAGAAAACCCCTCGGTGCATTTTGAACCATGGATATGTGTAGGCGACTGCAGCTGGAATTCAAAATTTCCAGCCTGAGGGGAGGAGTTCTCCTTAAACTGAGATGACACAGAATGCAACGTTAAAAACACCTGCACAACAGGCAGAGCCCGAGCCGTAACGTCTCTCCTCTCTCTCCTGGCACAGATAGCAGAGACCTATGCCTTCCTGCCCAGAGAGGCGGTGACTCGGTTCCTAATGAGCTGTGGAGAGTGTCAGAAGAGGATGCACATTAACCCCAGCACTGCAGAGTTCAAAGGTAAAAGCACACACGTGACCATGCAGACATCATTAACTGCTGAGCTATTTTAGAGATCAAGCTTTGCTGTTTGTTAACTCTCTGGTCCTGTGACAAAATGAGACAAACAGTTAATTATACGTTGCATTGGTCAATATAAATCATCCTGTGACAGCATTAATTTTTTTCTGATTATCATTAGGAAATATTCATGTTTTCTCTATTAAGACTGTAACATTCACCTCTTTATCATCCCATCTGGCTCTATAATTAGCACAGGTGATTTCAGGTGTTTGAATAAGTTTTGATTGGAGCTCTCATTAAATAAAACATGTGTGTGTATCCATCACTGACATGATGTAACAAAGACTCCAGAGGTTTGGCTTCCTGGGACTAAACAGAGCTTCTAAAATGATCCCAGACTTCCTCTAGTGGCTGAAGCAGAGACTGCAGGCAGCTTTTGTTTGATTCCGGTGATTAAATCTGCAGAAATACCTCAGATTTTCTCCAACTTTGCAGGAAGTAATTGGTTCTGAAAAGTTTGTCTTCGCTGGTATCTCAAACAGCCTGTGGGCCAACTGTGTGGCTGAAGTAGGAGGTAGCAACAGTCTATGTGGCCATAGGGGAAGCCCTAAGAAAAAGAGAAGTTGTAAAATGCCAAGCAAGCTGCGGTTGGTGGCAGCCATGCTAAACTAGTTTGGAGCAGATGGATTAGTGTTTGAAAAGTGCATTTTCACAAAAACACATCTGATCCTACACAATTCTGACATTACATGCTTTCTATGAATTTAAATTTTTCGTTTTATTTCAATCAGCCGTGTTGAAAATTGTATTTAGCGTATTCAGTCTAACTGAATGACTTCCTCTTTTCCCTACACCTGCTGCAGCCATGAAAGCAAAGTGTTTTTCCATCCTGTCTTCATACTAGGTTTCAGCCGCCCCTGCAGCAGCTTGGGGCCTTGTTGGTTGTTTTCTTCTTTTATAAAGCTTTAAAGATTTTCAGCAGTTGACAGGTCTGGACTGCAGGCAGGACATTTAAGCACTCAGACTTCTTTATTTGGACGCCATGCTGATGCATTTCACGTGTGTAGAATAAGCAGAGGATACAGCAGTCAAAATGTCCTGCAAACACATTTACACGACCCAGGGCAGTTCTCATGTTCCCTCGGTTCATCTGAAACTAGTTTGGGCCAAAATATATGGAATTAGGTTCTTGCCAATAAAGGCAATCAAACATTTGACTGAGAGCAACAGAAACAAAGCAAAACCAAATATAAATCCAAAAATAAAACTGCAAACAATTTTTTAAATAAAAATGAGTGATCGCTCATCTACTTTACATGCATTCTTGTTTTCAGTTCACTCTGCTTCATCCTGACAGATGAGACCTTTATTCTGGCACGCACGCTTGAAGGGACGTTATGCTCCTTAAGCCTGATTTCTGCTTCTCCGTCTGCGTCAGTGCGGAGACACGCAACTCCATTATCCGTCCTTGCGTAGGGCTCCGGCAGGCACGCAAGTACGTGCGGAGTCGAGCCCACTTTTTAAACATCCGTCGAACGAGACGGATTACGCAAGCTTGTGATTGGTCAGGACGCCGCTGTTGTTTACAGCGCCGCCATTGCAAAGAGAGCCGAGGATAACTAGCGGCAGACATGGAGAAGCTTGAAGAAAACCTCGCGAAAAAAACTCTAAAAATATGAACGTTTAATTCTCCCGTGACTGGAGGAGTGAAAAAATGCGCAGCAAGCGTTTTATTTGTGGACGGAAATGACAGGAAACGTGGGTTTAGAGATGGCAAGTGCATGAAGAGATGGAAGGGGATGAGAGACAAATCTGTCCGTGTTAAAAGTCTCTTATATACACAAAAAACACAATATAAACACACGATCTTGGACCGATACATGACAGGATACCACAGAACAGCGCTACGCCCTCTGTTGTCCTGCCGGGTAATTTCTTTGCAACACTCTCCAGGAGACGGAGAAGTAAAAATGCAAAACGCTTCCGTCAATCCGTGCATGTCTGTCCCTTGCGGAGCTGACGGAGAAGCATAAACCAGGCTTTAGTTGTAACTTCTACATCACAAGAGTCCTGTGCCACTGACCAATCTGCAGATTCCCCATCACTAACACACCTTACGGGAGACTAACCGAACTACCTCCTTTCTGCTTGCTCTGGATGACTTGCGTGCACACACACATACACCTGGGCAAAGAGAGACCGAGTTGAGACTTGGCTGCATTTCCAGTCAATTACCATGTCACCTAAACGTTTCCCAACAAGAACAGAACCAGACTCTAAAATCTTCTTAAGTGAGATTTGAAAACAGTGTCCCTCTGTGAAACCAGGCAGCTAAGCTAGCTTCTCTTCCTGTTAAGGAGCTTCTCCGTCAAGAACGCACGTTTCGCACACTCAGAGGCGTTTCTGTGCAACGGGGTGAGAGAAGTTCAGGGGAGCAGTTTGATGGATGCATTAAGAGCCATAGGTAGTGGGCCAGTGCTGGATTGGATGAGATTTTTCCAGGATTGTTCATTTTATAGGTCATAAACATTTTTCATTTTTTGACAAGATATTTAACTGATTGGTTGGTTTATGTGGAAAACATTTCAAGCAATGTTGCAAAAAAGTTTCCAGGAAAAAAACAGAGATAGTACTTTTAAAGGATTCATTTCCTGTACCTATAGTGCAATCCAAGCTGTGGGTGGATGTAGCATGAAACGGTCCTCGTCCATTAGAATTGTGACAGAAGCTCTAATTTCTTTTGGCGAAGAAAACACTTAAATATGTTTGTTTATTTGTGCTGTTGGAGGAAACGACAAAATTTTTCAGTCAAGCCACAAGGTAAAATTGGCACTTGTGTAAAGGTTTGTTAAGGGGGGTGTATTATGCAAAACTCCTCTTTTATAAAATTTTGTGCTGCCATGTGGGTCTCCACTGCCTTAACTAACACTCCAAACATGAAGAAAACCCATCCGTCCATTTTCTGTCGGTATTCGGTTTTAGGAATTATGTTCCCACGAGCCCAGCCCGAACCGGATACATGGGCTCGTCCAACTGTGGACCCACCACCCGCAGGAGGAACATGAAGGGTCCGGTGCAATGCGAATCGGGTGGCAGACCAAGGCGGGAGCCTTGGCGGTCCAATCCCCGGACAAGAAAACTAGTTTTTGGGACATGGAATGTCACCTCGCTGGCGGGGAAGGAGCCGGAGCTTGTGGCAGAGGTTGAGCAGTACCGGCTAGATATAGTCGGACTCACCTCGACACATTGCATTGGCTCTGGAACCCGAGACCTGGAGAGGGGTTGGACACTCTACTTTGCTGGAGTTGCTCCGGGTGAGAGGCGGAGGGCTGGGGTTGGCTTTTTGTTAGCCCCGAGACTCTCTGCCTGTGTGTTGGGGTTTACCCCGGGGGACAAGAGGGTATCTTCCTTGCGCCTTCGGGTCGGGGAATGGGTCCTGACTGTTGTTTGTGCTTATGGGCCAAATATCAGTTCAGAGTACCCACCCTTTTTGGAGTCCCTGGGACGAGTGCTAGATAGTGCTCCATCAGGGGACTCCATTGTCCTGCTGGGGGACTTCAATGCTCACGTGGGCAATGACAGCTTGACCTGGAGGGGTGTGATTGGGAGGAACGGCCCACCTAATCTGACCTCGAGCGGTGTTTTGTTATTGGACTTCTGTGCAAGCCGCAGTTTGGCCATAACGAACACCATGTTCGAACATAAGGATGCCCACCGGTACACTTGGTACCAGGGCAGCCTAGGTCACAGGTCGATGATAGATTTTGTAGTCGTATCATCTGACCTGCGGCCGTATGTTTTGGACACCCGAGTGAAGAGAGGGGCGGAGCTGTCAACTGATCACCACCTGGTGGTGAGTTGGATCAGATGGCAAGGGAACATGCCGCGTAGACCTGGCAGACCCAAACGCATAGTGAGGGTCTGCTGGGAACGCCTGGCAGAAGAACCTGTCAAGACGGTCTTCAACTCCCACCTCCGGCAGAGCTTTGACCACGTCCCGAGAGCAGTGGGGGACATTGAGTCCGAGTGGGCCTTGTTCCACTCTGCGATTGTCGAGGCGGCTGTTGCTAGCTGTGGTCGTAAGGTGGCCGGTGCCAGTCGTGGTGGCAACCCCCGTACCCGCTGGTGGACACCAGAGGTTCGGGGAGCCGTCAGGCTGAAGAAGGAGGCCTACAGGGCGTGGCTGGTCTGTGGGTCTCCGGAGGCAGCAGACAGGTACCGGATAGCCAAGCGGGGTGCAGCAGTGGCAGTTGCCGAGGCAAAATCTCGGGCGTGGGAGGAGTTTGGTGAGGCCATGGAGAAAGACTATCGATCGGCTCCAAAGAGGTTCTGGCAAACTGTCCGGCGCCTCAGGAGAGGGAGGCAGCAACTCGCTCACACTGTTTACAGTGGGGATGGGGAGCTGCTGACGTCAACTGAGGCTATAGTCGGACGGTGGAAGGAATACTTTGAGGAGCTCCTCAATCCCACCAATGCGCATTCCGAGGAGGAACCAGAGCTGGGATGCCTGGGGATGGACTGTCCGATCTCGGGGGCAGAAGTTGCTGAGGTAGTCAAACAACTACACAGCGGCGGAGCCCCGGGGGCGGATGAGGTTCGTCCTGGGTATCTCAAGGCTATGGATGTTGTAGGGCTGTCATGGTTGACACGTCTCTACAACATTGCGTGGTCATCGGGGGCAGTTCCTAGGGAGTGGCAGACCGGGGTGGTGGTCCCCATCTTTAAGAAGGGTGACCTGAGGGTGTGTTCCAACTATAGGGGGATCACACTCCTCAGCCTCCCTGGAAAGGTCTACGCCAAGGTACTGGAGAGGAGGGTCCGATCGATAGTTGAATCTCAGATAGAGGAGGAGCAATGTGGTTTTCGTCCTGGCCGTGGAACTGTGGACCAGCTCTATACCCTTGCAAGGGTGATGGAGGGGGCATGGGAGTTTGCCCAACCAATCCACATGTGCTTTGTGGATTTGGAGAAGGCTTATGACCGTGTCCCCAGGGGCACCCTGTGGGGGACGCTCCAGGAGTATGGGGTGGGTGGCTTTCTGTTAAGGGCCATTCAGTCCCTTTACCAGAGGAGCGTGAGTTTGGTCCGCATAGCCGGTAGTAAGTCGGACCTGTTCCCAGTGAGGGTTGGACTCCGCCAGGGCTGCCCTTTGTCACCGGTTCTGTTCATCACTTTTATGGACAGAATTTCTAGACGCAGCCGTGGTGTGGAGTGTGTCGAGTTTGGTGGCAGGAGAATCTCGTCTCTGCTTTTTGCGGATGATGTGGTCCTCCTAGCTTCATCCAGCTCTGACCTTCAGCTCTTGCTGGGTAGGTTCGCGGCCGAATGTGAAGCGGCTGGGATGAGGATCAGCACCTCCAAATCTGAGACCATGGTTCTCGACCGGAAAAGGGTGGCTTGCCACCTCCGGGTCGGGGGAGAGGTCCTACCTCAAGTGGAGGAGTTTAAGTATCTCGGGGTCTTGTTCACGAGTGAGGGTAGGAGGGATCGGGAGATCGACAGGCGGATTGGTTCGGCGTCTGCAGTGATGCGGACGCTGAGCCGATCTGTCGTGGGGAAGAGGGAGCTGAGCCAGAAAGCCAGGCTCTCGATTTACCGGTCGATCTACGTCCCAATCCTCACCTATGGTCATGAGCTTTGGGTAATGACCGAAAGAACGAGATCGCGGATACAAGCGGCCGAAATGAGTTTCCTCCGTAGGGTGGCCGGGCTCAGCCTTAGAGATAGGGTGAGGAGCTCGGACATTCGGGAGGGACTCGGAGTAGAACCGCTGCTCCTCCGGATCGAAAGGAGCCAGTTGAGGTGGTTTGGGCATCTGGTCAGGATGCCTCCTGGACGCCTCCCCGGGGAGGTGTTTCGGGCATGTCCTGCCGGCAGAAGGCCCCCGGGTCGACCCAGGACACGTTGGAGAGGTTACATCTCCAATCTGGTCCAGGAACGCCTTGGGGTCCTGCCGGAGGAGCTGGTGGACAAGGCCGGGGAGAGGACGGCCTGGAGCTCCCTAATTGGGATGCTGCCCCCGCGACCCGGACCCGGATAAGCGGAGGAAGACGAAGATGTTCCCACGAGCCATTTTAAAAAGTCCCCGTTTGTGATGTCACAAACAGTAGGAAAGAATCATGTCTTACATGCAAGAGAGAGCTGCATCTGGAGGAGTAGTGGCTCTACTCCGAGTCCCTGCCAGATATCAAAGCTTCTCAGCTTATAGCAGCCTGAGCGGGCTGGGTGTGGCCGGCTGTATCTTGTTTTATTAAAGTGACAGTGCCCTGAAAAGTGGTGAAATCACTTTTTGTGAGAGGGATTTTTTTAAAGAACTTCATAAACACGTTTTGTATCAACCATATAACTATTATAACTTAAGGAAAGAAGCCATGATTTGTCATCTTTAAATAACGTTCTTTAACATTCTCACGCCATTAGCTCATTGGACCTGAATGAGGTAAGCTCTATGTCACTGAGCAGGGGCCACTGTGTAGGTCTCATACAACAAAAATGTTAATTTCAGAATGAAAACAAAATCCCTTTTAAAGTGAGTTATCCATGTGGCGTTCTCTTTCAGAATATCACACAGAAAGATTTCAAACTGGAATTTCAAAACATAGTAAATGTTATGCTTTTGGTGACTTATTTTGAATTCTTTTGATTCATCTGTTGTATATGTTTACTGTTTTTCTTTGTCAGAAAATGACCGACCCACCTCCCTAGTGCCAGACCTGATTGATTACAACATGCCTCTTACTGCCACCTACCTGAAGCAGATGAAGCTGCAGTGCATGACAGCAACTGAGAGGGTGAGTTTCTCTTTCTGTCTGTGACATATGGGCACAGATTCAAGCTGTCCTGACTAATAACAAAATGTACCACCGTAAAGATCTGCCTGTTCAGCATGATTTATATTTGTACCAAGCACACCAGTCTGCAGAATGTTTTCTCCTGAGCCTGCAGCGGATATGCTCTGTGCAGGCAAATTAATCAGGGCATCCTTCCTCCCAACTTTTAATTCATTATTAAACAAGCTGAGTACTCTTCCTGCTGGGAGGAGGAGGAGGAGGAGGAGCAGTGCAGAGTGAAGTGAGGATTAGGAAAGCTTTTGTACGAGAGACGTCATGTGTAAAACCACTCCCATGTGTCGCTGTTAGAGAAACACTCAAAAGCCGCTGCCACTGAAATGCAGGGCGCAGAACTTGGTCGTGTAAATGTAGGCCTCACTCTGGAATAATTAGGATTATCTGGAACAATGACCCAGGCTGGGATTTGTGGGTGAGTCCAAATGAACAAACTGTTTTTATAAATTAAATTAGAATAGAGTAATGGCGTCTCCTGGTTTTTGTTTGTATTGTTTTCAGTAGCAGCTGCAGAAGGCTGCAGGTTTGTTGTGTTAGTTAGTTAGTGTTTGTTGAGGATTCACTTATCACCTGCATGCATGCTGTTTAGCAGCATTTCCTGAATCAAAACTCAAATGTCTTTGATCTAATTTCACCAAATAAAAAAATCTGAGACAGGGCAGTTTTTCATGATGATAAAACTAAAGAATATTAGCATGGATAAAGTAACAAAATCAGCCGCACCCATTAATAAATAAACTGTCTATTCCTGTCAGGTTCTGCTTTATTCATTTTAACTTTACATTAGTTTTTTCTCTTCTTTGCCTGTTTTAAAAGTGATTTGATGAGCAGAAGCACACATTTCTCTAGAGTCTGGACATTAATGCTGCTACCTACTTGGAAACGGTGCGATTAGAGCCTCTCTTTAATCCTCTGTGACTCACTCGGTGCCTAATAGAGCCATCACTGAGCATCCTGGTCCTTCACAAACCCCTCACAGAGGGACGGCTGCTCCATCTCCTGGGTGTAGGCCTGTTTGTGTGTTGGTGTGAGGGGACAATGTGTGATTCTGCTCCAGTCCCGTCACACAGTGGTGCTCCCTCTGAGTGAGATGCCAGCTGAAAAAAATGACGGTCTACATGCAGGTCGCTTCTGTTAGCTAACTGACCTGTTTGTTAGCCTTTGTGAAGCTCGTCTATGGTTTGAGTGATGAAACAGTTCATGTGGTCTGAGGATGAAGCTCGGGTCAGCCTTCGAGTGGTTTGGGAGAATATTCGGCTCTCTTGCTAATCCTCAGCCCAGTGATGTACTCACTATTTAGTTACGCTTCAACAAGCATCTTCGGGGTCTCTACGTAATGCTGTTAAAAATAGCAATGCTCCCAGAAACATATTAGTTATCAGAGAGACTTCTACATTTCTTTTTCATACATTAGAGGCTTTTAAAGGACATTTTAACATTTAATTTTTCTTTTAATTAATAAAAAGTGTTTTCCTCTTTCCTGTTTCAGCGTGATTATCCTATAATATCCCCTCAGGATGACAGTTCGGTGAGCAGCGAGGACATGAACAACGCTGAGCCCACATGGGTCGCAGCTGAGCAGCCATCAGTGCCTGAGTCCAGCCCCCCCAACGGAGAGAGGGTCAGCAACCAGACCACCATCATAAAAGAGGAGGAGGGTGAGACACGAGCTGCTGCTGCACAGCCATGTGGGTCTTTTTGTTGGTGTTGTTTACATCTGGAGCTTCAAGGTATCCTACGTTAAACTGAGGACGGCACAGATTGTGTTCCACAGGAAACAGCTTGCTTGTTTCTTAGTTGACTAATCCATGTAAATCCACTCTTCCAGCAGCTGGGGCGTGGAACAACATCACAGCCCCAATCCGCTGCACCCCTCTCCTCCAGGCCTGTAGGAAGTAGGACAAAGGCCGACGTTAACCCTCTCAGATCAGATTCCAAACGGGAAAACATGTAGCTCAGGAAAAATAGTGTTTTATGAGACAGATGTGGAAAATATATCTGTGAAATCTGAACATTTAGCCGTGATTTCTCTTCAGGGAGAAGCAAGGATCCCTTCCCCCATCTCCCCCCCCCCCCCCCCCCCATCACACACACACACACACACACACACACACACACACACACACACACACGCACGCACACACACACACACACACACACACACACACACACACACACACACACACACACTCTCTCTCTCTCTCTCTCTCTCTCTCTCTCTCTCTCTCTCTCTCCTTTCTCCTTCCCCTTTTGTAAAAACTCCCAGCATTCCCTCCTTCCACCCTAAATTTTATTTGTCTTGACAGATGACCCCGATGCACGATTCCTTCAGTCTGAACAACACAAGGGAGAGGGTGCCTCCTCCCCCTGTAGAACCCCCCCCCCGGATCATGCTTATTGTTGTAAACAAACCTGAATTAAAGCTAAAGAAGGACAAGGCGCTCGTAGCTCATTGCTGTTTCTGTGTCCCTGTCCTGCCCCCCGCCAGACGATGACTCCTCAGAGAGCGGTAGCGCTAACGGGGTGCCAGTCCTGACCACCCCCGAGGTGCTCGCTGTGGGTGGGAACCCCCCAGATGGTGGGGCCTCCTACGGGGATGTGACAGAGAATGGGCTGAGTGCTCCCCTGGACTTCAGCACCACCTCATCCTCCTCCTCTTCAGAGGATCAGCAGCCGGTCAATCTGAGCGACAGACTGCTGCCGGTTGGGAGCTCGCCGCCAAACTCCTACCCCACAGACCCAAACAAGAAGTACCCCATCAAAGCAGAGTTCACCAACAAGGTAAGGAGAGAAACCTGGTGTTTCTCTGCTCGTGTCCTCCATGATAACACTCTGCGGTGTGTTTCAGTCGCCTCCTTACAGCTCAGGGAGCTATGACTCTGTGAAAACTGAACTGAGCATGAGCGCAGAGGACTTGACCTCTGGTCGGACGCAGATCAATGACGATGATGATGATGATCATGATGACCATGATGATAGTGACAAGATCAACGATGCTGAGGGAATGGACCCAGAGAGACTTAAAGCCTTCAATGTGAGTATTGAAAAAGAAACAGTAAAGAGAAACAGATGAAGATGAAAGTTGAAAAGATAGCTTTCTGTAGGCTGCAGACATTTTGAAGTACTTGCAAGAGTTTATTTGCAATAGTCAGATAAATGGGTTAATACAATTAATACAAAATGCACGTTTTCATGGTGTTCTTTAGGTGAAGTCAAATAAAGTTTGGTGATTTTGATCAAAAATGGCTTTTTGCTATTTTTGCATCACTCGTCACTTGTATGTTTGAGGCTCTTATTGTGACGGATTGAAGAAAGTGCTTTGACTTCCTTTTTGAACACGGCCACAGAAGAAGCGTCTTGTTTTTGGTATTTAAATGGGAAGAGCTGCAGAGCAGATACCAGACTATACCTCTCTGGCTTTCCCTTAAAGTAAAAAGCTTTCAACTTTTATTGGGATTGATTTGTTGAGATTTTTATGTTTTAAACTTTTTCTCAAAATTTTAAAATCTCAAGTCAATATCTTGACACTTCCTGCTTTTAAGTAGCTTTGGATATGTGTGTGATAGTCATTTCCAATCTCTGCAGATTTCTGAGTTCAGACTTGCAAACTTGAGGTCTTCAACTCTTATTTTAATTCCATCCGTCCTGTTTTCACCTCCACCCCCTTCTCTCCTGTTTCTCCCCCATCCTCCCTGCTATTCATCCCCTTTCTTCTGTTTTTACTCTCACACCCTTCATTCAACCCTACCCCCCTCCTATTCAATTTCTTCTGCTCTACATCCCCCCACCCCCTGCGTCTATCAGATGTTTGTGCGTCTGTTCGTGGATGAGAATCTGGACCGCATGGTGCCCATCTCCAAGCAGCCCAAGGAGAAGATCCAGGCCATCATCGAGTCCTGCAGTCGCCAGTTCCCAGAGTTCCAGGAGCGCTCCCGCAAGCGCATTCGCACCTACCTCAAATCCTGCCGCCGCATGAAAAAAGGCGGCTTTGAGGTATGCAGATGAATGTTTTGTGTTTTTTTGTGGCATTTACACACTAATCCCCAAATGTTCCTGTTCTTAATAAAAACAATGTCACTGCCCCTGTTGGCAGATCCGACCAACTCCTCCTCACCTCACCTCTGCCATGGCTGAGAACATACTCGCTGCCGCCTGCGAGAGCGAAACCAGAAATGCTGCCAAGAGAATGCGGCTCGATGTCTACCAAGCGACGGTGAGCACCCTGGCAGCGCGTGACTCTGCACAGAAGCTGTTTTAGAATCTGCAAAACCATCAACACGTCAGTGGCAGCAAACTGCAGGGCCGGAGTAGGACACATTTTCAGCCCTGGAGTTTCAGACCCCAGACCGGCCCACTTAACGAATTATTATTAAAATCATGTTAGAACTTTATATGTATAGTCTACAAAAGCACACTACTCAGTAAAGCCTTGTAATTCAGTGCAAGAAAGAGTTGCTTTACAATGTAGGTTTATTTGAACATCAGTGCACATCTCCAACATTGTTCTTTACAACACATTCTCTAACAATATAACAATCTACCTTCTGTTCAAACAGCTGTTCTGAGATTTTCAAATCTTTAAAATGAAATGGCTCAGCACTCCCTTTCACACTTTTTCCAGTTTCCCTAGACTCACCTGCACACAATTAAAATAATCATCTGTAAAGCTTTGGCACATTTGATATGGAAAACACATTTTTGTAACCAATGAAAATATTTCCTATGGCAAAATATGCAGGCTTATTTAATTTTACTTTCATTCTAATAGTGATCTGTTGTGGGCTTTGTGCATTTACTAATAAAAATACAACAGGTCACTATTATTTGGACATTAAAATTATTATAATGGAACTGATGTTTGCACATGAGTTGGCTCACCTTCTATCCCAACAGGAGCAATACCCTCACTGCTGGCTCCTGGCTCTTCTTCTGACACTACATTGTGTGAAAATGGTCACAATTCAGCATTCATTTTCCTTTTTTACACGCTTTCTGATCAATGCTGAATCATCTAGCATTTTAGAACACTTTCATATAGAGCCAGGATAGTTTTCATCATATAAATTTTAATAATATTCAGTTCACTGACTCAATAAGTAATCCTACCTGTACATGCCCGCTCTGGAATGGTGGGCTTCTGCCTGGTGCTTATTAGGCCTACTGGATCTTGTGTTTGACTCTGAGGGGCTACAAGACAGTTTGGTGGCATCAGTCACATCATACTGTTAATTATATTACATAACGTTATGTCATGACGCCATATAATTCATTATTGATGCTTGATTAACTTGAATGGAGATTTGCAGCCGGTAAAGTTTAACATCTTGACTTGCCTTACCCGTTTTATCTTCATTTGAAGTTAAAGACCGCAAGCTTGTTTGAGAAAAAAAGGTGCTCATTTTTGCACATTTAGCTGCATCTGTTTCCACCGCTTTCCTCTTTTTAATTCTTGCCTTCTCCGCGCCACCCTTGCTCTTTCTACTTTCCATCTTTCCGTCAACTGCGTGGTCACGTGGTGCGCACAGGCGCATACGGGGGAATAAAAACGAGCTGCAGCCTGCAGGTAGAGACAGCCAGAGACAGCCGGGAGGAGCGTATGTGATCAGCCCGGCGGCCTCAGTGCCATGACTGAACACCGGCACCAAAAAATAAAAATAAAATGATAAAAAACAAAAACGAGAGCACCGGCCCATGCGGCCCAAACATTGCGCGGCCCACCGGGAATTCTCCAGACCCTCCCGATTAGCCACTCCGGGCCTGGCAAACTGCACAACAAGAAGTACATTTAGATGACTCAAACCTGTTTGTTTTCTTCTAGGATGAGCCCATGTCTGTTGACAAACCAATCACAAGGGATCTGGCCACTGTGGCACCAACAGCATTCTCCATTTCCAGTGCCGCTTTTGCCCAAGACCAACTGTTCACCAACGGAGGCCTCAACTACAATCTGCGAGGATACGGGACAGTCGGCAGCAACCAGTCGAGCTCCGGTGCTGCACAAACCAACGGTTAGTCCAGGTTCATCAAATACAACGCAACAGTTCTGCTTTTCTGATTCTTTAACATCTCGGATCTGAACTACAATCAATAGATTACTTTTTCACTCCAACTTCTGATTACTTTAAAAGTCAGAATTCTGTAAGTAAAAGTAAAAGTGTCCACATCCAAGATCTGAGACAGCTGGTGTTGGTCATGGACGTTTTTTTTTTTGGGGGGGGGGGGGGGGGGGGGGGTCCCCCACTTTTTCCAAAGTCAAGTTTTGAGCCTGCACTTTTTACCATCAAAAACAATATCACACTATATTAAATGGACACTGGTTGAGCTCTAGGAACAAGCGGAAAACAACCGTTTGTGTTGAAGCCGGTTTCCCATTAGAACATACTGTAAATATGCCCCCCCCCCCCCCACCACCACCACCACCACTACTAAAGTGAAAATTACGTCCATGGTTAATTGGTTAACCCTTAGTGATAACGAGTTCACGGGCAAGAAAAAATGTTTTTTTTAAAACTTTTTTAAATTTATTTATTTTTCATTCATTCATTCATTCATTCATTCATTCATTCATTTTATTTATTTATGAAGCACTGTCATGCTACAAACTAAGGTAGTTCAAAGTGGTGAACAGAACAAGGCAACAACGCCCAAAACTAAAGGTGCAGTAAGTGTGTGAAGGCAGGGGAAAATCTAAATAAGAACCGATAATGCTGAAGCAAGAAGGGTGCAGAAAACGTCTAGCTTTGAATCGCTGCTGTGATGGAGCCAGTTTGACCTCGAGAAGGAGCTGGTTTCAGAGTTTGGGCGCAAAAACCAAGAAGGCATTTTCACCCCTGGTCTTTCATTTTGTCGTCCGAACCACCAAGAGACTGTGATTAGCTGATCGTGGAGCTCTGCATGGGGCGTGTTTTAAAGCAAAACAAAGATGCAACAGCTGTCCCAACGAGTCTTCTACAACCGAACCAAGATCTGGCTTCGCTTTACTTTGTGTCCACATGATGGCAAACCAAAACAGGACAAGAGGGTGGCAGAGGTGTTGTACATTGTAGTTTATCACCACCAGTGTGTGCGCGTGAGTGAGTGTGTGACTGTTTGCGTTGTAAAGCATCTTTGGAGGTTGTAGAAGCCTAGAAGGCACTTTATCAAATACAGGCCATTCACTGTTTACCGCAATGTTTCACAATGAGTCATGTCGTTTCCTCCTCAGGTCCCACAGATCTGAGCATGAAGTCCATCGGCCCAAACTCCTCCTCCTCCAACAGTCACGGTCAGGGGGGCAGTGGGGGTGGGGCCTCGGCCCAGCTCAGCCCTCCGGAGGTGACGGCGGTGAGGCAGCTCATCGCAGGCTACAGAGAGTCCGCGGCCTTCCTGCTTCGCTCTGCAGATGAGCTGGAAAATCTGATCCTGCAGCAGAACTGAGCCAAACTGTGCCCCCCCCCCCCCCCCCCCCCCCAGCCTGTCCATCTCCGTCCCTCGGTGTCTCACACATTCAACCAGACTTTCACACTCAAAGATACTTCAGTGGGTCCTGTAGGTGTGCTGCCTTCACGTATGCCCACTCGTTTCTGTATTTGGACAGGCCCAAACATATCACAGGCTGAAAAGATGTTGATTTATGCATTTGGTTCACTTTGACCTTAGTGCCCTGTTCCGTGTAGCCATTCGTTCTGCTCATTATGCCACTGGAACCTCCATTCGTCTCAGGAAGCGAAGTGAAGAAATGACGTGCGTTAGTACAAAGACTGAACCACAGTTAACACCAAATCAGTGAATTCATGTACACCATTAGCTCTTTTTACACTGACGTTTATTCTGCTGCACAGTGGCCCAGTTCTGATCGGGCCGTCCGAGTCACGTTAATCCACAGAAGGATCGCTGCTAAATGACGCCACTGCCCCGGTAACCTCAACAGCTACTGTACCGACCTAAATATACACCAAAAAAACACAAAAACATTTAGAGAAATAAAGAAAAACACGAGTGCTTTTCAGTTGGGGATTTGACCAAAAGAACAGATCAACCCTTAAGTGGTCGAAATGGAAAAAGTGCTCATTTTGACATTTTAGTTTGAGGCTTGCTGGCAAACGGGACTAGTTTGGGATACATTTAATGATTTCTTTGGGGGGTGAATCCTTTTATTACAGGCTGTTTGTTATTATTTATAAGAAGTATGGGTATGCAAGCTGAGGTCAGGGAATAAACATGATTAGTTTAGAGTCCTGGTTGAAAACCAGTGCTACTGAAAAACAGATTAAAAACGGTGCAATATAGAAGTGGAGTAGTAGTGGTTAGTGAAACGAGAGCGTAGGACGTCACCACCATCCTCTCCCGCTGTAACAGAAAGGTTGTAAAAAAGAAAAGATATCCCATGCAGCATTGTAGCCAATTTCAATGTTGTTTGTTGTTGTTGCTAACCTCAGAACCGAGGCACTTTCCCGTGTTGGGATCGTCATGAGTTGGAGCAGAAAAGAAACGGGACCTGGCAGAAAAAGGGCACTTGATGTTGCACGTTTTCTTTGGTTTTATGTTGTTTTATATACCTGGAGGTTTGCTGAGTGGAGAAAGGCACAAACAGAGAAGCTTAACTGTTACTGACAGACGAGTGAAGGCAGGGTGCTGGGTGCAGCGCGAGGGCACAAACGGGACGACATCCGCTCCTTCTGGCTTTGTCCGTCCGTCTGTCTGTCCGTGTCAACCCTTTTGACCACGTCAGACACTGAATCACACCTCCCACTTTCTTCATCGTGTCTGAAAACACACTGTTTGAAAAGAAGCAAGAGACAATCTCTGAAGAAGATGTAAATACATCACAGTTTACTCTCCCAGCTTTCTGCTATGGTGTGTGTGCACACATCTATGTGTGTGTGTGTGTGTGTGTGTGTGTGTGTGTGTGTGTGTGTGTGTGTGTGTGTGTGTGTGTGTGTGTGTGTGTGTGTGTGTGTGTGTGTGTGTGTGTGTGTGTGTGTGTGTGTGTGTGTGTGTGTGTGTGTGTGTGTGTGTGTGTGTGTGTGTGTGTGTGTGTGTGTGTGTGTGTGTAATCTGAAGACACACAAAAGTTCTCAAAGCAGACCTGGAGCACAGTTTAACAACTTTTACTGATGAGTCACTCAGCACAAAACAGTTGTGCAAGTTTGTGTGTGTGTGTGTGTGTGTGTGTGTGTGTGTGTGTGTGTGTGTGTGTGTGTGTGTGTGTGTGTTTGTGTGTGTGTGTGTGTGTGTGTGTGTTTCTATTTGTCTGTTTTTGTATAATATGTTGATCTGTGTCTGTGTGTAAGTGGAGTGACCCAGTTTGTACAACATCAGTCTGTGAAACATTCCAATGACAATGACACTCCGAGCGGCCAAAAAGCGGCTTGCACCTTATCGATTTGTCAAAAGTTACAGAGATATTTTTTTGTCTGTCACCTATCTCTTTGCAAATTTTCATTTATCTGTATTTCACTCGTGCAGGGACGTGCAGGACCTAAAAGACCATCTAACATTTTACTGCCTTGTTGTGATTGGGCTGCCAAAACATTCCCATTTAAATTCTATCGTCTAAAGGTAGGAAGCACTTTATAGCTCAGGATTAAGGTAACGCGAGATGTGATTTCAGTGTCTTTACCTCATTTGGAGCATCAGCTTCACTTCACACACTGATTATAACAGACACACAATGTAGAAATATTCTACTTGAATCAATGTTGTACAAAAGTCCATCTGAGGGGTGTTTGTTAACAGAGACTCAGAGAGAAAAAGCTCAGCTGATGAGAAACCAAACACATCCTTCATCTGCTGCTTTAAAGTCAGACATAAAGGGTCTAAATCCTGCCTCAGCGCTTTTCTTCTTGCCATCAGTTCTCAAAATAATCAGACACCTTATATTAGAAAGTGTTGAATCTAAATTAGTCACTTTATTTCACATTTGTTTAAGAGAAAAACAATTAATTGTCCTTTTAGAAATCTAAACTACAAGTTTTTGAACAAGAAGTGGGCAGGTTGAGAGTTTAGCGGCCTGAACAGGATAAAAACTCCGATCACTCTCGTTTAAATGGATCATTCACTTCTTTTGAAGCAGGTCATGAAAAGCATTTGGAACAACCTCAGCCTGGAGAAATAGAAAGGAGCTAATGGTTGTTCAGACTGGGGCCAGTTCTCAAACTGGTCAAAGCCGAACGTGATTATTTATAAATAATTTACCACAGAATCAAACAGAGGGTCTGTAACACCAAATTAAATACGCGGTTAAAATGGAGTGTCAATACACCCTCACCACTACGATGATTTTAAGATTAGTTGTTTTTAATTCCACTCTGTAGCCGGTTCGACTCTGACTAGCAGTTAGCTCATCATCCTTGTGATACCTAATAGGTGTTTCTCCAAACTGAGGTTGTTCAAACATGTTGACTGCTCCACAAAAACCCACATCAAGAAATGTGAGCGATGGCCTTAAGGTGGATGTATGATTATTCTGTTTGAGCTACTCTACAGGTTTTAGCCATCATTGTTTTAAACAACGATTCTGGTCTGGCAGCAACTCAGACACATGAACCTTCTGAACGAAGCGTTTTCTCTGTCCTCTTGTTTTTGACAACACCCCTCTGGACTCTGACAGATGTAACCGTAGATGGGTCCTCACATGTCTTCCGTGTCTCCTCTGACCTGCTTGTTTGTTGCTGTCACCATAGCAGATCCTCGTTCCTTACATGTCAGACTCCGGAGCTCGTTCCTACGACCGAACGCCTGCTCCCAGACGGACTTTCTGTCTGGGCAGAGTGAGGAAGTTTTAACTGTGTGCTGACGTTCCTGTGATCAGCAGAAAAACACCTGTTGTCCTGTTTTGTTTTGGTTCTTTTCTAATGATGCCCAATGAATTTACTCTTTGTATTGACTGAACAATGTAATCTATTGGTGTTGATTAAAATGCCCTGGTAGCTTGTGGATTGCTAAAGTGGTCAGATAAATGTACTGTATATCTGTACAAAGAGTGATACAAGATGTTTTGAACCTTTCTTTTTCTGTGGGTACAGCACTGTTAAAAAATCAAAGTGGTTTTTAGCCCTTGCCTGTTTTACCTTATCATTTTGTGATGGTCTGTGTAACTTCTATTGTTATTTATGATTTATTTGACTTGTTGCCTCTCCTGCGCTGTAAAGAGACTGTAGCTCTGTGCAGGGGTTCGTACTGTAAACCCGTGTGAAGCTTTGTATTTCTCCCTCTGGTTTTGGACTCAGTGAAAGTGTGATGTTTACATGTACAGTTTTTCAAAGGATGTTTTTCTTGTTTTGTTTTATTTAGACATTTTATTCTCCCTCCCCTCATTTATTCCTCTAATCTGTGTTCATTTGGTTAAATTTTTTTTTTGTTGCTTCATTGCATCAACTTCAGGCGTGACCTCCTCGACCTCCTGGTCACATGGTCAGTGTGCGCCGTGACAGCTGGCTGAGGTCGGCTCAGCGTTGTGGTGGCTTCCAGCATTTAAAGAGGTGGTATTTTAAAATAAGAGGAAAAAGTAAGGGAGTGTCACAACTTCTCAAAGTGGACCAGCAAAGATTTATCAAGGATTAAGATGATTTTCTCTAATGGTTTTTAAAAATGGCCTAAACATTTATGAAACTACAGTAAGTGCTCATAATCTCTTAGTGTCCTGGCACAATGTCAGGGAAAACTCCTCGTCCTTAATCCGACTGGTGCCCTGAAAGGTACACTTTGACCTGTTGTGACATCTCCTCGGTATCATAAAAGCCATTCCCCTCTTCTGGCCTTTTAGGGGGAACCCATAAACCTCAGGAAATACTGAATCTCCAAGTTTAGTTTTATCCGCTAATTTCTTCTGAAACGAGATTCAAATCTCTTAAAAAAAACATTAACATTTATATGAGATGTCTATTGTTTTGTACATTTATCATTGTGATTTAAAAGTGGAGCTTTTCCAGTACATGTGACTTAATATTTTAATTTTTTCAGTGTTTATTGGTATTGATATTTATTAATATATGTGAAACTGCAAAAAAAGTAAAAAAAAAAAAACACAAAGCAAAAGGTTGAACCTTTTACATTGGTATGTTTCATGCAAAACTGTCCAGGTGAGATTCTCTCTGCCTATTACATATCACTAACGAGGGACCTGTGTTTGTTTGGAAATAGCGCTTTTTCAGTGTTGCATCAACGCTATGAAAAACAACAAAAACACACAAAAATAAAGAAAAACAAAACAAAAAAATTAAATACAAATAGAGAGAAAACACTGGTTTACCAACAGCAGAATTGTATGGCTCTCCGCTTCTCCTGAGATGTCAGTAATTGAATAAAACAGTGCGATGAGCTATCAAACTGAGACCAGACTCCTGGGCTCCTTTCTTTGTTTACTTTTATTCATGTATGCAAACTCACAAGTCTCTGAAGGGAAACACACACACACACACACACACACACACACACACACACAAAAGATTCTTTCAAGTGTGTCATATCCCATACAGCCACCTCTAGAGGGCAGCAGAGGCACAGTGATTACTATCTCATCAGCATCAGTGATCGAAAATAGATCCTAAAGATTCATTTCATTGTTTTCATTTTAACACTTTTAATATGAAATGTAAAAAATTATGTCAAAATGTATTTGTTTCGGTGGTCGGAAGGTTGGTCAGGTGGTTTCTGGTGCCAATAATAATTAAATGTTGTAAAATGGTCAAATCTGTAAAAATCTTAAAATGGTCTTGCTTCTTCGGTATGTGTGCAGGGTTGTTTCCTCTTTGGAAGCTTCTGGAAAATTTCACCTGAGCTTTGCAGCATCCACGAGTCTCTGCTTAACTGGGTCGGCCCAAAAGGACCACCTTCCAGGACGTTTGGAACCAACAAAGTGTTTAAATTAGAGGGTACTTGGAATGGCCCTGTAGTGTTGCTGAGCATTTTACTGCTGACAGTGAAGTGCATTGAGAGTCACAGCTTGCGACATTCAAATGAAAAGGTATGTGTCAAAGTTTTTGACATATTAAACCAACTTTTATCAGAAGGAGCCATTTCTGTTTGGCCTTTCACACATCACTAATTCACTTGGCCAGCAGGTTGGAGAGGGCACAGACTTCTTGTGTCCTACATTAGACATTCCAAGTTGTCTGATACTCAACAACAACAAGGTAAATGTAATTTTGAATTCTAAAGGGGACATATCCTGCCTTAGAGGCACAATGTGTAAAAACTTTTGACTCGTTAACTGCATGCATGTGAAAGCGCAAACACAGACCATTATATCTTGTACATCCCTAAACAGCCACCATATTTCAAGATGGCGCATGAGTATGGGATGTCGACCACATAAAACCATGTAAAAATGTAAAATTTCAAGGCAAGAGGAATGCTTAGAACTAGGCATTTCTCACTTCACAGTGCCCTGAATGTTATCTGAAAATGTGAAAAACCCAGAATCTGAAAAAAGTAAAGGAAGTAAAATGCAGTCCAACAGAGAGCCCTAACCCTAAACAATATTCAGCAAAAGAAATAGATTTGTTTAAAAGATCACTTGCTTTGACCATGACACAGCGATCGTTAGTACATGTGCTATAGCTCTCATGTTTAATATATTTATTGTTTTATTTTGGCCCGATAGCAAACTACTCTTCATTTATTCTAGGGCCCAATCCCAAAACTCGCACTGCGCCCTACGGTCTTCTGTGAAGTGCACTTAGAGGAAGTGCGCAGTAAGCAGAGGTGTAGGCTTGAATCACATGACTTGGACTCGAGTCATTATTTTAATGACTTTTGGCTTGAATTGATACAATCTATAAAGACTTACGACTTGACTTGGACTTGAAAGCCAATTACTTGTGACTTCAATCGACTTGCTTCTGCATGTTGACTTGTTGGTGACTTGAGCATATTTGATATTTTAGCGCAAAAGTGGCACGACATGTACACAAATCACAGCAGCACTTTGTTCCATTTTTGGTTCTTTTTTAAACACAAATGAGGTTTTTCTTTACCTTGCTGACGTTTCGTTTGCGGCTGCAAACATCTTCAGAGCTTCAGAGCACTTTGTTTATAATCAGTTTCAGGTGCACTTTCTGCTTGTTTGAGCAAATAAGTGAAGCTTTAAGAAGCTTTATTTCTGGAATTTATTTATCATCATTGTCGTTAAATAGAAGTTGGACTTGATTATGACTTGAAACTTCAAAGTTAAAGACTGGGACTTGACTTGGACTTCCACATCATTGACTTTGGACTCAACTTGGACTTGACTGGAAAGACTTGTGGCTTACTTGTGACTTGCAGAGCAGTGACTTGGTCACTCCTGTGGCAGTAAGGCTCCGAGTGTAGTACATAAGTGTGCAAACAACTGCTGAATTGAGACAGTGACTGGGATGCCGGTCGCTGTACTACTTTTTAAAAATAAGCCTTTATTAACAACTTTTCACCCTCCCACTGTCTTTATGGGTGACCCTGCGGAGGAAAGTTGACCATTGAGCAGGATTGATGGTTTATCCCTTGAGGTCCACATGGCAGGGGCGAGGTGGTGCTCACTCCTCACCCCTGCCACATGGACCCAAGGGATAAACCATCAATCCTGCTCAATGGTCATTTTTCCTCACGGGGTCACCCATTAGGACAGAGGGAGGGTTAAACAGGCAACCAAACAATAATTTGAAGTACATTTACATTAATTTCTGCTTTGTCTAAAACATTCAGAGCATCAATTAATTGACCTAAAATGAACTACTTTCATTTGAAAATAAATATTTTCAGAAAGGCCCTTGAGCCTTTTCCCCCACAGCAATGGATTGTGGGTAATACCCTTCACCCAAGTCCGATGCAGACTCGGGTGAAGTGCAAATTAAGGGTGCAAAAAGGACGTGATCAACTTGCACACTTGAGAATTGGGATACCCTTCGCACTTGCACCGTGATTGTGCAATTTAAGGGTGTAAGTGTGGAAGTGTGAGTATTGGGATGACCTCATGGTGGTGCTGTTGTTTCTAACAATAACCAAACTCCAAGCAAAGATAAAAACATTTCACAGATCACTGAAAAGAATAAAAGATGTTTCTATCCTACAGACAACTACTGTTAAAACACCAAACAGTGCCTTTTAAAATACATTTTCAGTTTTTTATTGTTTTTAAAACAGTTTGATGGCTTACGTCATTGTGCTTGTGAGTCACAGTTTTAGTTGTTCTCTTTGTTCTGACACGTTCTGTACTGGTCAGGTTTTAGTTGAACAGGTTTCAGATTTCCAACTGGAGAATTGTTGCAATCTTTTTGCTGTGCTTAAATTTGGCAGGTTTCACCAGCGCTCGTGTGTAACAGAGCACCGTGTTCTATTAAACACAGGTCAATATTCCCACAGACTCAACCCAACTCAGACTCATTCACAGTGTGTGTTATTAAAATGTCTTATTTTGTGTTTGAGGCTACGTTTTTAAAAATTATGCCAACAAATAAAAATATGTGAATGATTTTAATGTATCTTTGAAACAATAAAAATAAACTAGGGATTTCAGAATGCACTTTGGGTGGCAATTAAACAAAATGCAGCTTTAAAAGCGCATGTGCACATATGCGGCTCAACATAGGCAAAAGTGACTTCTAGCTATGTTTGTGTTTGTTATGATGTGTAATTAAAGATCATGGCTGTGGCGGCCATCTTAAATTGGATCTCCACCCAAATTTAATTAGTTGTAAATGAACATGCAGCGTCTCGTTTCAGTGAGTTTTATTAAAATCCATTTAGAGATTTGTGAGATATTCTTACAAACAAACATTCAGATTGCCCCATTATTGTATTTTAGCATGATATAAATGACCTTTCTGTTCATTTAGAGGACATAACACTTTCGTTTATTCACCTAAATGATTTCTGGGCACAGAAACAGTAAATACACCCCAGGTGACCTTTCACCCCGCGGTCTCTGCAGCTCCAGGAAATGAAAAGCTGTTCCTCTTCTGTTTCACTGTGTTTATATTGTCTATAAACTGTTAGCAAAATGAAACATTTTCTTATTTCTCTTTTATTTTTATGGGAGTGTTGTCACACTGGTGAGTTTTTTCATGCTTGAGTTTGTTTTGGCAACATTTAGGCTTAATTGGGGTCAAGACTTTCATGTTATTATTCTAAATTCCTTCATTTTATCATTTTATTTAGTAAAGGATCATGTTTCGTGTTTTCTTTTAAACAAAACAGCTCCTGCTTGTCGTGTAGCCTTTTAACAACCTGCAGATAAGAAGCATTTTGTTTTGAAAGTGTTGGTGGGGAAATAACCACCTGGTGCACGAGGGATCGTGAGTGTTTTTCAGACTACCTGTAACTTGGTCTCGCAGGGAACACAAACACAAAGGGGAGATAAACTATCATGCAGGGACTTTAGCAGTAAGCCTGCAACTTATTTTATGGCAGACTCTGGAAGTCCCTCAGTGACACGTAGCCCAGAGGTGCACGCTGTTGACTCGTGCTGCTGATCGAGCCAGAACCTAAAACAGGACGACACCTTAGACCTGGAAACAGCACGAACCCTTTTACCTGAACTTAAATCACTCATACAGCTCTTATCTGTGCAGGGTGAGCATGTGTTAGCAGTGAGTCAGACCCGTGATTGGACAGCTACTCTGTCATGAACCAGAAGCCTTTGCCCCAGATTCCTTGTTTATATTTGAGCCAGCAGATGTGCACGAGGGGTTTATGTTACCACTCAAGCACGTTCATGACTCCTGTTACAGCAGAACAGAAAAATAACTAGGAAAGAAAATACCTTGAAAGTACCTTTAATTTACCCAGATCATAAGAATTAATATAGATTTATTCCAGTTACTAGCTGATAAAGAAATGTTGCAACAAAAGACATCTAACAGATTTATTATGCATCTATTAATACTGTAATTGTAAGGTATTTAGGTTTTGGATATTAAGTGATATTTACATTTCTGCAGTAAAATGCTTCAGGATTTTGACTTGAGCCAAACAGACGTTTGAGAATAAAAAATGATGCCCTTTTGCAGGATCTCTCTCAGGTATTGAACATTTTCAAATAATTACGCTGAAGGTTAAAAACATTTTCTTTCGGTTACTTAATGCTAGAGCTGGACTGCATGGAGAAACAGGAGGTGCCCTTAATGCTGAAGGAGCTGGACGCCCAGCAGATGTCACATTCTTTCACAAAGTGTGTAGGATCTCGCAAAAGCAAGCTAAAACCTTATTTCCTGTAATGCTTTTGGGGAAATGTGCTTTTATGGCTTTCACTCAAAGGAAGAATTAGGAAGAACCTGTTTCACACAAAAAAAATACTCTTTGAATGAACATGAAAAAAATCATGGAAAGGAATGATTAAATTTCTTTGGTTCAGCATCATTCATCACGGTTGAGTCAATTTATTTACTACATTTGGACCCTGTTTAATTTCATAGGGTCAAACTATCACGTGAAACTGCTTAAACAAATCATGTTGACTCAATATGATTTTTATGAACTGAAGTAACTTGATTTTATTAAAATAAAAATAATAGTCTTTATGTTCACTGAATGTAGGTTTAGTTGGATGATCTGAGCTTGGGCTGGGGTGTCTGTATAGACCATCTTTGGGTGCGTTTCTTCTAACTGCGTTACTTGGTTCTTTCTCTAAGAGCTGTCTGTAGTCCATGTTGGACATACTCACTGTGATTTCCACAGGGGTCATTCTACTTGGAGACACTGCTGGGGGCTTTATGAACCCCTGTATCGCTATCTTTTTCAGTCATGGTTTGTGTTTTTGCTCACTGCCAACTTAAGAACTATGCACAACGTTTTTGTAGTACATGTATATTTCATTTAATTTATAACACTTTATATTACTTGCAGCTGAAGATTAGCTTTTGGGCTAGCTACTGTAGCACTTCTGGCTGGAATGTCTTTATAAGTATGTGGGAATAACTGAAGGGTGAATTTTACGGCCACATTTCTGTTATAAAACACAATTTATTTAACTGCTATGACTTTTTTGGGATTGCAATATGATACATTTTTGTAAGTAATTGTTAGCTTGTATATTTGGTCAGAGCTAATCTCTGTTTTTCCAAACTGAGGCCAAAGAGCCATACCTACAGGTAAGGCGATTTTATTTCCAACTTTTTTAAAGAACCCGACTTTGAAAGATTTGAATGATCACTTTAAGGTAAAGAAAGTATGGGAAACAAGACCTGAACTGGACAGAAACCAAATAAAAACAAGAATGACCATTTTTTTCCTACAAGTTCCTTTAGGTTTATAAGTGACATGACTGAACTTAGCCACAAACGCTGCATAATATCACAAACTGAGATGTTTGAAGAAATAAAATCCAGGACCTGAAAAACATTCAACTGTATATACCACACACACACACACACACACACACACACACACACACACACACACACACACACACACACACACACACACACACATCCAGGTTAGGACAGGTTTAGATATGTTAAACACTGAAGCTGAGTCCTGCAGCTTCCTCCATATTTTTATCACAGTATCAAGTTGTCCTGGCTGGTCTCCAGTCAGCTGGGTTCGACCGGTTGCATCTGGAAAAATTCTCCCCGGTTATGAGGGTGAAACCTTCCAGAAACATCCCTGTTTCTACGCTGAAACAAGCAGAGTTGCAACAACCCTTCTAGCTGTACATAACCTTTTCCCTTCCTCGTGGCTGTGTTTGTTTGTTTTGGCCCTGTTTAAAGCTTTTTTTGGACTAACCATCAGTGTTTATTTGCTTTAACTATTCTGGGTATCTGTCCTTCAGTCTGTTCTGTAAACTTTTCACAAGTCAAACCTTCCCTTTGAGATGGGAGGAGGTTTTGTGCTTTGTAATGGAATCAGGAGTCATCTTTAGAACCTGTCTTTAATAAAACCCTTCCAAGAATAGGTCAGCCAAGGAGGTCACCAAGAACCCTTGATGTATTTTCCTAAAATATTATTTATATAACAACGTGAACTATGTTTTAGTTCTTTAAATTGCAAAAATGTGAATCCCAGTAGGTGGTTCTATGGCTCTCCGTCCAGATCTGGACTGGTCTGGCTCTCTTGTTTGAACAGAGGGATTATCTTACAGCTGGACTGAACTGCTAACAAACTTTGTTCAGCCTATTCTTAGTTATCAGTGAAAATTTTAGCTAAATGTTCTCTGCAGGGTCTTTCGCAGCAAAGTAAATTCAGAGAACTCGAGTTTGTATTGATTTCTTAAGTCAATATTCAACATTATTCTCTAGTATTTACTGTATGCAACACATGGTTGTATAACAATTCTTGAAGCTTCAGTTCTTTAGTGACCACAAAACAAGAGACATCAATCTTTATTGTTCAAATCAGTGGGAACGCTTTTAATCTGTGAAACCAGCCACACCCGTACCTGATCACTGTCACATATCTAAAGTTACGCAGACCTGTCTGACAGCATGACGTGGGCTAAACAATCTCAAAAAGAAACTCATCATTTAAATAAATAATAATAATAATGCATTGAACTTTTATAGCGCTTTTCTAGACACCCAAAGATGCTTTCACACACTCTCACGTTCACACACTGCTAGTGATGGTAAGCTACTTGTAGCCACAGCCGCCCTGGGGAGGTCTGACAGAGGCGAGGCTGCCATTTGGCGCCGTCGGCCCCTCTGACCACCATTAACACAGGCAAGTTGGGTGAAGTGTCTTGCCCAAGGCCACAACAGCAGGATACCCCTGGCGGGAGCTGGAATCGAACCCATGACCCTCCGATCATGAGGCAACCCGCTCTACCACCTGAGCTACTGCTGCCCCAAGAGCAAAGTCAAGAACAAATAACAACATTGAAGTTCTGCAGGCCTCACTTGGTTTAGGTCAGAGGCCATGATTCAACAATAAGAAAGAAACGTGGCTCTGAAAAGGGCATCATGTCAAAGTTTCTCTGTCTGAATTTTTGTTGAGCAAAAACATAATTTACCCAAAAATATCCTAATGACCTCCAAGACTTTTGTAAAAGCCTCTTGGAGAGTTGTGAGACGAGAGAAATTTTTTGGAAGTTGTTTGATCTGTTTCATCTGGAGTCAAACAAACAGCATCATAGCAGCAGTCAGGCATGGTGGTGGCAGTGTGATGGTCTGGTCCTGCTGGGACACTTGCAGTAATTGATGGAACAATAAGTTCTGTTCTGTAGGGGAAATCCTAGATCTATATCTGACCTTTGACCTTAAATGGGACATTCATGCTGAAAAACCCTCAACTTTGGTATAATTATAAACAAATCTGTGAAAAAGAGACTCATTAGCGGGTATCGCAAGGGCCTGATTATAGTTATTACCTCTCAATAAGTTAGCAAACCTCAATATCTAAAATTATAAAAAAGTAATAACAAGCAGGCACAATATGTTAACATCCGCCAACCTGTGAGCTCTTTGTTTTCTAAAAACCAAAACGAGTACAACCTTATCCTTTTTGTGATGCATCGGCAAAATCTCTGCGTCTTGTTAAAAACTAATAACGGTCAGAACTTCATAAGAAATCTATCAAGAGGGTTCTGCACCAGCAGCACTTCAGTTTATTCTACTGGGAGCTGGAAAAGCATTCAGAAAAGAAGTTTCTCATTGTTTGGTGTTTGAAGAGAAGATGTTAACATCTGAGAGGTGAAAAAAGCAGAATTTACTCTTCCTGTAGCTACTGACCCACATTACAACTAAAACCAGGTGTTACACAAGATGTACCACCTGAATTAATAGTTTCTAATCATAGCGTTAAACAGATTAGGTCTGTTTAAGTAGGTTGAGTCTTCCTCTGATGGGTTTTATAAGACGGCGGAGTTGGTTTCAGTAGTGAACTAGTTCAAATTAGTGATTTATGACCGCTCTAATAAATCATTAAACACCAGTCAAAGCTTTTTATGGTTTATTATTAGTGTCAGAGTAAGTCTGTACAGAAATACATGAAAAAAACTTTTTACATACGAGTATTTTTTTTTACTTTGTCATAATAAAAATCTATATACAAGCAATGTGGGAAGACACCATCATCATAACCACCATCATCTCCATCTCCATGGCTGGACTATGGGGTGGATGGCAAGCTGATGGGGGGGGGGGGGGGGGAGAGACTATGAGGAAGTTGGTGGAGGGGACGCGGGCTCTAATTTTCCACTTTCACTGCTCTCGCTGAGCTTTCTGTTCAAAGCCATTTCCTTGGCGATGCAGGTCACCTGACCGTTGGTCACTGTGTACGTTCTGTTCCTGAAACACAAAGGAAGGTTCTGTTAAAGAAATCAACCCAAATAAACCTTAGCAAAGAGGACTGAACGCATCCACACTCACTTTTGGTTTTCAGACACATTTTGCATGCTGGGCTGGTTTTGTTTCGCAAAGAAAAATGAAGTCCACCAGTGGCCAGAGTCTTGCCTCGGAAGTGCTACAATAGAACAAAAATGTTTAGACATAATTTGTTTTGCAGGAGGGTGCCATTAAAAGATACTTCCAAAGCACGTCCATTTTCATACCTGGATGGTGTGGAATGGCTTCCCCAGCGTACTCAGCACTGCCACAAGAGCTGCTGCTGGAGTTGGACCCAAGACGTCCTACGGGACAGAATTTTCTCATTTTAAGGACTTTTGTCAGAAAGAAACGGCCAAACATGGACTTGGTGAGACATTATTTACTTCTGTAGTAGTCATGTGTAGCAACGAGTGAGCCACTTGATGGAATTGCTGCCATTTTCTCCAACTTCACGTGGAAAACCGTCCAAAGATAAAAAACGAAAACCTAAAGAAAAGAACAATATTTTCAATTTAAAAGAAAAAATATACAAACATTTATTTTACCACTTCAGAATTCTATTCAACCTTTGCACAAATAATTCATTCATTCATTCATGTTGTCTGTGGCTTAGTGAAGTCCAGTGACCTAGTATAAGGGAAAGCCAGAAGCAGCTGCATATGAGTGTTTGGTTTCTGCAGACTCAAATAACCAGTGTGTGTGAGAATGGGTGTGAATAGCATGCTGGTGTGCACGAGCAAGCTGCGTGATCGACCTGCAGAAAACTGCTGCAGTGGGTCAAGGTTGATATGTAAAGTAAAAATAAATACAAATAGTGTTTCTGCAAAATTGTTTTAATCACTAATAAATGCACAAATGTGAAAGGGTGAGTTGTACAGGCAGAACCGGTTGGAGGCTGCTGAGCTTAACTGTGAGCTGCTTTAGGGATTTGCACCAGACAAAAACAAGTCTGCACATCACAGCCCAGATAAACACCGCAGATGAGGCCAGCAGCCCTGTGTACGTTATATTTATACCTATTTACTAGATCCTGTGCTTAAAATCTGTTTGCATGTGTGAAAGGGAGACTATGCAGCTTTACTTCATGCACAAAAACCCCTTTTGTGTCATATAATCACCGACTTAACAACAAATAGAAGAACTGATTAGAACCTTTAACACAGACATTCAAACACAGACATAATATGTTATTAATTCTCCTTACCTGTTGGTTTATGAAAGTCGCACCAGATGAAAGGTGGCGGGAGGTTTTAGAAGAACGCTAACTGTGGACCATCCGTGGAATAACAAGATGCCTGAACCTCGCTGGTCGCTCTTTTGCTGTGGTCAGCGGCGCAGATCCTGAGCGCCTTTTAAAGCTGCTGGCCAGGTGGGCGGGGCCTGCGCGCCAGCTCGAGGATATGAAACGTGAGCTCCGTTTGCACCGTGACACCAGAAGAAAGAAGGATTTAGGCAGCTTGGGGAGGTTTTATCCAACCCGCAGACAAACACCGCAGCCTTTTATCCGACGTATGTCACAGATAGACGCCAACGGACAACGATGTAGGGCGTCTTTGCTGGTTTTATTATGCGCACTTTCACACATCACCAAAACGGAATTCTATACACCGATTGTGGGAAAAGGGTGGAGCATCTGCTGTAAACACGTGTTACATCAAATAAAATCCTGAAGCAGGGTAGCTCCCTGGCAGGGGCGGATTTAGCAATTTGGGGGCCCAAGGCGAACACAGACATGGGGCCCCTTACACTAAATTTTCGACAATCTTACCTTTAACTGGATTTGCGAAATTCTCCCCTCTTCTGACATGAGTTATTTTCCCTTTATATTATTCCTCCTCTTTTTTCCTGTATTTCCCTCCTTTTGAGCGCTTTCAATATTTGCTCTGCTTTCTTTTTCCTGTCAGTGCTCCTGTGCTTAAGCCTTAGTTATTTCTTTTCTATTTTACATTTTGGTCTATGTTTTCCTCCCTTTAAACATTTTCCATTGTCTTTCCTTTCTGCTTCCTTTTGATGTTTATATCGAAAAATGACATCACTTTCAGAAGTGAAGATAAAAGCTTTTATGAAGCAAGCTGCTTCTTTCTCTTATTGGAGCCACTAGGATAACTCCATTTCATGCTTCATGTTTTGACTATCGCTTTGAGTTTGTTACGAATGCTCCCGCCTCTCTTCTTCTTCTTCTTATTTGTGGTCTTATGGCACTCGGCAAACAGCAATTTGGTGCATTACCACCACCAACTGGATTGGAGTGGAATGACTACCAATCCCTTCCTGTTTGTGCATCGCCGTCTTAATAACCCTCTTATGACCATAATTATAACAGGGCCGCCTGGTATTTTTTAATCTTGTGGTTGTAAAATTGTAATAAAACGCGCAAAGTGTGTGTAACTCTTCTCCTTTTTTCAGAACAACCTCATCTTTCAGTGTATGGTTTGTTTTTAGGATTTATTTCTATTAAAACCTTTAAAAATCAGCTTAAAAGTGAAAAAAGCAAAAAACAGATTTAAATTTTTTACATTTATTACTGAACAGGAACTTCAAAATTACTGGGCAAACAATTTAAACTTTGAACTGTAATGCATCTATTCTTTAAAAAGTTTGAACCTTGGTATTGTTTTTTAGCAGTTTTTAAGACCATTTATTTTTGTAAACTTTCAGACATTTTTATTTGATGTGGTAGACCTTGAAGCAGTTTCTGTCCAGCTGCAGGCAGAGCGCACCTCCCACCGCCATGGGGTGCTTCTTTTGCACACCATGCACTGCTATACCAAAAACTTTTGTTTTAGCAAAAATAATTATTTATTGTAAAAGATAAATAATGCTGGAATGAAGCTGAATCTTACAATTAGCAAATAGTTGAGGGTTGTTCAAAGAAAAAAAAAGAAAAAATAAAGACTGAACAAACGTTCATACCCTGGTTCACTGGAGATTTGTCATTCTTTCGTGGTCACTGTCTTCAGATATAAGCCTTCTGGGACACCTACTAGATTGTGTTGATTTTCTTTGAGGCATTTCCATAATTTCATGCTGGCTTTTTATGCTAATTAGCTTTCCCGTTCCGTTATCCGCTTTCACCGCAGCGCTGCGCTCCGTTTCAATCAGGCTGTACAGCAGGATTTCCCCTCGTAGCGATATTGTCCATAACTCTGTTTGATTCATGCTATAGATTGTTGGAAAGCTGCTTTTATGTACTTTTAGGAACTGTTGGAATTATTTAAATCTGATCAGCCTTTTGGATGACAAACTCAGCACGTCTCTGAATCTGTGTTGTGATTCGTTGTGCTCAAGACAGGGAATCCCGGTGCCTACCGTAATGTATTGTATATGCACGAAAAGCCCCATTTTTAATCTTTTCAGCACTTTTAGAATTTTAATGATATCTTGAACGGTTAAGGAAATATGGTAACGAGAAGCATGTCCAATCCCATCTGCGGTGACAGGTTGGTAATAAGAATATTGTGGCATTAACAGAGGGGTGCCGGCGGTCAGGGCTAGGGGGCCCCCCAACACAAGGGGGCCCCAGGCGGCCGCCGACCTATGCCTAATGGTAAAACCGCCTCTGCTCCCTGGTGGTCTAGTAGTTAGGATTCGGAGGTCTTACCACCGTGGCTGGGGTTCGATTCCCGGTAAGGGAACATTTGTTTTGTTAGTTAAACTGTACTTAAAACCACACTATGAAAATTTTCATTTTCTTGAGCCAGTATATGCTAAAATGACCCTTTACAAGGTTAATGAAATGTGACTCAGACCCCACACCCTGTGGCCATTTGCAACTTCAGATCAGGTCTTTTTGACTTATAGAAAAATTGAGCTGACATAACTGGTGCTGCACTCTGCCCCCAGCAGCATTTTTTTCCCCCAATCAAAAAGTCATTATTACCTGTTTCCCACAGTAAAAAAAAAAAAACATTGAGCCACAGCAGCCGAGTTGGCGTAAATGATATTTCAAATTTCTTTTCAAATGAAATAAAGAAATTTTCTTCAAAGCATTCGAAACCTCTGTAACTGCTTCCACACACTTCCACTTGGAAAATTCAAACTTTCAACAGCTTTAAACATGTTTAGAGTTGATTTTCACACCTAGTTATAAAAATGGGAAGTACATAGTGGTGGTGTTAGCAAGAGACAACAACCAGCACATATTCTAATGCCTTTAATAGGAAAAATTCACATTAGAAAAATACTTTTAATCATGGCGGTTTTCAGAAGATGGATCTACAGCACTGGTGTGTCCAAACACGTTTCATTACCACACAGACCACTATGATGCTCAGACAGTGTTGAGCAGAGTCACACAGAGATAAATCAAAACATCACTCTTTATAAATGATGAAGGTGAGCTCATCTCATTATGTTGGGTTGCGTGTGTATCTTCTTTCAAACCCAGAGGTGTCTCCGTTACTCGACAGACCTCCAGTCACCTTATCCTTGGGATTCAGAGGCAAGTCATCAATATTCAGACGTTGTGGCTGCATGAACTATTGCCCTGTTGACAAACTGACCTTTACATTGCCGACCATTTCCTCAAAAGACCTGAACGTAGAGGAATGTCTGAGGACAGACAATTGAAAAAATAAAATATAATGAAAGGAAATGTGGTAAATAAGTGACTCCCAGGATGGACATACTGTGTGTGTTTACCTCATAGTTGGAACACTCATCGTGTGACTCAGGTTGCTGATTGACAAACAAAAACAGAGGTTTGATCATTAAGAGAAATTTAAAAGGCAAACTTTAAACTTAACTTTAAATCTATGAAGATTTTTTTTCAGAGAAGCATCAATACAAATGACAAACCCTTGAAAAAACTTATACACTTCCTCAAAATATAAAATTTTGAGGGTGTCAGATATATGAAATTTTATTTTGAAAGATTTTATACACAAACACCTTCAGATTTTACAGAATAATGCTTGCAAACAGAAATCTCACTGTGACTGACAGGGTTCAGCGGGCTCAACCTTACCGTGGGGGGCTTGGAAGAGGAAGCGCTCTGATCAGTCAGCATCATGTAAAAAACAGAACAAATAAAAATAACGACAGATGCACAAATAATGTCACACCAGCTTGTGTTTCCACAAGGCTGATGACAAGATTATCACCTGCTAATGTCCAGAAGAACTGCTGTGACTGGATTAAGGCTCACACTTATAAAAGATAAAGTGAGTCTTCAATTAACACAAACTCATAATTATATGGGGATATTTTTGATGGATTGGAATTGCTGTTCATAAAATTAACATATCTAATTGTGATGCGTTGTAATAATAATGACAGTTTATGGCATCTCACTTAAAATATAGTTAATCAGAATAGGAAATATGTTTCATTATTGAGTAAAATTAAGGTTTATGGCAATTAAAATAGAAATAAATAAAGTAAAATAACCTATCTTCTCCTGTCAGTTTTGGTTTCTTAAGGTTTCAGTTCAACACAATGTGAAGCCATCAGGGTGGGTGTACCTCATCTGAGCCAATCTCCTGGTAATGACCTCGCCCACATTGGACAGCACAGCAGACGTAATCTGGCCCGCTTGAGAGAAACCATCTCGAGTCCTCACATATCTGCAGACAGAAGAGAACTGAAATAATTAAAAGAAGATGGTGTCTGATTAAAGAAGGTTCAGCAGAACATTACACAAGAGGTGAGTTAATATGGACAGCACAGATAGAAAAAGACTCATGTTAACAATAAGCTTTATGTGCGTCAGTGCCCATCTGGCTGCAGAAGATCCCTCTGATGAAAACATACCCTTTTCAGCGTGGTGGTGTGGGCGGTTAATGCCACTGCTCCCAGAGCTAAGTTAGACTGCAACGCTATTAACAGGACACCGATCCTATTTGAACTGAACAATCCAATCACTTATTTCTCAGAAGGTATTCCTGTTTAAGGATGATGCACATTGCAGAAACATTACTAAAAATAATAGATTTCTGCTGAGAGGAGGACTCACACACTGGAGTGGCTGATGTCCTCCAGCGTGGAGGAGGCTGCAAGATATCTGTAAAGAGAGAACATGTACAAGATGAAGATGATCCATGGCCTGATTTAATAGGACACCTACTTGTTGGTGTGTGATTATGTAACCATGCCACACTGATGTTCTCTCAGAGTTGATGGGGTCTTCAAACTCTGCTGCTTATCATTGATTTCATGTGGGGAAATGTTTAAGAGAGAAGAGCACTTACGGGGCTGAGGTCTGGACCTCCTGCCAGCCTTTAGACAGGTTTTGTTTGAGGTTGTCAACAGGACTCATTCCCAGCTGCCTCCGGATGTCTGCTGCATACTTTTCTTTGGCCATCAGAACCTGTCTCAGGGTCTGAATCTCATCCTCTGTCTATGTGGATGAAAACAAAATTCCCTTACAGCCTGTTTGTGAAGCACATTGACTGAAAAAGCCAAAAAGAGCTGTAGTACCTTTGCAAGTTCAAAACGAAGATGGTCCAAGTCATTTTCGCCGAGATCTGTGAGTGAGCATCCACTTCCTGCTAAAATGATTTTACATATATTTATACATATGTCTGTGTGAGAAAAAGTAAGTGACTTCTGAACTATTTGATCTAATATTAGCCATCTTGCATTTCTTACATTACATTACACTACTAAGATTCTTGCTCTATATTACATTTGTTTTAAGTTTTTGATGAATTTCACTTTCTTTATATTGTAAATTGTTAAAATTTTACAGCACTACATTTACATTTCCTGCTAACGATTCAAACCTCAAACTTTTAGTTGTGATGGAAAAAATGGATGCTGGTTTATTTAGTTTGTTTCCTGGAAACACGCTGGAGCTGTCCTTGGTGCTGAAATCTTCCCTGCTAGCTAACAGCTAACTAGCCAACCTGTTGCTAACACATCCAAAAACATAAAAGCAGCCGACAAAAACAGACTTATTCTAAGTTTTATTAAAAACACAGCGTAATTTAGGCAGATCAGCCTTACCTTGTCGGCTCATTGCTGGCATTATCTCCTCACAGTGTTTTGGTTAGGCTATTTGTATCAAGTCACCAGAGCTCCGAGACTAGCAGGATGCAGCCAGATTACTGAGAGCATTACTAGGTTTACTCTCTCACACGGAGAGGATAATCTCACACATAACCACGCTCAAACTAAGAGTTTGACAATAAAAAATGTTTTAATGAAGCCCACATCTGTTTATGGTGTCTTGACTTTCATACAAACCCCTTCAGGAAACAAGCCAGAGAAGTAAAAATTAAAATGAAACTGTTTCTAACAATAAGTTTGGTGTTTTTGGTGCAATGAAATGACTGTTTAAATACATCCCTTTTATATGTTTTTAAATTACACAAACCCAAAATGTATACCCGTGTATACCTAAAATGTAAACCTATAACAGATATTACATCAAATAAGAGGGTTATTTTAAGTGTGTGGTGTTTTAAAAGTGGCTCGTGTTTGGATTAGTTTTCAAACTCATTAATTAAGTTGTTTGAATTAACAGGACTATGACAGAATGCTTATTATGAAAGACAGATGTCACAGTTAATTCAAGCTCCATTGTCCATTCATGAATCTCTCCTTATAACTATAATAACACAAATACAAAAGGAGAACAGGCGTCACACCTAAAATAACTACAGATTAACTCATAACAGTAGAATAAAGGCATGTCGCCATCTGGTGGTGAGACTTGCAGCCAAACAGAGTGATCCTGTAAAAAAAATAAAAACATGTGTATAGTCTGTTTTAATTCAACAGGAAAGCTCAAAGATGATCTTGCTAAATTAAGATAAACTTCAGGAAATAAGCAAAAATAGATGTGTCTGCTAATATAAGCATCACTCCACTCACTAAAGTAATATTGTTCATCATTTTTGTTTGTGAAAAGAACAAAACCAAACAGATTTGATTCATTTAATCTATTAATTGTTCCTGTGTATGACTGCAGGAAGCTGGTGCAGTATGTCACAGATTTTGTTATTTTGCAGTATAAAACTTGGTATAGCACATTTCCCACACGGAGGCAATTCAAACTGCAAGCGGGCATTAAACTCAGTGTGACAATATAAAACAGCAGCAAATCAGAGATGACAAGATGAAAAGGTAAAGTTAAATGGAGAGCAGCTACAGTGCAGAAGGTGCAGCATGAGAAACATCATATCATATGTGTGTGTACTGGTCATGTAAGCTCTTGTGTGCAAAGAAAAGTGCACCCCCAGCTGCACATCAACATCTTCATTAGCTTTTCAACTAGCTGGCTATCGTTAGACTGTGAGACACAAGCTAATGTTTGCTAGCAAAAAAAAACATGTATGGTAACGTATAAAAATCTTGTACACACAGGCCTTGAATACCTGTGAAGTTATTTAGCTTGGAAAAGTATTCTAAGAGGACTAAACTGAGCCATTGTACTTCATTCTAATATTTTAAATAAGTAAATTAGGAGCGATCCTGCAGAGTTTTCCTTTAGTTAGCGACATGCTTTGTGCCCACTGGCAACTATTGATGCCACTCGCAGAAATAAGCCTATTAAAAAAAAAAATTTATCTTTGATATAATTTTTGGATGGAGGGTTACTCTAGAGACTTGAATGAATAAATTATTACAAATATGTTTTGGGGCAGTTCATCTGAAATGTCTAAAAATTACTTGTTTCCAGGATGACTTGCAGTCGCCATGCCTTCAGCGGGAAGGAGCAGGAAGCAGATGATGTCATACGATAGGAAGCACTTGGAAACAAAATTTTTTTAAACAAAACTTTTTTCTAAGTTGTTTACTAGCAAATAAGTGGAAAATGTTGGATTAGTAACACTGTATTTTTTTATTGTGAGTCAAAAATGACAGTGATACACTTTGGCAACAATAGTTGCCAGTGGGGCTAAGCGGGTTAAGAACAGGAGTGATGTGCTCAGTTATCTTGGATCTTGTTACGACCCTAGCAGCAGTATCCTGAGTAAGAGGCAGTTTTTTACAGCTTTTATGAAAATAACAGCCAAAAGATCATTGCAACAGTCCAGCCTGCTGGAGATGAGCACATGAATGAGTTTCTCTAGTCTAGGTCTTGTCTAGACCTGAGACCTCTCAGTCTTGCTAATTGATGAAGATGATAAAACGTTGATCTACTTACAGCCTTAATGTAATCAGTGAAGCTCAAGTCTGAAATTTTTAACCAAAAAACTGATGAAAAATACTTAAAAAAACTCATCATTTCACTCATCATTCACTCTGTAAAAGTATTGCTTTTGCACCCACAAACGCACTTCACGTCAGCTTTGAGGAACCTTTCTTATGTAGTTTTTAATTGTATGTAATGATAGTTTCTACAGGGGTTATCCATCCTGGTCCGGGGGGATTGTAACCAGCATGTTTTAGTTGTTTCCCTGCTTCAACACACCAGATTTTAGTCACCAGGTGATTGATGAGCTGCTGACCAGCTGAATCAAGTGTGTTGGAGCAGAGGAACAACAAAAACATGCAGGATACCAACCCCTGTCCTTGTGTATAAACATTAGTAAAATATAGGTGTCTCTTTTGAGATATTTCCTCAGTAAACCAAAATCGAATAAATGTATCATCCACTTAGTGCCTCGTCTCACATGGCAAAGACCGTTGGAGGATCGCTGAAAAAATAGGCATTAGCAAGATTGTTCAGCAGCGTCCATTTCAAGATGTTTGAAAATAATCAAGAGATCTTGGAGCTCGTATTGAGGGTCCAAACAATAACCACAACTTTCAGGAAGTTCTGCAGAGGTTTGGTTTTTGTGGACTCATCTACAATGCCTCCCTGCAGAGAACCCAGACAGTTCATTGTGCCCCCTGAGGTGCCATCTAGGATCTGTGACAGATCTGTGACATCTCTGGGAGAGCAACGTAATTACTGAACACGTCCTTGAAGGCGTTGTGTCTCAAAGTATGAATACGGGCTGATTCTTCTCTTTCGTCCGTTTCTGACTACAAGCGAAGAGGAAGAACCTCTAAAAGGCAAAAACATCCAAGATAAACCATTAAACGTTCATTCAAGCTCACTCCAAGTCCTCCTTCCAAACCAGGTGGCCATTGCACTTTGCTCAAATCTGAGGGAATAAATGTCAACTTTGTATTCTTCTATCTCGCACTTTTTCATTTTTGTTTATAAAGGTGTTTTTTTATTCAGCAGATCCTTTAATAACCAAAAAAAAGATTGAGACATATTTACTTGACCTGCTAATTATAGAGTTTTAAACACAGCTGTAAGATGAAGACACGAGTCAAAATGTTTAGGAACATTTATTCAACAGCAAATCAGATCAATGATCCACTTGTTTCCATCCAGACACACAAATACCATGCTACAACAGAAATGTTTAGGTTTATACTTTATACGGGCCAAGTGTATGTACAAGCAACCTCAACCATTAACCCATTCCCAGTAAAAGTCAATGGTCTACAATACAACACCATACCAGTTAAAATGACTGGAAATCATCAATCAAAACATGATGGAATATTAAATCAATAAAACTCTAATAAATGCACCAGATAGCCATTTCACTATAGTTACACTTTATACTAGGTTTTCTTTTTAGTCATTTCCTGATCATTGATCCTATAGGTTTCATTTTATTTTAAACACAGTGCATTCAACTTTTAACATATATAGAAGCTTTTTTCAATATCTCAATGAAAAAGCCATGACAGGAACATCTATGTTTCATCAAAGGTTACAGGAAACATCATACGAGGGCCACAGGTGTCAACATCCTTACCGTTACGAGCAGAGGGTGGGCTACGGGGGGCTCACCACTTGTAAACCATTAAAACGTGTTATTAGAAGTTATGAAACTGCAAGAATGGCAAAGACGTTCATGGCTATTTATGGCCTTGCATGAGTGGCAATATATGCAAACTGAGTGGTGTGAAAAAAGCTGCCTATGGCACTGGTTCACAGATGATCTGCCTGGTGAGCATCTTCTTCTACAAAACAATTTAAATAATTACAGATGACCACAGCATTGGACAAACGATCAGTTTAAGACACAAAAAAGTATAATGACGATGAGAACACGTGAACAAAATCACGCTATGAAACATGGGAACCAGCTGGTTTGCATGGAAATCCTCAGCTTCACTAACAACTTAAAGAAGAAGCATACAGATGTAGATGTGATGTTTTCCCCATGACGGCAACAACGTGGCACAATTCCAGGATTATAGATGTCTGAGATTAACATGAAAAAATATATTAGGGAAAAAGACCATTTAAATGTCACTGCTTTCAGACATTTCTTTAAAGATTTGCATCCAGAGTGAATGCCATTTTTTAAGCTGCTACTATAACAACAAATAGGTCAACACGAGGGTTGAAATGGACCAAATCTAATTTGTAATGAAGAACAAAACAAATCTAATCTGAGGAGATTTAAAACAACCAGCTGCAGCAGGGGGAAAATGTCTAGAACGATGGTCTTTAAAAGGTGAGAAAAACACCAAATAAAATCCTGAAAAACACCAAATAAAATCCTGAAGTCAGCAAGGATTTATAAACTCCATCGTTGCGCCTGATCAACCTCAGAGCACAAACAGAAGATGACCCACAAATGGATGAGACTGAATGAAGGTCTGAAAACAAAATGGGTGGAAAAAATCAAAGTGAAAAGTGCAAACGTGTGCGATAGGTCAGTCCGCGGAGGTTTAATGATGGCACCTTAGCATAAATCCTCAACACCTGCCCAAATGCTAAACCTCTCATTGACTTGACCTCCCTCCCTCCCTCGTGAGCTGCACGGGGTCTTGCAATAATATTGCCAAAAAGTAAAGAGAATATGGAAACGTTCCACACAGTGCATGCTACACCATGATGAGAGGAGGGGAGTAAGGTGGGAGAACTGCCCGGTAAAAGGCAAAGAAACACTAAAGCAGGTGTGAAAGGACAACAGTTTAGTTGTTTTTCTTTTCTTCTTTTGTGAGGAAAACACGATAAGGGAGGGAAGCGGAGGGATGCGACTTCATCAGTTCCTTTCACAGGCCGTGCACACTTGTCCCTCTCCTCGGTTAAGCTTGCTCTTTCTAACATGGAAAATGGATTGCCTCTTTCTTTCATCTCACTGAGGTGGAGCAGGGAAGCAGGCAGGACCCCAGGTCAGGACTGAGGAGAGCAGAGGGTTAGTTGAAGCCAGTGTCGGTGTGATAGGAGTAGTGCCCATCCGATGTTAGCTGGGTCGTCTCTGTAGCCGACGGCTGCAGCACTATGGGGTCACCGCCAGCCTCTAACAAACAGAAACCATATTTTGAGCTTTGTCCTCCTGACATAATACGGCACGAGTAATAGGGCCTCACCTCTCTCGTCAGATTGCAGCTGAGCCTCCAGGTCCTCGGGGGACACGTAGAAGTCCTGCTCCTGGCTCTCTCGGGGCCGGGGTTTACACCGCCCACAGCAGCAGTTACAGCAGCAGCACAGGCAGCAGCAGAAGTAGCAACCAGTGGCCAGGCCGCAGAATATAAACAGCGCCTTTCAGGAAACATTCATGGACATGAGAAAGACGCAAGCTGGGTCGTGTTCAGATTTAGTAGATTTGTCTTCCTTACCTTTGCCCACCAGCTGGAAAGGACAAAGTAGGTGTTAACATTCTCCTCTCCAAACTGCTCCGCTACATACAGTCCCAGAGAGCCATATTTATCATAAATATTACGCTTTGTTGGGTCGTTCAGGATGGCATGGGCATTGTTTATCTCCTTAAACTTATCCGCTGCCTCTGGATTGTCGGGGTTCTTGTCAGGATGGAACTTTAATGCCAGTTTCCTGTTGAGGAAGGAAAGTAAAAAATAACTATTTAGCAAGATTGTGACAGAGGATCAACCATTTCTGCTTGGATGGAAAGCCAATTTATGATAAAATAAACAAGATCTATAAAGCTGAACGATCATTCTTGAAACAAACACCTGATTTCTCATTCAACAATATTCAAACTAAATAGGAACATTTGTGGATATAAGAACCCCAATGACAAAAATCACAATAGGGTCACTTAATTATGGAATGAATCATGGTATATATTGAAATAATAATTGTTTAAAACTATCACTCATAAAGCAGGGAGACCACTACCAAGAGATCACATTTCAATGAGACTCTAGATCCGGGGTGCCCAATCCTAGTCCTGGAGGGCCGGTATCCAGCAGGTTTTGTGGTTTTTCTGCTCCAACACACTTGACTAACTGGTTGAGTCACCTGTGCAGCAGCTCATCAGGCTCTGCAGAAGCCTGTTAATCAACTGCTGATTGAAATCAGGTGTGTTGAAGTAGAATAAAAACTAAAACATGCTGGACACCAGCCCTCGAGGACCAGGATTGGGCACCCCTGCTAGATCATGGACGTAATTTTCACTTTAGAAGCAGGAGGGAGGGAGGGAGGGGGGGATCTTTACAGTATGCTCTAATGGGACACAAGGCTTTAACACAAACGGTTGTTTTCCACTTGGTCCTAGAGCTCAACCAGTGTCAATTTAATATAGCGTAATATTGTTTTTGGATGGTAAAAAGCGCAGGGGTCAAAACTTGACTTTGGAAAAAGTGGGGGGGGGGGGGGGGGGGGGACATGCCCCCCCCCCAAAAAAAAATTACGTCCATGCTCTAGATATATTTATACCAGCAGATTCATGTAAGTATATATAAGTACTGTAAGTAATTCTTTTGAGACAAAAAACAACTTTCACCAAACTATAATATAGACAACCCTAAAATCTGCAACATCAGACTTTTAAGATTAAACAATTTAGGAACATTTAGACAGTTTCAGCACATGCAGACACCAGCTAACTAAGCGGTTCAGTCACTTAAAGGAGTCATGAACAGAAACTGCTGCTTTAAAAGCATAGAAGAGCCGCTGATGTGCTCAAATATACCCAACCAAAGAGTGAGGGACCAAAAAAGGTTTTAATGAGACCGCTGATTCTTAGAGTGGAACCAAATGAAGATATGTTACTGGATTCTAAATGTAGGTCACTTGAAAAACAAAATAATGCAAAATAAGTTTTTGAATAATTATTTTTGTCATTTACATACTTTGTGACCCTTTGGAGGTGAAATAAAAGTCAGAACACTACTTTGATTAAATCTATTGATCTAAACTTGGTTTTTGATGTTACAATCTCAGTTTTGGATGTCTTGAAACATAAATTTTACTAGTTGGAAGATTTATTTTAAATCATTTTCACAAGAAACGATCCTATTAGTGACACTTAAGAAAAACCATTTGAAATATTAGTCGGATTCTGGTTTTATTTCATAACAGTATACCAATACTTCTCACCTGTAAGACCTCTTGATATCCTCGCTTGTGGCCAGCTTCTCCACTCCCAGGACATGGTAGAGAGACTCCCCAGCAGTGGACAGAGAGCGCTGTCTCTGATGATCACTCATGATGCCTCACGTCCACAGGCTGGACACAGAAAAACGTTCCAATACATAACCAGAGCTTCTTCATGTATATCAGAAGCAGAGTGAGGCCTGTGAGGCTGAAAACTCCTGCCTGAATCCGAGCGATCTCCATTAAACCCACATTACTTAAATGACACTGAGGAAGAGTCCAGAGAAGACTAATTCATTAAACTTCCATAGTTTCTTTTATTTTTCATTTTACTCAAGGAAACAACAGATGGTGGACATTGTTCTGAAGAATATGCATTAATGCAGGTTTACTGATGCAGATGCTGCTTTCAGCAAATAAGAAGCTGGCAGCCCTGCAGAAAAAAAACTGCAAAAGCAGAGCGGAACAAAAATGCAATTATTCTTCATGAAAATAAAGAAAGAGAAAGTCCTTTCTAAAAGCAGACTGCCTCACTGCCTCCAAATGGGTGTCAGCTCGACACAAATGAAAAGCCACGCGTCTAATTTGAACATTTTTTCACCCAAATCCACCTAATCAGATAAGATGGCTGTTAATTTTCACCTCTTTGCATCCCTCCGTGGATTGCCTGAACATGGGATTAGATTCTATAGGAGCATAATCTGGGAGCAGGCATCATCAGCTGCACTGCTACAGTCGGTGCACAGCATCCATGTTGGTTCGCTTCCTGGCCTGCTCTTGATGCAAGGCAGAGATGGCTGATCAGCACATTTTCCCCAAGGACAAGAATCAGGATCTGCAGGAGGAAGTAAAAGACGGAGACGCACAGGAACGCTCACCTTTCAGTCGGCTCTGATGCGCTGCAAGACTAGAGATCCCCGACCCCGCTGGTTCTGATTCGAGAGTGCTCAGCGTGACTATGGCCGCATCTCGCTCGAATCCGGATCCTCTCAGGTTCTCACCACCACACGACCATGGACAGCTGCAGCAGCACGCTGGCCCCGCCCCCTCATACCCCACAGAGAGCCGACGTGCGCGTCACCGCGAACTGGTGAGAAAAGGTGCGGAGCGCGCAGTATGCAGTATATGCGCCGCGCTGGAGGGGGCGCCAAATCCAGGAGGAGTAAACTATTTTAGTTGTCATTTGGCTGTTTGTGCATTTATTCTGATTAAAATAATAACAGAAAAAAGCTACTGTTTATTCAAGTTTTACAATAAACACAAAATAGAAGGATTCTGAAGAAACACAGACGCCATCATTAACTCAGCAGATGCTGAAAGATGCTTCTCCAACAATAAAAAAATATATTTAGGAATATATAAAATAAAACAAACATAATAGCAGACAGAAGCACATTTCCCAGCTTGTTAGCTGGTGTCCTGCCTCAGGTAGGCTATGGGACTCCCAAATGGTGTTGGCTCGCCTGCAGGTGGTCTCAGCATGTTTTGTTTTTGTAAATGTTGAAATGAATTATGAGTCATTTTTACTGATACAATAGCTTTACTGAAACCATAAAGGAACTCAATGAAGAAAATAAAAGGATGGCATTAATTAAATAGCTGCAGATTGAGGGACAGTTGCACCATCAGGCAGTTCCGTAATTATGGTGTGATAGAAAAGCCGTGTTTAAAGATCAGTAAAAATGAGAGATGGTAACTGTGTTCAACTCATTATCAGACATATATCGGACAGGCCCACCAATAACATAAAAAACTGGGTCGACCCAAATGAAATGAATAGATTACCATCAGCCCAGCCCAGAATTACCATCAGCCCTGGAAAATGCTCACATTGCTTGATGGCCAGTACAGGCCTGAACCCCAGGTGTAGGGACTGAGGAGATCACCAATGGTGCTCGTCCATGTAAGACCTTAAAAACCAGAAACAAGATCTTGAAATGAATTCTGAAGTTAACCAGCAGCCAGTGAAGCTTCAGGGTTTCACTGCTCTTTTAGAATTATTCTTATCCACATTTCAAAATATCTTTCGCCTTTTTGTATTGTCAGGACAGAGATCTGCAGCACCAACAGTCTGCTGCCTGCTATTATTCCAACTTTCTCTTTTGTTATTGGTGAGCTATTAGTTTCATTTATATTGATAATGAATAACTGTCTTTGAATAAGTCTTGATATCTCCCCCTGAGCCTGAGATCAGTGGACTCAGTGGTCTCCTTTAAAAAGAAGCTGAAAACTCACATGTTCAGGCTGGCTTTTCCTTGACCTTCATCTCCACCCTCTCCTTATTCTGCTCTTTCTACCTATTCTGCCTTTCCCAGGATCCACCAATTTCCCTCTTTCTTATTCGTTTTCTCTCACCCTTTCCTTACATTTTTAATCACAATTTTTATTTGAATAATTTTAAACTTATTTTTTAATCTTATTTTTTTTTTCTAATTCAATTTTTTTGTTTATGTGAAGTGCCTCATGAATTTAATCTTGAGATCTGCTATATGGGGCGACGGTGGCACAGGAATTAAATGCTCGCCCCGTAATCGGAAGGTTGCAGGTTCGAGCCCCACTCAGTTTGTCGCTGTCGTTGTGTCCTTGGGCAAGACACTACCCACGTCGCTTGCTGGTGGTGGTCGAAGGGACTGGTGGCGCCAGTGCTCGGCAGCCTCGCCTCTGTCAGTGCGCCCCATGGCAGCTGTGGCTACATTGTAGCTCATCCCCACCAGTGTGTGAATGGGTGAATGACTGATTGTGTTGTAAAGCGCCTTGAGGGGTTCCAGGACTCTAGAAGGCGCTATCAAATACAGGCCATTTACCATCTATATAAAACACTATTTTCTTTCTTTCTTTTTATCAATTGAGCGATCCGACCGTGAAAGTTTGAAAGTGCGTAGGATGTCTGTCATGGATTTTATCAATATGTTTATCAACTCCGGAATTCTCAAGTGCGGAGGTTGATCACACCCGAAATACACCCTTGATCCAGACTTCACCCAAGTCCACATCGATGCGGAGCGTTACACCAGTGGGAGAAAAGGCTCAAGTGCCATTTCTGGAAATATATACGTTCAAATGAAAGTAGTTCATTTTAGGACGATTAATTGATGCTCTGATTTTTTTAGACAAAGCAGCAATAATGTATTTTTTTAATAATTGTTGTTTTGTTTGAAAGTTGTCAAAGTTGTTTTTTTTTTTAAAGTAGCACAACGACCGTGCATCCCAGCATGCGGCCGGTCACCCAATGCTCCCTGTCTCAATTCCACAATTATTTGCACATGTGTGTCACACGCTAGAAGCCTAACTGCACACTTCTTCCAAGTGCATTTTGTTGAAGACCACAGGAGGCAGGGTGAATTTTGGGATTGGGCCAGAGTGAAGAACCCATCCAATACGGCGGCGACGCTCTTCTCTAGCGCCCAATGTGGCGTACGTACAACGCACCTCCTCAATGTGAGTGTTGGGGATTGGGCCACACTGTCCCTCAGCAACCATGATGTCACTTTCAATAACCAATCACATCGCTCGCACGACTTGCACGACGCCAGAACACGTACCTATCGCGAGGTTTTCACGTATAGCTCGAATAGCTCGGTTGGTGCTGAGGATTTCTCGTGTTTTCTTCTGCTTTATTGTTTTAAAAGCATCGCAGAGGACTGCGCTTCGCTTATTCGTCGCCAGTTTCTTCCAGCTGCGTGGAAGGAAAGTCATCGGATCTTGAGTTTAACGGTAAGCTTTTAAAACGCAGGCAGTCCGCTAACTAGCTAGGGAGGAAATCGGTTTGTTTTGGACGCCTCGGTAATTTCCCAAGTACAAGTGTGTCGTTTGCATTCGTTTAAACGCTATTCAAGAAGCAGAAATATCATGTGGTTGAGTGTGCTTTTTTACAAGACCACCTGGTTCCTTCCCGTGTGTTTACTTCTCAAAAACGGCCTCAAAAGTTGTATGGCGGGTTCATGCTGGTACCGACGGTGGCCGAGTTGTGTCAGTGTTGCTCATGCTTCTCTTCTCTTTCACATCTCAGAATCTTTATGATGAGTTATGCTGAAAAGCCAGAAGACGTCACAAAAGAGGAGTGGATGGAGAAACTGAACAATGTTCATATACAGAGGGCAGACATGAATCGGCTCATCATGAACTACCTTGTGACAGGTGAGTTACTCCGCGCGTCTAAGCTGAAGCCTTTCCAGCCCGTAGAAGGAACTAGGTTTCATTTATGTGCACCTGTCTGACTGATCTGCTTGAAGAGGGCTTTAAAGAGGCCGCCGAAAAGTTCCGGATGGAGTCTGGGATCGAGCCGAGTGTAGATCTGGACTCTTTGGACGAAAGGATAAAGATCAGAGAGATGATCTTGAAGGGGCAGATTCAGGAAGCTATTGCCCTCATTAACAGCTTACACCCAGAGCTGCTTGACACCAACAGATACCTGTATTTCCACCTACAGGTAAGCTATTTTAAGGCCTAATTCTATAATGTGGCTACATTTGAGCTTTATGTTAGTAGCTTTTACTCTGATGAGCTGACGAGTTTGAATCTTGCTGTTTGTATTTTAAAGCTTTGAAATTGGAAAGTGTGATAAAGTGGGATGAAAGAAAACGATGACGTTGTTTTATTCTATGCTTTTTTTAGCAGCAACATTTGATTGAATTAATCCGGCTAAGAGAGACGGAGTCAGCGCTGGAGTTCGCTCAGACACAGCTTGCAGAGCAGGGTGAGGAGAGCCGAGAATGCCTGACAGAGATGGAGCGGACACTAGCTCTTCTGGCCTTTGACAACCCAGAGGATTCGCCCTTCGGTGATCTGCTTAACATGATGCAGCGGCAAAAGGTGGGTTTTTTAGTGTGAAGAATGGGCCTGTCTGGAGTAGTAGCTGTCCAGCTGTTGCTAGTTACATTAAAGGTGTGGTTCAACTGAACAATAATTATTTATGATGATAATCAGTCACTCGTTTTCATGAGGGCTGAACATAAATAGTCTCCTACACCTATATCCTGCATTGGCTTCCGATAGAAAACAGAAGCTTAAACTCTAGGATTTGAAAAGCCTGACAGATCATTTCCACACTGTCACTTCCATTCATAGACTCATTCATCTTGGCTCCCGACAGGAAAGGCTGTTGTTGATTTAGTGTCCAGGAAACGGCAGAGAACGTCTCAACTAGTAGAAGCTAAATGTTAGCACTAGCAACTCCACGAAACATCTTAATTCCTTCAGGCTTGTGTTATTTGTGGAGATAAATCATCAATGCCACAAAGCACAGTCAGTGGTAGAGTTGCATGGTTGTTATCCAATCCAAGGATAGTCCAAATATCAGGAAAACTCCAAATCCTGCCTTCTGAAGCTACTGGAGTTCTAATCTGAAACCAAACTGGAACCGAGTAAACCCTGATTGGTTGAGTGGGATTTGGGTCGATGATGTGTTAGTTGAGCAGGTTGAGTCGCGCTCAGGCAGCAGAGCGAGAGAGATGGACTGAGTGTCTGTTCGCACGATAGAGGAGAAGAGGATGCACTTCTAGACACACACTATTATTCCTCCTTGGTGAGAAGCGCAAAAAAATAATTTAAAAAAGCTCTGGTTCAGTCGGGCTCAGACCAAATGTTGGGAAGTCGGAAGAACTGGTTTTGGTGAGGGGTTGGGGGTGTGACAGCAGCCATCAGGATCTACTCATCCGTCTCTTATAGGGACACTGAAGAGTTCAATTCAAGTTTAGTAGAGTGTGGAAAGGGGCCTCCAGCAGTCTAAGCCTATAGCAGCATAACTACAGAGATAACTAAGGATAACCTAGCCTTTTAGATAGAGGCAGGGAAAGGGAGAGCCGTCTTTACCGACTGTACACTCCACCTCCCTCTACTCCCACACTTGTCCAGATCTGGGCTAACATCAGATTTTAACCATAGGCCCTATCAAATAAATTGTTTTAAGTCTAGTCTTAAAAGTAGACAAAGTGTCTGCCTCACGGATTAAAGCTTGGTTTATGCTTGACGCATTTACTTTCCGCTTGGTGATGCGGCTCGCGGATGGAACGCGCTTCACAACTCGCAGCGTTTATGGTTCATGCGGCTCGTCTCTGCGGTGAGCCAATATTCTCCCAAACTGAACGGAGCAGCATGGAGGTCTACGGCATGCATCCAACACTACACCATAGTAGAAGTAAAAATGACTGTTGTTTACAACATGGCATTCCAGCATTTTTTAACAGCGTCCTCGTCTTTTCCGACAGTGCAAGCTATTTCTCTCCAAGAATTATTAACAACATTTTGATCACGGTGATCTCTGAGAGCTGAATCATAAAAATGTCTGTATTTACGAACCTCTACCATTTTAGTTCTTGCCAGTCCGTCATGTTTTTCCGCATCCGACCGTCCGCGTGGTTAGAAAATTTCCTAGGTGTGCCGTGAGGAGGCGCGGTGGACGGGCATGTTGTTAAAATGACGCAATTTTGCCGCGCGGAGCCGTGCGAACCTCGCGGACGCGTCAAGCATAAACCAAGCTTTAAGCTGCGGAGCTGGTTCCACAAGAGAGGAGCCTGATAGCTAAAAGATCTGCCTCCCATCCTATTTTTAGATATTCTGGGAACCACCAGTAAGCCGGCAGTCTGAAAGCGAAGTGCTCGGTTAGGAACGTATGGAACAATCAGGTCACTGATGTATGATGGAGCTTGTTTAAGAGCTTTATATGTGAGGAGGAGGATCTTAAAATCTATTCTGAATTTAACAGGTAGCCAGTGTGGGGAAGCCAAGACAACAGCCATCAGGATCTACTCATCCGTCTCTTATAGGGACACCGAAGAGTTCAATTCAAGTTTATTTATATAGCGCCAAATCACGACAAGAGTCGCCTCAAGGCACTTCACATAGTAAACATTTCAATACAGGTCAGTTCAAGTCGGAAGAACTGGTTTTGGTGAGGGGTTGGGGGTGTGACAGCAGCCATCAGGATCTACTCGTTCGTCTCTTATAGGGACACTGAAGAGTTCACAGGAGAGTGAGCTTGTATGAATGAGAGAACAATCAAAGAGAAATAAAGGACGTTGTGCTAATGTTCCACCCAGTAGAAGTTTTTATTACACTTTTGTTTCATGATAATAAATTAATGTTAAATTCTACTTGAAGAAAAACTGGAAGGAAGCTTTTGTTCATTTCAAGTTACAGAAGGCCTTGTTTTCCTTATTTGCTCCTCCCCAGACACCCTAGACACGAGGAAATGTTAAAAGTCAAAATGTTCCCAAAGGACAGGTTTGTGGCAAGACAGAGGTTTAGCTAACTGGTTGGTGAAGGAGATGGGTAGGCTGTCATTTAATCCTAATTCAGCACACAGCCCCATGCTAGTTTTATTATTATCAGCAAGACTAAAACAAACCTCTAAAGTATTATACCGGTGCGGCATTTCTCATTTCCCCGTTTCCGTGCCTTAAAGTTTCCCACATCACAGCTGAGCTTCAGACAGCAAATGTTGGAGTCAACGTGGATGTTATATATGCAGAAACAACACAAGCCTGGAGGAGCTTATGCTGTGTGCTGGTGTTGCTAATGCTAACAGTTAGCTTGAACTAGCCAAGACGTGTACTGCTGATTCCTGAATGTTAAAATGAAAACCGTTGTGAGTCAAGATCAGTGAGTCCATTATGAATACTAATTCAGTGTAATGTAGATCTGAGAGGAGGGATCAGAAGCAAATGCAGGAGATGGGTGTAGGAGACTATTGTCATGTTCAGCCTGCATGAACAACTCGGTGACTGATCACAATCAGAAAAAAATTTAAAAAATGTTTGGGGGGGGGGGGGGGGTCAACCACACCTTTTAAGCACTGTTATTCATTCAGCATGCAGATGAAACTCGAGTGACCGATCGTATTTCTAAAAGAACACATATTATATGTATCTCGTGAACATCCAGCTGTTGCTGGCCACGCCTTCCCACCTTCTGACTGGCTAGTTATCACAGTAAAAACCAGAAATTACGGGTTGCATTCCTGCTTTCCAAATATCTGAGCAGCACCAACAGCATTCAGGTCTGATGAAGAAGATTTCTGAAGTCCTAAGTGAGCATCAGAATGAGGAGGAAGAGATTTGATCGACTTTGAACATGGCATAATTGTTGGTGCCAGAATGGCAAAATGTTTCCACCCATAAGTGCGTGTGCATGATCACAGTGGCCCAAAGATGGTTGTAATGCACCAGTCAGCTGCAACAAGATGAATAACAGTCTAATATTGGTTGGTTCCTCTTTTGCTCTCATTTGCTTTTCCACATTTTGTTGTATAAGTTTAGGTGTTGGTGTTCAGCACCTTGGACTTACACAGAGGTTGTGGAAGGTGGTATGTAAATAATACATGGCAGAATAAAACCAGTTCAGGGTTAGATCCCTGACAACACGATTCAGGAAGATGTGTGCAGTACAACCCAAATACGACCCCCTCCCCCCCACGTAGCGGTCTAAACGTCAGGAATTATTTGTTTGTGATTTTGTAACCGTTTATGTTGCGGGTGGGTTTTATGTACCTCCAGGTTTGACCCTCGTGATTATCTTGCTGAACAGGTTTGGAGCGAGGTAAACCAGGCTGTGCTGGACTATGAAAACAGGGAGTCGACACCCAAGCTGGCTAAGCTGCTGAAGCTGTTGCTGTGGGCTCAAAACGAGCTGGACCAGAAGAAGGTGAAGTACCCTAAAATGACGGACCTGAGCTCAGGGACCATCGAGGACCCCAAGTGAACAGAGCCACCACCTTCAATGTCTCCTTAACCTATGATCAGTCAGTGACTGCGCTTAACTCATTTTCTGAACTGTAACTGCTGGTATTGCAAAGTGACACAAATAAGCGGGTTTAATTAGAGTTTCTGGGTTTTGAAATGGATCCGGGTGGCAAGTTAAATTAGTTGTTTTCTATTTTGTCTTTTAAAGCTGTTCGTATCATTTTTGGTGACCATTTACAAAGAAAAAAAAAGTTTGAGCCGAAGATCTTATTTTGCCATAAAGAAAGTTAAAGGAATAACTGATCAAAGGTGTGTGTGTGTGTGTGTGTGTGTAGCCAGTATTTCGACTGCTGCAACTGTTGGCGACACGTAGTTTTATTCTTTTGTTTTGCTAAAATTTTTGCCTCCTGCATAAATGTGCAAGAGCTTTGGTGATAACGTTGTTAATGAATTAGGCCCGCAAACTGACATAATGAAGTCATTCATCACACACCCTGCATGATTCAGACAAATGTAAACATTTGCAACGTGACCCAATAGATTCCAGTTGAAAATGTCCATATTTGTCCCAACCAGCCCAGAGATGCTGGCTCTAAGTGGATGAGGGACGAGTGAAACTGAAGATTTCAGACTGAGTTGGTTTTAAATCAGATATGAATTTTAATGTTTCTAAGGCAAAAAGTGATTATTTTTCCACTCACTGAAAAGGTAGGTTTTAACTCATTCACTGCCAGCGTTTCTCACTGTTTTTACTGTTTTTTTAAGAGTGACAGAACGTTGTGCGCTAAGATGACGTTGACGCCAAAACAACCAAAACAAAGCAGAGACTCAGCTCTGACATCAGGAAGAATCCGCGCGTTTCGAGCGTTATCCGTTCTTTCATAATCCGTTGTTGAATTGTGATCGGCAGAAGCTTTTCCGGTTCACGCTTCACTTTTTTTTACAGCAGCGGCCCAAAACGATCTCCTAACACATGGATGTTCTGCTTCCTGATCACGTGACGTGGGACGTACGCGGATGAAGATCGGCTTTAGAGCTGAGATGTTTGTTCTCACGGTGCGGGGGCTCGTCCGACGCCCACACAGTAAAAAAATACAAATGACGACTTTAGTCGTCATTGGCAGTGAATGAGTTAATATAGTTTTAATTTGTGTTATATTCTATGGTTGTGTTCACCTTTTTGCGTGAGTTTGGTCCAGTTCACTAAAAGGTAGATTATTATGCCATATCTGGGATAAATGCCTTTATTGTTCCACGTGTGTAACAGAAACGGGCTGAAATCAGAGGATTGCCTTTGGTTTTGTATTTCTGATGCAGGATTTAAGTGCTGCTGGAGAGAAAAGGCAGCTTGTAAAAATCTGACTGCATTTTAGTTCAGATGTTTTTGTGAAACGAATTCAGAGAGCTGCTTTTTTTCTGTCTTTGATAATTTATTATTCAGTGTTCATAAAGTGTAAATCTAAACCTGTATTTTCAAGAGTTCTTTTATTTTTTCACTGCATGTGTGTGGTTTGTTTTTGGACTTGTGTTTATTTATTTTTTATTTGTGTTTCTAAAGAAAACAAACTTGCTGCTACTTGTCCATATTACGTTCAAAGTTTGCATTGTCTTTATAGGATTTGGCTTTGAGACCCAAACAGATTACAACTTTTATGAGTCCACATTTCTATGGTCAAATTTGGGAAAAAAATCCACATAAAATAAAAATTAAAATTCAGCTGTTTTTGTGTTTTGACTTGTGAATACACACCTGAAGAAAACAGCCAAAACACGCCCCTTTCTGTGTGCTTCCTCATGCAAATGAGCCCTGGACTGGAGAGAAACCACCTCCAGATCCTGCCTTCAGTGGAAATCCCAGCTCCCTGGAACAGAAAGAGTTCGTTCCAACTCGTCTGATCAGTCAGGCCGGTTTAAGGTTATGAGGAACATCAGGGTGGAAGTGGTGAGCTGTCAGAGAGGAGTTCTCTGAATGGCTGAGCAGCTAGCAGCAGGAGAGCACATCAAGCTTTCAGATGCCTCACAGCTGGAGCAGAACTACAGACCCAGTGGACCTGATGGAGAACAGCTGGACCAGCGGACCCGGTGGCCGAGGTGAGACAAACAATTCTTTCAAACTTTTATTTGAGTTTAATGAGGTTTTATATGTTCATTTCATCTCAAACACGAGGAAATGTGCTGTGCTGTCAGTTAAATTAGTTAGATTATTTTATTCCTCGCAAGATTAGTTTATCTAATTTAGTTCTTCCAATAAATCAGATTTTAGGTTCATTCTATTGAGCACAAATTGCTGTTGCGTCTGCCTCTCGAGCCGCCATAATTATGTTTTTAACATTTACTGTAATTGGTTCCTACTCAGCAAGTGGTGGTCTATAAATAAATATTCCACAAGAGGCAGATATTGTCACTAAAGCAGAAAAGGAAATGGCAGAGCAGGAAAGCATGACCGGAGCCTGTTAAACTCGTTAATAAGCCGAACAGTTTAATGGTTCAGGACTTCATATCCTGATGCTGCCTCTAAGGCAGGAACGGTCACAGAAACCGAAACTATGCTGCTGTTTTGTACATTTTATTGTCTAATTAAAGATGCCCCCCGGTCCTCATGCCGGTTGTGCCCCCCCCCCCCCCCCCCCCCCCCCACACACACACCCCACCCCCCACTTCTTAATTCTAAACTACGTCCATGGTCATGTCTGTCCTGGTCTAGCGCTCCTGTTGCGTTCCTCTCCGCTAATCTAACTCTTCCTTATCATTCATGACTGAACGTTTAATCAGTTTCTGATAAATCTATGACCGCACTGATCTGAGCTCAGTTTGTTTCTTTAACAATCTCTGAAATGAACATCATGTATTGTGTGTGACGTAAACGGTTCATTGTTTCAGATTTTATCAACAAAATGCAGGAGAGTTTATTCTAATAGAAAAGATTTAATTTCACATGCTATTTTACACGTTTAGTTTAGTTTTCATATGTAAACAATAACTGATTATTTATTACCTTAAATTTATTGTCTGATAACTTTTTATTTACTATTGTTTTTCTACCACCACAGAATTTGTGTTTTATCTATGAAATCTAAATCAACACTGTGATTAACATCAACCACATTAAATACTTTGCACATTAAAAGTTTGGGCTACAACATATTTTATATTATTTTATCAATAACATATTTTTATATGTTATTAAATTAAAAAAGTATTAATTCATAGTAACATAACTTTTTAAATCTATTTTTATAATTTGAGGAAGAATCCTGTGGGAGTTGGTATGGAGGTAGGAACTGGTGTGAGGGAGCTGCAGAGTGTTTTGATCTGCTCAGAAGCATCATCCTCCCATCTCCAGAGGACACCGACATCAGCAGATACAGAACCATAATAACGGATGGACTCCAACAATCTAACTATTCACCCACATTTCTTCAGGCAGACCACTGAGCACATGCTCTCACCCAGTGTGTCTTGTGTTAATTCAATTCAAGTTTATTTATAAAGCGCCAAATCATGGCAAGAGTCGTCTCAAGGCACTTCACGCAGTAAACATTCCAAAACATTCATTAAGCCAATCAGTAAAATGTCTCCTGTATAAGGAACCCAGCAAATAGCATCGAGTCACTGACTAGTATCAGTGGCTTTACAGCAATCCTCATACTAAGCAAGCATACAGCGACAGTGGAGAGGAAAACTCCCGTTTAACAGGAAGAAATCTCCAGAGAATCCTGGCTCAGTATAAGCAGCCATCCACCACGACTCACTGGGGATCGAGAAGACAGAGCACACACACACACACACACACACACACACACACACACACACACACACACACACAATGTTTCTATAGTTATATTGTGATTTCTTAGTAAATATTCTATTTGGTGAGAGATACATTTTATTGTATTTATCCTAGTGAATCTATAATTAAACGGGTAAACTAGCAGTAGCACATCTAATGTCAAAGAAAGTTAAATGTTATTATCAGGAGAGGGAGAATGTTCAAATGGTTAGCAACAGTGTTCAAGCCGATGGCCCCCACCATGAGGTTATCATACTGAAATGTAAACATTTCTGCAGCTTCAGGTGATGATCCACATTTCATGCAAATTCTTTATTTGCTAGCAGGATGCAAATGATGACACTTGTCTGTGCTGTTTGCAGATCCCTTGCTCGAAAGTGGATGGTGGTGTTGTTCATGGGCACCTGCCTGCTCTACTGCGCCAGGATGACCATGCCAGTCTGTGTAGTTTCAATGGCAGCTTCGTTTCATTGGAGCAAAATTGACTCTGGTCTCCTCCTGGGTGGGTTCTTCTGGGGCTACTGTTTCACTCAGATCCTGGGAGGACATGTCAGTGATAAGTAAGCGATTCATCTGCCACAGCATGCATGGCTTCACTTGAACAATGAGCTGGTTAATGCCCTGTCTCGTATGCTTTATGTTGGGTTTAGGGCTTCAGGATTTTCTTCTGTTAACACTTTTTGCTCCACAGGTTGGGAGGAGAGCGTGTTCTGTTCATCTCTGCAGCTTCATGGGCGCTGATCACAGCTGCTACTCCTCTACTGGCTTGTCTAGGCTCCCACACTCTGGCTCTCATGGCGGTGGCCAGAATCCTGATGGGACTACTGCAGGGTAAGCACTACAACACCTAACCCTAACCTTAAACCACCAAATAGTTCCCGTGTGCGGCCACTGCTGCAGCTCGCCGCTACCACGGGGATGGGCCAAATGCGGAGATGTAGTTTCATGCATGTGTGATGATGACTAATGGAACTTTAAAGAAGTCTTGTGATCATTTACAGGTGTTTTCTTCCCATCTTTGGCCAGCCTGTGCTCACAACGAGTGGAGGAGGGAGAGAGAGGGTTTCTGATGAGCACCATGCACAGCGGCACTCATCTTGGGTAGGTGTTGAAAACACCTTCTCATGTAAACACGTGCTTATCGCTGATGGATCCCTCTGTTCCCCCTCCACATTCCTCTCAGAACATTGTTAGCAGGTGGAATGGGGTCCCTGATGCTTGACCGGTACGGCTGGGAAGCCATGTTCTACTGTACTGGGTTTCTCTCTGGACTCTGGGCGCTCGTAGTTTGGCGGTATTTATTAAGAGGTACTGTGGTCAATTATAAAGCTGTTTACTAAAAGGCAGCAAAACAGAAAGTAACAAAGATTCTCCAAGACCGTTTAAATAAACACTCCAACCTAGATGTGGTGAAGACTGGGCATCTGAATGGGGGAGGAATGAGATTTAAGAGACATGACATGGCTGTTGGTACCAGACCATCTGCTGATGTACTAGGATTTGAACCCACAACCATCTCTAGGGCAAACAGATAATCTGTGTCAGGGTTCATCAGGATGAGTCTTGTGTCTGTTGCTGGTTTCTATATCTGCATGTTCTTGTCTCCATGTTTCTCAGCAGAGGAGGTAGACTTGTTAAAGCAGCAGATGATAAAGACCAAAGTCGTTTATGACTCAGAGAGAGTCACATAATAGATTATCAGTGTTGCCCTGCAGTGTGACATGTGAGAATGTTATTCACAAGATTCCACAGCGTAAACATATGTTTACTTACTTAATCATGAGGGTAAAAGCAAATTAAAAATGCATCCTTCTGTCAAAAATGTTTCAATTTAAAGAAAAAAGGGGGAGTTTAATTTTCTAGGTTGGGAACACCGAGGGCTGCATTCCATTTTCTCTAAGTTCTCCTTTCCTTGTTTTTACTGAAACCACCAGCATGTACAGTCACGGGAGTCTGCTGGAAACTCTCTCAATAGGGAACATGGTTAGAAAAACTGTAAAACAGGAAGTAAAAATGCCACAAACATATGATTGTTTGTTTTCTTCTTACATGTTTAGACAAACTTTACATCATGAGTCTTCTGAAATTTAGAATTTCTCTCCATGCTAACTGCTGTTGTTGATGTTGCATCCTGCTCCTCACGTTTTTATTGCGTTGTTTAGGAAATGTTTTCCCCAAGCAGGTGAGAAAAAAGAAGTGCCTGCAGCCGAGTGTCAGGAGAAAATATTGGCTGCATCATTTGAAAAAGCCTCCTGTTTGGTACATCCCATAAACTCTTCATTATCTACAATGACGTGAGCGTGAGAGGCTGTTTGCCTGACTGACCCAGTCTTGCTGTTATCTTCTGTCTTCAGGGCCATGGTGTTTGCTCACATGTGTTTAAGCAGCACGTCATACATTCTGTTGTCATGGTTGCCAACGTACTTCAAAGAAACATTTCCTCATGCTACGGTACGTTCACGCTACGCTCCACGGTTTAAGTTTTGACTATTTACTACCTAACCTGTTACGGGTCGGTCCTAAACAACCTGCTGAAGCTATAGCTCACAGCTAAGAACAAGATACATTGCTTATAGGGCAGGTGTCATCGACTTCAGTCCTCGAGGGCTACCCTCCTGCTAGTTTTCTGTGTTTCATACTCTACCACACCTGAATGGAGTAATTTAATCCTCACTTTAACTCTGCACAGGCCAGTTAGTTACGGCTTCGTTTGAATCAAGTGTGCAGGAGCAAAGGAACAGCTAACATGTCTTGGCTTATAGAGTCAGTAATAAAGTGTGATTCCTCTTTAAATGTATATCAGCAAAAATAAAGCTCTGCTTGGTCAATAAGAACAACAATTAGTAAATCCTACTAATTTTCTAAATTGCAACTGGAACACAACTTTGAAATGGATGGGCTATCGTTCCCAGAGGTCAATGAAACACATCCTACTTGTTTGTGTTTGCACACGGTCCCACTTTAAAAATATACCAAATATGCCTTTAAAAACACATAAATGTCTTAAATTTGTATACTTGTTTGATTATTCTTGCAGTCGTGGGTCTATAATGTTATTCCATGGCTAATTGCAATTCCATCAGCACTTGGGGGAGGATTTGTGTCAGATTTCCTCATCACTAAAGGTATAAAAAGTGTTTTCCCCCTCAAGTTTCTGCTCAATAACTGGAAACAAATTTACAACTTCTATTTTTCTGTTCCCAGGGTATGGTGTAGCATCTGTGAGAAAAATAATGCAAGTAAGTACGGGAACATCACTGTGATGTGGGTGCCTATGCTCAGTAAAATGTTACCATTTCAAATATATCACAGCAACCGTGGGGAGTTTCACATTTTGGAAATGCAAATGTTTTGGTAAATCTTCCATTTAAAGCGCTGGTATACCATGTAAGAACAAATAAAATGAATAATGATGGTTGGGTTCAGTTTCTGGTTTTGTTGGAATGTTTTTTTATTATCGTGGATCCAAATACTGCAGCTTACAGGTTCTGAAGGTGGATTGTCTGAGGTACAGGAAAAAACTGCTGAGTTAAACTCCGTTTTATTAAAGAATCTTGAGATTTAACGGACACAAAATATTCATTATTACATCATAACACTGTTTGTGTAAAAGTTTGGCTTTGATTTAAACTTATTCTCACTTTTAAAAATTCACATACATATAAAAACTGTTAATAAAAAAACATCTAAGGCTGTTTCTTAGGTGAGAAGCTTGGTCATCTGGGAGGGGCTTGGAGTAGATGCTTTGCTCCTCCAAGAGGAGCCAGTTGAGGTGGCTCAGGCATCTGGTTTGGTTGCCTCATGGATGCCTCCCTGGTGAGGTTTTCTGGGCACGTCCAACCGGAAGGAGACCTAAAGGAAGACCCAGGACACTGCCCATGTCTCTCAGCTGACCAGGAACAGCTTGGGATTTCCCCGGAAGAGCTGGCCCAAGTGGCTGGGAAGAGGGAAGTCTGGGCCTCTCTGCTTAGGCTGCTGCCTCAGTGACCCGACCACAGATAAGCGGAGGAAAATTGATGGATGGAAAAAGGGAAACCTGTGTCTTCACTGATCAGAAAAATCAAACCTATGTTGTCGAGAGTCCACCTGGAGCAATATCTAGATTAGGTTATTGCAATTCTCTCTATGCTGAGCTTGGTCAGTCATCACTGCATTGCCTTCAGATTGCACAGAACAGTGCAGCCAGGTTTCTAACTGGGGCCAGGAAATGGGGTCACATCAGTCCTGTGCTGCCCTCCCTACACTGGCATCCTGTTTTTCATCAGGCACGTTTTAAACTCCTGGTTTTTGTGTTTAATTTCTCTCATGGAGACGCCCCTCCTTACTTAGCGGCGCTCCGGAAGAGACATTTGCTTTCACGTACTCTGCGCTCTTCTGATCAGGGCCTCCTTGTCGTTCCTCGGAATAAGCGTTGAACTCAAAGCCAAAACTGCATAGAGCATCCTTTAAATACAGTAACTTTATTAGGTGGAATATAAAAATACAACTTAGTCCAGAGATAATAGTTGGCGTATTTAAACGTGTGCTGTTTTAGATTTGTTACAATTGCATGCTTCAATCCTGTGTTCACCCTGACACATAAACAAAATCTTTTGTGTTGGAATATTTTTATGAAATATCGTTTGTTTGCACTTTAAAGCTAAAATGGGGATCAGTGAGCTGTAACTGGCTTTGTTGTTAACTTTCATGCATCTCACCTCCTCAACAGTCTTTTGCCATGGGATTATCCAGCATGTGTATTCTGCCGCTGTCCGGAGCGGTCACTTTTCAGTCTGCTGTGATCTGCATCTCTTTTGCCGTCGGTTTAACCACCTTCACTAGTGGGTGTGTGCACATTTTAAACACAATTAATAATTACGCAGTTATTACATTTATTTATTGAAATGTGTTTTACTGTATAGTTGTTGTTGTGTGTTTTAGTGGTGTGTCTGTGAATGTTCAAGATCTCACTCCATCATGTGCTGGTGCACTTTATGGTGAGATTAATACTTTTTACTGATAAAAAATGTTTTAGAAAACTTTGACTATATTTCTAATCCTTTTGCTCCAGGTTTTATGAACATGATGGGTGCTTTCATGGGTATGTATCCAGTCTGGCTCTGTGTGTAATTTTTAAATGATAGCAATGATCTCTAAAAGCTACTGTGTTGTGAACAGGCCTGGTACTGGTGTCGTTTTCTGGCTACCTCATCGAGGTCACCTTGTCATGGGCCAAAGTCTTCTCCCTCATCACCCTGGTAAACACCACTGGTCTTGGGATCTTTCTGTTCTTTGGAGATGCTCGACGTGTAGATCTGCAGGATAACAGCCAAATCATAGTGGTTTGATTCAGACTAATCCATAACTGGCTAAAAACTAGGCTACATAAAAAGTGCACTAATTTTTTACTTTTCAATTTAAGAAGGTAGGAAATTATGCTGTCAGTGCAGTTTTGTATGTTTTTTACATTGTTATGAAAATCAGTTTTGTTGAACATGAACATCTGTGGAAGCTGAAATGAAAGCAGTTCATTGCTTTTTGTTATGTGTTACATCTGTATGAAGGTTTACTGATAAAAGCTTGATTTGAACAAATAAAACTGTTTCATGATATTTTTACTGCATCAACTCACAACAGTGGCTGTGATCTCTCTCTCTCTCTCTGTCTGTCTGTCTGTCTCTCTGTCTGTCTGTCTGTCTGTCTGTCTGTCTGTCTGTCTCTCCCTCCTCCCTCTCTCTCTGTCTCTGTCTCTCTGGAATATGGAAATAATCCATAGGTCTGACTCCTTGGGAACCATCAGCTCACAAAACCAACTAATGATGTAGACTCATAGGCAAGTGTTACGTTTTTGCATTGAATCCAGAAACAAAAAAGCAATGGATTTTTAAGCAAAGAGGAAGAAAAGTACAATCAGAATGATGAGATGTCCACTTTTCTGACACTGGCTCATTCCAAGTGACTTCAGGGGCCATCCAGGCAACGATCCGAGCAAACAGCAGCTGCCTAAATCAGAAACCTTCCCCGTGTCATGTGTGATCAGTATGCTGGAAAAATACAAGTAACAGTCATTTGTGTAATTTGCGCTCTGAAACAAAAGAGTTGTCACCAGGCTGAGAGATTCAGCTCTTACTTTGGAGACTTGAGGTCTCAGTGAATGATTTTGTGGAGGTGGAGGTAGTTCCTGCCACCTGCGATGCCCATGGACCAATGAAGCCTCGTCATGGACACAAGTCCCACTCATCTGGGTTTCCCCAACACAGGTGGACGAGTGGAGGAGCAAACCTGGAGCAGATTAAAGACAACACCATCTAGAATCATTTATTTGTGCAGACTGGCTTCAGCACTGGACAGTTCCACACATAAAGCTACACAGAGGAGCTGTCCAGTGCTGAAAGAAGTCCTCCAAGTTTCACTTTTCTATTCTTTCAAACCAAATTATCAAAACGCAGAACATTTTGGACTGGACTTGGGGGCTCAACCGATCACTTTTCTATTTCCAGATCCTGTCTGAATCATAGTGTTTCTGTGTGTGTAAATGGGCCCAGTGCAGCCATCACGCCCAGTGGAGATGAGCTTAATGAATGAACCCTGACTGTCAGCTGCTTTCTTCCTGTCCCAGAACCACAGTTACGCTTGTGCCACCGTGCGCCAAGTCAAGATCATTGTGTGTGATCAAGGGTTGCTGGTGTGTATTTGAGCATGCACATGTGGAAGAAAGAAAGAAAGCAATATTGTATAGAGTGCCTCTCAAGATAGAAATTGTGAGGCTTCACAAAAAATTATGTAAAAATATTTTTTAAAATGATTGAAAAGTATGTTTAAAACTACAAAAAAGTCCCTCTAACTGCTGTGATGCTGGTGCTCTACTGAGCACATGTTTTTCCACAAAAACAAGGCAACTTCATCTTCCTGCTAATAAGAATAATTTACAACAATCGGCAAAAAGAACAACATTAAAATTAAATAAACAATGAGAAAAAACTAGCATTTCAATAAAATTAACATTCTCACATAATAAAACATAGTCAGTAGCAATAAGAAAAACACAAATCTTAAAACGCTGCACCAAAGAATGTTTTGGTGAAACATTAACAACAAAAACAAACTATATCTAAATAAAATATTTTAGAGGCGATTATGTGTAGAATTAGAATTTTACATTTAAATTGCATACGCTGTTTCTTCTAAATACTAATACTTATCATAATGCAATAATAACAGAAACAGAGAAACAATGATCAAATAAAACATTTGATAAAGCACATGAAGCAATGCACCATTTTTAAAAAGCTGAAAAACTGAAAGGTACTTTGCTAAACACAAATTAACCTGAGAAGACACAGCAGCAGAGGCATCCACATTATTTAAAGGTTACTTAAGGACATGCTGAAAAGAATATTGAATAAATAATAGAAAAACATGTTGATATAAATTACTTTAGATTTAGTTATCTTCCCATAAACTCTCTAAAAATCAAAGATGTTTTCCAGGGTGCGGGTTTATGCTGAGTTTCTGTTATTAGAAAATGTTCCAAGTGCTTTTTCCGTCTCCCATCGGCATGTAGTGTGGGCATGTGTCCTGCAGAGGGCAGTATATCGAAGTTTGATCAGTATTAGCAAAGCGCAACATTTTTGTCCCTTTCGGCTTACCGTAGCCCCCACACCCGGCGGGATTGACTGAAAATGGAAGATTGTCACAAATGTTTAGCTGTTATCTTGTTTTAGATTCATCGTCAGCTAAATCTGACCTCGCCTATGAGAACAGAGAACGAGGTAATGTAAACTTTGTTTTAAATGTTTGACCTAAAAGCTACGGAAGTGAAGTAATTAACGAAACTAGCCCAAAAAGTCTCGCGATCATAGCCAGCTAGCAAACTGAACAGGGATGTAACTTTGAAAATACAAACAGTGCATTCTATGTAACTTAAATGATGGCTTCATGGCGTATCTCCAGGTTTCACCATGGCGAAGATGTGTTCGCTGGCGTTGTTCCCCCCGCTTTCCTACGGACAGATCACTCTGTGCGAGTCCAACAACGAGCTGCTTTCAGGGACTAGCAGCGATGAGGCGCTCAAACAAGTGAGCATCATGTGTCCAGGGAAAAACTTATTTTGGGATGGTCGGGGCAAATTATTTTTTTTTTTACTTTGTGAACGGAGTTTACGCTGTTTGTCTTTTTAATTCAGGACTTCATCCCCCCGAGTCTGCATTTCCCCAGAGAGTCCCTGAAGCTCCACAGTCGCCCTGAAAGCAGCAGCAAAGCCGCCTTCCTGGACCACTCGGAGACGCTGTGGATGAGGAGCGCAGCAGCCTGGTACCAAACCTAACCTGCTGATTTAACCCACACACGAGTTCTGAATGAACAACTAGTCATATGAACAGATATTTAAAAATTACTTGTTTCTTTAATAGATTCTTACAAATACCAAAAACTTCCCCCTTTTTACACTGCTTATGAACACAAACAGACCATAAAAACGACATTCAAAACCTACTTTATTATCAGTTTTCTAACTAAAGCTGAAGATCTCAGTTTCTGTTCTGAAAATAAACGTAGTGACAAAGATCTTGTCCTAACTTACCATGTCAACAGCATGTGGCATCAGTGTTTAGTGTTTTCAAAGATAGTTGATCAAACTTGTGTCTGTGTCAGGCGGGATGGAGGGCTCTCTGGTCTGCTCAATGAGATTACCACCTCACATTCAGAGGGTATGTGATTCATCCGCATCTTACCGCGTGGTCCTGTGACCTTTGAACTCTTAAACCTGAACAACATCCTCTGGAACTCTTCCAGCACCCAAGTGGCTGTCGGTGACTTCCGGTTGTATCCTGGCTGTGCTCCGATGGGTCTCATCCTTTCACGGCTCCCTTTTTCCTCACGTCACAGTGAGTGTGTCGGCTCCAATGGGTTTTAGCTCCAGATGTTTGTGCTTTCCGAGGCTTTCCTCACATGTTTGTTTTATTGTGAAAGCTGAGCAGCGAGGACATGATCACAGAGTTTTCTCAAGTACTCAACTGGTAAGTGAAAAGTAGGTGGTGTGTATCGATTTACTTCTTCCCTTCTGGGCTGTAATCCTTCTTGTATCAACAGGCCTGACTGTGTGGTGCGAGCGTTTTCCTGGCATCCTCACACTGATAAATTTGCTGTCGCCTTGTTGGATGACTCCATCAAGATCTACAACCCTAAAAGGTACCATGGTGGTGCTGACGTGTTGTGCTTCTGATCAAGCAACAGCACAGTTAAACTAAACTTAGTGGAAATTATAGCGTAAAACAAATAATTGTTGATTTTTTTTCCTTTTCACAACACAACCATAAGTCTTCGATGCAAGACATGACAGCTGTGTGTCCACTTGAATGTCTCCTGTTGTCCCTCAGTGCCATAACTCCCACACTGAAGCACCGTCTCCAGAGGAATGTCGCAGCGGTCCAGTGGAAGCCTCTGTGTGCATCTGCGCTCGCCGTCGCCTGCCAAAACTGCTTACTGGTGTGGCATGTTGACCCCTGCTCACTGTCAACCAGGTGAGTTAAATCCAGATCAAATCTGGGTTTTAAATAAAAACATGATCTTAAACTAAGAGAATAATGAATGTTTTTAGTTGTTTTGACCAAATAAAATAAATCAGGGATAAAAATGGAGATTGATTAAAATTTATTTGTGAAAATCAGAATTTTGCCTTATTACAGTATTTTATTTGAAACTCACCCCTCCTTTCCACCGGAGCCGTCAGCAGCACGGTACTGCAGCAGCACGTCATAGCTGCTGATAGGAACCGCTGTGGTCAACAGAACCTTTTCCACTGGAGCCGTCAGCAGCGCGAGTCGGCTGCGTCTCAGGAGCAGCATGTCGCGGCCTTTACACGCCGGTTCTATTTTCTACGCGCTACGCCTCTGAAACGGGTCAAGTTCGACATTTTTGGGGAAGGAAAGACAGGAAATCGGACGCGGAAACGGAGCGAAGCTCCCGAGATTTTCAGAATAAAGAAACGTACTGCCTTCCGGTTGCTTTACTTTAAAACAAGTTACTAACTGTGCAGCCCCGTGAGAAGTTATCACCTAGCTAGCGGTCTCCTTTGTTTTTCAGGTCCGTATTGGCGATTATAAAACGGACAGAACATAAAACACAAACCTTTTGGAGCCATGTTGTAGTTTTCTCCTGCTTGTTGTGAATACTTACGAAGTCACTCGTGTGACTTCGTGCTCGGTCAGTGACAGCTGCTCCCCTGCTTCTTCGCGTCTCTTGGGAAGGGCCAAGCAGGCAGTGTTGCTGTTTTTGACTGAAAGTAGCTGAAGTTCCCCCCAAAAGTCGCCAGATGTCACCAGATGACGTCACGTGCTTATTTACATACCGATGATGTCATCACGCCACATTGGCGTTCATTTTCCCCATAGCATCTAAAAGATATATATATAGGACTAAAGGGGAGGAAAATAAAAAACTGTTATGTGTTAAAGTTATTAATTAGTATGATTAAAATGACCCGTATTGCTTTGACATGTACAATTTATTCCAAAACTATCATTAAAGTGACATTAAGACAGATATGGTGTGGTGATCCAAACAGTTCTGTTGTAGGATATAACTCAGACCTCATGCTCTCCTCATTCTCACAGACATTTTCCTAAAAAGCTGTTTTTTTTAACACCTCGTAGTCTCTCAACTTCTCTGTTGTGTATTCTCTCCATCGTGATAATAACGGCGCTCCGAGCAAAAGGGAGTGGGTGTCTCATAGTATAACCATCCCTGTGTCACTGAAGGAAAATTAAGATGAGCCACAGAGCTGCGTGTGTAAACGGGACGGTAGTTGAAACTCCCGATGACTTTATTTGCCAAATGCAGGAAAAGCCAAAGTGTCTGACGGCTGCAGAACCAGAGATCGCAGGTTGACTGCCTGCGCCGTCTCCAGTAGAAGCGTGAGCCTGCAGCAGCAGCAGACGTAAATCGGCGGTCTCCAGCTCTGCAGCTGTACCTTTGTCTTCAGCGAATCGGCCCGCCCAAAAGCGGTTCATGATTGGTCAGTCCTCATGCATATGTGCAGATTACCGTTCTCTTTCCTTACTCCCGGAAGAACGGTCCAGAGTGCAAATGGTTTCTGTGTTGCTAATCTGTAGGAAATATCTACAAGAAAGTTCTACAGAAAGTAGCAACGGGTCCTGAGATATGTCGCTAGGTTTGTCGCTAGGCGCATTTTGGAAAAGAAGTCGTTGAGGGGGGGTCAAAAAGTTGTTAGTTGGCAGCACTGCAAGCAGCAGCTTACGCGAGTAAGACGTGCTGCTGCAGTAGCGTGCTGCTGACGGCTCCGGTGGAAAGCCGGGGTTAGTGAAACAAAAATATGGACTCACCCAATCTTAAAACACATTTAAAATCAGTCAAAAACCTTTTTTTAATGGGTTTGACTTTGAATCTCCTGTGCAAAGTTTACTGTGCAATAACGTTTGCAGTGAAGAAAAGTTTTCAGACTTAAATGATTAGTTAGCAGAAAGCACTGCCTTAATAACAAAGTTTAAACTATAAAAAAAAACATCTGAGAAGGTAACTCAGGTTGCAGTAAAACGTCTGGATTGTTGAGTTTTTCTGCGGCAACATATTAAATAAACTGTCTCATGCTGTCTCCATAACTACATGTCTGTTTAGCTTTTTCAACATCTAAAAGCTGAGAATACCAAGAATTAATGCTTATTGTCCTGTATCAGATATTGAAGACCTGTTTTTATTTAAAATCGCTGCAGCACTAAAACTTTTAGTTCTTTTTGTTCCCTGAGCTGCATTTTTTATTCTCTCCTACCCGTTCCTCCTCCCTGTGAACCCGTAGGCCCTCTTCCAGCTGCGCTCAAGTTTTATCACATCCGGGTCACTCTCCAGTCACGTCCATCGCCTGGTCTCCAAGCGGGTCCCTCCTTCTGTCTGCCTCGCCGATGGACATGTCTATGATGGTTCGAGTTGCCTGCTACTTCTACAGTAGGGCTGCACGATATTAAGAAAACTGTGATGCGCGATAACGGTGATTAATATTGAATGACGATATGACTTGCAATAAATAAATACTTAGAACTAACAACAAAAAAATCATAAACAAAGAAATAGAAAAATATAATTGAAAGTGGGAAGAGCAAAAATTGTGATTAAAAGAGGAAAGGGGAAAGGAAAATGGACGAGTAAAGCCGATCAGTGGATCCTGGGAAAAGAGGAATGGGCAGAACGAAGCTAACTCGGGTGTTTGCTAGTCATCCATGTTAAGTGCCGTCTGCCTAGGAGGCGGCATTTAACCTATACAGTGTTTCCCCTAGGAGTGGGGGTGGGGGTGGGGGGGGTATGACACGTTTCACCTTTATGTTGATATTGTTTTATTTGATGCACTCCACTTTGAACTGCACCAATCCAGCAACTGCTGCATTTTAATAACTAGTATTAAAGGTGAATACACCAATATTTGCACAAAAATAACTTTTGTTTTAAACTCTCAGTGACACACTTTGCAGGGGGGATTTGGCATATAATTTTTCTTGGCGTCTGGAAAAACATCTCTTTCTGCCCCCCTGTATTTGGCTTTCTGCCCCTGTATTTGGCTTTCTGCCCCCCTGTATTTGGCTTTCTGCCCCCCTGTATTTGGCTTTCTGCCCCCCTGTATTTGGCTTTCTGCCCCCCTGTATTTGACTTTCTGCCCCCCTGTATTTGACTTTCTGCCCCCCTGTATTTGACTTTCTGCCCCTGTATTTTGGTCCAAGATCATTACTGGGCTGGCCCTATTAAACACCTTCTACACCCCTGCTTAGTAGACTTAATGAAGTATTTTTCAGCCCGTATGAAAATGACTGAAACACAAATTTACATATTTGACATTATTGACCAGTATCTTTTATTTATTTATTTGTTAAGAACATCAAGATGCATTACAGTGAACATTATAATAAAGTAAATTTTTCCAGTGCAGAGAGGAGACGACCCATAGAAGCACTGACTTGATCTCATTTCAGAGAAAAATCAATAAAATAATTTTAAAAACCCGACCGGAGCGGAGGCAGTGACCGACGCATGCACGAGCCGTTTTCAGCTCTGTCTTGTCAAATACACCACGTACGTTACGAAAAAGTTACTTTAAATATTCAACCGAACAAGAGGCGAGTTGAAGAAAACGTAGGGAGCACTGAAGAAACGTGAGCAACAGTGAAGCACAGAGAGATCCGTTACTGTCTGTGTGTGTGTGGGCCAGAGCAGAGTTTTGTGGGTAGGGAGGGGCGGGCGCTCCATGTGACTGGCCAATCACAGAGCGTGAAGGCAGTCGGTTACCCAATGAGGATTTTTCTTCAGCACGATTACAGATATTTAAGAGTTTTACTCGTTTCATGCTCGTATTCGTCAAAAATGCTTTATCCGCGGCTCATCCCTAGCTGCAACCACCCTGCCCTGCCTCCTCCTCCTCCTCCTTGCTGCCTGCCAGCTGTGATCGCAACCAACAACAGAGTAGTTCCCGCTGCTTCTTCGGGAAACGGCGCAAAAAAAAATCAATCTATAAAACGGGATCTTGCCTATGTAAGGGAAACACTGCTATAAGAACCAAGAACTGTTCTTTGCGATATGCTGACATCGCAGTGACGATACATTTGCGATGTATTGTGCAGCCCTAATCCACAGGTAATCTTTTTTCTTTTTGATGGGACTTTTTGAATTTTGATGGCACCTTTCAGGTTTGGGATGTTGCTGCAGAGAGCTGCGTGCCCCTCCATCGTGTTGGAGGAGGTGGCGTCACGTTTCTGTCCTGGTCACCAGACGGCAGCCACGTCCTGTCGTCCACCCCCTCGCCCTTGTTCAGGTTTGGTCAAAAGTTCAGACGTCAGCAGAGCAGATCTCAAGCAGAAACCCCAGTTGTGCTGAATCTGTTCTCTCTCCAACATGTGAGGGTTGTGCTGCGTCGTCTGCTGTGAAGCATTTCCTACGTAAATAACAGAATGAATGTCCCTCTGTAGGGTTTGGGAGACCCGCACTTGGACCTGTGAGCGTTGGCCGTGTATTAAAGGACGCTGCCAGGTGAAAACTCCTGAATGTGTTCGAAGTTCTGATTCCTTTATAAGGCAGATGTTCTCTAAACGATGAGTTTGATGGTTTCATTCAGTCTGGCTGCTGGAGTCCAGATGGGAGCCGTCTTCTCTTCAGTGTTCAAGGAGAGACGGTCATCTACGCTCTGACCTTCACTGGAACACCAGGTGCAATGCTTCACTGCTTCATTGTAGGATGCATTTAAAGTAGTTAAAATGCTCTAAGATAGAAAAATGATGCATGGTGTGTTTGGAAAAGGCGCTCCTGCGAGTGGCTTCAGGGGGCCAGAGGCAGCGGTTGTTGTTGCTGACCTATCAGAGACCACCTTTAACACACCTGATGGAGACGTCACGTAAGAGAGCTGGACTTCAGTAATTATGTTTAATCTGAAGAGACATGTTTGTCCTCAGAATGTGTCTCATCCTGCTTTCAGTGTGGGCGGAGAGGTGCAGTCTTTAGCCTGGGATCCCAGAGGAGAGCGGCTGGCCGTGCTCTTTAAAGGTCCCACATGTCTTCTGGCTGCTGATTGGTCTTAAGGCCCTCATGACTCACCTGCGTCTCACTCTCTTCCCTCAGGTGATCCACAAGCTGCAAACAAGCCTGCTATCGTCGCCGTCTTTAAAACCAGAGCCAACCCGGTTTTTGAGCTCTTGCCGTGGTGCGTACTTTGCTTAAATTTAGTAACTTTTGGATGTTTTTGTATTTATGGATGATTCATTCTTGTTTAGTGGTTTTGTCCAAGGAGAGCCAGGTGCAGAGCCACGACTGATGCAGTTCCACCCAAACTTTCGACATGGAGCTCTGCTTACTCTGGTCAGTCCTTTGTGTAAAGACTTGGGCCGTTAACAGGGCAGTTTTATATCTCTAAAGGTCTAAAAAGGCATTTTAGTTTGGCTCAAAATCTATTGGTAACGCCACAATAAGGGGTCATTTTATTTACTTTACTTTATTAAGCATTAATAAACAGAGGGTCCATATACTAACGTTACTCTCATTGCTGACTATTAAGTGGTTAGGAAAAGGGGGAGGGGGTCCACTTAGTAATGCATCTATAATATGGTTAAGCAGTTGTCAATACTTTATTTAATAGTTTATTAATGCTTAATAATGCACTAAGGGGACCTTTATTGTAAAGTGTTGCCAAACTCTTGATGGATTTTTTTCAAAGTTCCATAATCATCATCACACACCGGTGAAATGACATCTCTGCATGTGACCCACCCCCGTGGGGAGCGGTGAGCTGCAGCAATGGCTGCGCTCGGGAACTATTTGGTGGTTTAATCCCCCAATCCAACCCCTCAAAGCTGAGTGTCAAGTAGGGAGGCCGATGTGTTTGGTATGAGCTGACCATGGATCTGAACCCTGATCTCCCAGTCCTGACAGTCATACCACCGGGCCACTTTTAGACTGTTTTATTAAGGTTTTAAAAACGTTGTCTTGCCTGTAGGACTGCAAAAGTGAAACCTAAAGTATTTTATTCTGTAATTACTGACTTGGCAGCACTCAGCAGCTGCTGCCATGAGCCAGTTCCCACCTCAGCAAAGTTGTTGTGATGAGTCCACTGAGTCTAGTTCGTCCCAAAGTCAGTAAACTCTGATCTATAAACCCAATCTGGACGTGTTACCTTCTGGCTTTTTTTTTACTTGTTAACTTCTGTCCTTGTGATTAATGCTTCTGTCTCTGATCTCAGTGCTGGTCCACTGGAAGAATCACCCACGTGCCTTTTTACTTCCTGAGTACCAGCGGCTCCTTTGTCGGCCTCGGCGGGAGTCCGTCGCTTCCTCGCCTTCAGGAAAAACCTGCCGACTTCTCCCATCAGTCACTTTTTACAGAGCTCATCTCATGACCGATCAACACCTAAATCCACACAATCACAAATCTTTCCTAACGTTACGAGTTGCTAATAAACAGTAGAAAACAATTTTCACTCTTTTTTCTTTCTGTTGTTTGGTTTTATGTTGAAATGTTGAAGTGGAGCTTGTTTATAAAATAAAAGGAAAAGCAAATAGTCCGTTTAGAAACTTAAAATGTTTGAACTGTTTTTTCAACGTGTTGAGAAAATTAAATATGTAAAGAGGAAAGGTTTACAGCACAGGTGCCCAACAGGCCGGGATCATTTAAGTCCTTTTTAGTAGGTGTTGATGATAAAATGATTCCTGCTTGGCCCACAGTCCTATCGTAACTCCGTTTTAGTCCAGTTCAAGGCCTGGACTCTCAGCCGCTGTGACCACTTGTTTTAGATCAATACAAGTAAACATGAGTTAAAGGTGTTTGTAATGGTTTTGGTGACACTGTCAGGACGATCCAGTGATGAGTTGCTTTCTGAAATGCACATATGTACATTTATATTGTTTGTTTTTATTCAAAACTCAATTAAAAACACCTTCTTATTGAAATAGGTTTTCCTTTTATTTTCCAATTTACATCAATTCGAGGTGTAACAAAACAAAAGATCATAATAAAATTTATTCAAAAATGTACATGCCCTCACACACATAGAGACAACCCACACTGTTTTTTTTTTTCATGAGCGACTGTCCTCAGAGTCCCACGTTCAGCTGTGGGGGTCCAGAGGAGGCCTCCAGGTGGCCCCTGTTCCACCTCCTCCAGGGTGGAGTGTGAGTGTGTGGTGTGAGGCTAGTGGGAATCGAGGAGGGGTGAAAGGGTTTGGGGGGACTTCTAGCACCTTTTGAACAAAGAGCAAGTCAAAACAAAGATGGCTGTTCACCCTCAGATAAAGGTCGTGCTTTGCTCAGATTTCAACACTTGTTTTTCACCGTGAGGTAGCTTTAAACACTCTGGACATGAGAAAATAAATTTCCCTCAAACTTTTTGTTATTTTGTTTTAATGAGAGCAGGGCTTTTTTCTGATGGGCAGTTAAAGGGTTACGGGACATGAAGGCACACGTCCCAGATGTCACCTCGCTTCGCAAAAAGCAAAGTAAGACACTCGTACACAAATTATGTCGAAATTATATAGAAAACCATCTGTTTGTTTATAAACACAGACTTTTACAACACTAGAACCAAATATTTATAATACACAGTGACGGTTTTGCTGCCCCTGCTCATGGTGGAGCACCTGGTTGGATCTACCTACTGGTCTGATTCAGAACTGTCGCATCAGGAGGGGGGTAGGACTGGGACAGAGGCTGTGCAGCTGTAGTGGAAATAGGTGGTGGTGGTGGTGGTGGTGGTGGGGGGGGGGGGGGGGGGGGGGTCCATGTATTACATACAAGAGTGAACCCGTCCAGTCCTACATCAACTCTGCCCGCTCAGGTTAGACAATAAATAAGTGACATCAAGTCATGTTTCTGTCCTCCATAACGCGTTTGCGTGGTCCCTCCTCCTCCTGGCTCAGACTCATGCCTGTCAGCGGTTGGGCCGTGGGAAACATGACTGGATCTCAGACAGGGGGCTGATACAGAATGCAGGTGTGGTGTACAGATATTGCCGGTGCCCTTCAGTGCTCACATCCAGGAAGTACAACTTGGAGAGCACTTCGTTGTGAGAGAAAACACATCTTTTTTTTTCTTTTTTAGAATTCCCAGTCTTCTTTATTGTGGAAATGTGTGTGATGTTTCATGGTTGAGTTTATATTATGTTTATTTCTTGTGTTTTTTTTTTGGAGGGGGTAATTGTGATTTTCCACTTTACAAGAAGCAGACGGCGCCTACATCCACTCCAAACTCCTGGTCTGCTCCTCCGACGTCCATTGGAGCAATGTCTACTATCGGCAGACGGGAGGTTTTTTCTGTTTTGTACTCAAAGACAGTCTTGCCCCACCGGCCAGTATGGCTCTGTTGGTCGACAGGACACAAATGTGTAACTACAGTTTTATAATACAAAGAGAAAATCAATCACTACTAAATAGTACTTTACACCCACCTGGCATCCATCTTCCATTACGCCGTAAGTAAAGCGACTGTTGCCCTCTGGACGGATCTCCACGTTGTTGGATCCCTGTAGCAGCAAAGCCTTCTTCAGGTTTCCTGTGGCCTGGTCCATGTAGGCGATGCTGTTTTTGCAGTGATAAGTGAGGGTCTGAGATGCTTCAGTGGACAAAAGCCTCAGGAAGTTCAGCTGGATGGTGGCAGCAGGGCCATCCTGAGCGTAGCTGAACTGTGGACAAGAGAAGCAAACGAGAGGAGGTGGCAACTTCAGCTCTTCCAAACCACTTGACACGCAGGAGCAACGGGAATGGTGCATTCATGCGCTTACGTGGAATCCTCCTCTCATGCTCTCGCCAAACCAGACGTGTTTGCGGTCGCTGCTGCTGGTCCACCAGTTCTTCTTTGGTACTTTGGCAATGCTTGGATAGACGCAGGTCTCTCCAGTCTCCATGTTACAGAAGACTTTGATGGCATCAGCTGTGCTGCCGATATTGGGATCGACCCAGTAATCGCCTGGAGAGGTTAGTAAGATGAGAGGTGGATTTCTCAGACGAGTTTGGTAAAGAGTCGGCATTAGATGGAGAAGAGTGTCAGACCTTTAGCGCTATTTCAAAAGAATTTCAGTAAAAAGGATTTTCATTCATGTGCTGGTATACAACACTTTCTTTTCATACATCTGTAGTGAAACCTGTCAGACCCAGATGTTACTGCTTATCTCACCGCTCTTCCAGTCTGGGTGGCACAGCATGAGGTCTCTGCAAGTGCGAGCAGGGTTCTTCTGGGATCCATCAGGGCTGCGCAGGTTCTCAATCTGACTGTTGAGGGACTTGAGTGTGGCATCAACCTCAACATCGTGCTGCCTCGCGGAGCTGGATGCCTCATCAGCCCTCATGTACCTGAGAGGATCAGGAGACTTCTCGGTCTGACCCAGGCCAGCAAAAGCAGAGATGTCAATGCCTGGGCCTGGTGGACCGGGAGGGCCAGGTGGTCCGGCATTTCCAGGAGGACCCTGGAAATAATACAAATGAAAAGAATGAGATATGGCTGGTAAACGCACATGCTGATGAGGGTTGTATGTTTAGTTTTACACACAGCAGGACCAGCTTCTCCAGAACGTCCGCGAGGTCCAGGAGGTCCAATGGGACCAGGTTGTCCATTGGATCCATCTTTTCCAGCAATTCCAACTGGTCCAGGGGGTCCCTACAGAAACAGAAGGGTTTAAATGTGTGCTCTGATCTGATCGATCGGGTGGTCTGGACAAGAAGAACATCTGAAACCTTCATTTAAATGCACCACCTTCCCTCCATCAGCTTCAAAAGTTCATTTCTGACTTTCAACTCTGTCTATCCTTATGTAAACTGCTTTGTCAATTTAGTTTAGACAGTAAAAGCTATTTTCTCTCTCAGCAGTGGATAGGCGCGCGCGCGCGTGTGTGTGTGTGTGTGTGTGTGTGTGTGTGTGTGTGTGTGTGTGCTCCCAATCCTCTGCCTGCCACTTTTCCTCAGAAACAGTGAATGCAAAACATCTTTGCAGCCCATCTGATCTCAGTGGGGGATAATAAAAACATGTTTGCATCTTCATCTTGTGATTGGAGACGTACTGAGAGGCTAACCTGTGCACTTTTTACCATCACGTATCCTGAAAGTTCAAAGTTTCAGAACAGGACTTTTAAAAAGGATCCATCATTCTCAGTGTCTTTACCTTGGCGCCATTTGGTCCAGCAGGTCCAGCAGCTCCAGCGTCTCCAGGAGAACCCTGTCAGGGCGAGGACAAGCATTAAGAGACGGGGAGCACAGACAAAAGGGATTTTGTTGTTAGGTCACTTACCGGGGGCCCAGGAAGACCCTGCAGACCTGTGAAGCCACGGTGACCCTTCTGCCCCCTCTCTCCAGTCTCACCAGCCTCTCCTTTGTCTCCTCTTGGTCCTTGTGGTCCCTGGAGTAGTATGATCACTTATTAATGTTCACTTGTAGAACTTCAATGTACTTCTGTCAAATTATAAACTACTAATGTCGTCTCAGTCATGGATGAAAATACTCACAGCCATTCCTCTTGCACCAGCCAGTCCTGGAGGTCCTGCAGGTCCTTGAGCACCCTTAAGAAAGACATGATTGACATAATTACTTTTACGTCAATACCAATCATCTGACTGTGGTCCTATTAAAAGGGGGGATTCTTACCGCCTCTCCTCTGTCTCCCTGCTTTCCAAGAGGTCCAACAGGTCCAGGAGAACCAGGTGCACCAGGAGCTCCAGGGGCGCCAGCAGGACCGGTGTTCCCTCTTTCTCCCTACAGGAAAACAAAAGGTGGAGATGCAAGGGCGTCAGTTTGTTTCCAGAATTGCTGGGGACAATAACCATACACTTGAGTGGGGTTTAAAAATTGCTGGGGACAATAAAGTAGGCTAGCACAGGGGTCGGCGGCTCTGGAGCCGCATGCGGCTCTTCCATCCATCTGATGCGGCTCTGTGTTTGTAAAATAATGAATGGATATTTAAATAAAATGCTTTATATTTTACTGCATTAATTTTACATCTGTATGCCAATTCTAAATGTAAAGATTGTCTGCGTAAACCTGAACAGGTCCAACCTGGTCTTACTGTGAGACCGGGTTGACGCGTCACGCTTGTGCGTAATCATATAGGCACTTTATGAGCTGAAGACGATGTGAGATTCTGGGATTCTCCTCAGACGGCTCCTGGATGTGTCGCCACATTGGAGACGGGAACAAGCGCTATTCAGCCAAAGTTTCATCATCAGGGAACATTTTCTAAGTGACAAGTCTCTCTGAGAGACCGGGTTTGGAAAACACTCGCTTCAGTGGGAGGAACCTTCCCACATGCGCTCTGGGTGGCTCTGGGGTTAATCAAGTTTAATTGTTTCTCTTTGCAACAATCTTCACAAGAAGGCAAAACAGTTAAACGGCAGGTTACATATATTTCCATTTGACTGTTTATTTTGACAGATGAACTCAAGGATGTTGCTTGGTTTGAAAGAATTACCCCGACGCACACTGATGCACATGGATGAGCTGACATTTTAATCGTTAACGCACATCGCGGAGGTAAAAGATTCCCATCAGAACATCAGAGCTTTATACTGGACACTGTGTTCAGCGCGGCTCGGAGCGCCCACGGTGGACAGTGAGCTGAAGATCTGAGGGGTTCGCAGCGCAGCGCAGAACCATGGTGCATGCAATGATTTCCTCCCACTGAAGCGGTCTGGAAACCCGGTCTCTCTGAGGGATGCGTCACTTGGAAAAATGTTCTTTTTATGAAATTATGAAACTGGCTGAACAGCGCTTGTTCCCGTCTCTAATATGGAGACGCATGATGTGTAGAGACATTTGATCACGCACAAAGTTCGTGTGGAGCAGAAGCGGTCGGGCCACGGCAGGTGAAATGTTCCTAGCCTACATGAAGGGAAACTGTTTAATTGTAACATTAATACGTTACTGGACACGCTGGTCTGGTTGGTTAGACCAGTGTTTGAAGTGGAAAACACACACACACACACACACACACCAATTAAAATATATGCTGATAGCATGGACTAGAAGACAGGTGATGGTTTACGTATTTAAATGATGATCAGGCTGCTGTAAAATGTAATTTCCATCCACATCCAGACAGAATCATCCTCTATTCTGTCTCTATTTGCTCTGCTCTTGTCTGGGCTGATCAGCTGACGGTGCGCCTAACTAGCGGCTGATGCACATTTTACGCATTTGGAGAGGTGGGCTGGATGCTGTGCGTTTACTGGAAGATGGTTAACGCACGGGTGTAGACTACATATTAATGACAAATGAATGAAAATTAAATTGTGAGTTTTTACTTCATATTTTATAAATAAAAATGACGGGGGAAAACATTTATGACGTCTTTTTAAACTAAATTTTCTAGCGCGACCTGCCTGCTTCACTTAAGTCACTGCTTATTAAGGTCCGTCCAGAATTACTGTGGGAAACGGGTAATAATGGCTCTTTGATGGGAATAGGTTGCCGACCCCTGGATAAGATCTGAGCTGGTAAAACAAAAATCCTCATCAGCAGGCGTTTTTGAAAGTGGGGGGGACACAGCTGCCAATCACAAATTTTGCCGGGGACATGTCCCCGGCGTCCCCGGTTAAAATGACGCTCAGACAAGATTTGTTTTTGCTACAACCTGAAAAAATTAAAAAGTAAGTTTGAGGCTTATTGTAAAGCTGGAGTCTCCCACCTTGACTCCAACAGCACCATCTCTACCAGGAGGTCCATCAGATCCAGGAGTACCCTGAGATACGGGAACATCATTTTCATGGTTTGATGTCAGCTCTAACATTTGCAGTTTTAGAAATATGGCTGTTTGGTTGTTACTGTCGCCCTTCTCTGACCTCTCTGCCTGTTTCTCCTGCAGGTCCAGTTAGTCCAGGAGGACCAACAGGGCCAGGAGGTCCACGGTCACCAGCAGAACCAGATGCTCCCTGCTTACCAGGCTCACCCTAAACACAGAAGAAACCATTGAAAAGCTGGTTTGGTATAGAAGCCAAATAATGAGTAGAACACAGCAGACGCTAGTCCCGTCTAACTAAGGTACGTCTGCAGATCTAAAACACAACTTCAACGTTTAAAATATGTTTTTAAGCTAATTTATGATGAAACAGTGAGTGTTGAAGCTAAACAGAGTCAACAATTATTTGTAGACAAAAGTAGTTACAGAAGGTCCAGGGAGGCCAGGGAAGCCTCTCTCTCCACGCTGACCAGGCAAACCAACAATACCACGAGATCCTGCCAGACCCTGGGGACCTGAAGGCCCATCGGGACCCTACAGAGGGAGACAGAGGGGAATCATCTAGTTGAGCCATGCGGATCTAAAATGACTAAAATGTGTTACTTCCTGTAAAAATGTGTAATAAATTATGTTCAGCAAAATGATCAAACTCACTGGAGGTCCATCTTCTCCAGGTTCTCCCTTCTCCCCTGAAGGGCCAGGAGGACCACGAAGTCCAGCATCTCCTGGTCTTCCTGCAGGACCAGGATCTCCACGAACACCCTTTGGTCCATCTTTACCAGCAGGGCCACTAGGACCAGCAGAACCAGGGTTACCCTGTCATGGAAAGAGAGGTCATCATCATGGCTACAAGACTAAAAAATAAAAATTGTCTAAATGTAGTTACAGTTCCCAAGTTGTCACATGGGAGAAATCCTTACATTAGGACCAGGAGGTCCAACTCTGCCAGCAGCACCAGGGAATCCTGTGGCACCCTACCAAAGGAATACAGAGAGTAAATACAGAGAGTAAATGTGTTTCCACACTTGTTGGTGATAAATGTTAGAAAACATTTAGTTTGTTCTGGTTTTTGTTGCTGTGTTCATGATCGAACTGAATTTAGGGGAAACCAGGATAAAAACAGTCATGTGTTATCTGTCAGTGGAGATGCAAGCAGCTTTTGAAATGTAGAAACAAACATCAGTGCAAAGTGACCGGCTTCACACATAAAAGCAGAGTTACAGCGACGGATACCCTGGAGGGGCCTGAAATTCACATTGTAGGTGCATTCCCACTGAGAGGGGCAGCTGATAAAAACTAGGAAAACACAAGGTATGATATTTAAAGAATTTATTTGTATTGCACTCATTAATCTAAATTAGTAGCACCTGTCTGAGCTTGTTAAAGACACCTGTCCACGCCAACTATGGCCATGGGCAAGACCAAAGAGCTGTCATAAAACACCAGAGACCCAATCGTGGACCTCCACAAGGCTGGACAGGACTACGGGGCAATTGCCAAGCAGCTTGGTGAAAATAGATCAACTGCTGGAACAACTGAAAATGAAAGAGGCTAAAGACAACTGTGAGTCGTCCTCGGACAAAGGCTCCATGCAAGAGCCTTGTGGGGTATCACTGATTATAAGAAAGGTGAGGAATCAACCCAGAACTACATGGGAGAAGCTGGTCAACGAGACAAAGAGAGCTCAGACCACAGGTTCAAAGGTTACTGTTGGTAGAAGACTGCTCCATCTTGATTTAAAATCATGCATTGTGTGGAAGGTTCCCCTGCTCAAGTCATCACATGTCCAGGCCCGTCTGAAGTTTGCCAGTGACCATCTGGATGATCCAGAGGAGGCATGGGAGAAAGTCGTGTGGTCAGATGAGACCAGAATAGAACTTTTTTGTCTAAACTCCACTCGCTGTATTTGGAGGAAACAAAGAAGGATGAGTTGCATCCCCAAAACACCATCCCTACTGTGGTAAATGGTCAATGGCCTTTGATATAGCGCCTTCTAGAGTCATGGAACCCCTCAAGGCGCTTTACAACACAATCAGTCATTCACCCACTCACACACACATTCACACACTGGTGGGGATGAGCTACGATGTAGCCACAGCTGTCCTGGGGCGCACTGACAGAGGCGAGGCTGCCGAGCACTGACACCACCGGTCCCTCCGACCACCACCAGCAGGCAACGTGGGTTAAGTGTCTTGCCCAAGGACACAACGACAGCGACAGACTGAGCGGGGCTCGAACCTGCAACCTTCCAATTACGGGGCGAGCACTTAACTCCTGTGCCACCGTCGCCCCTGTGAAGCATGGAGGTGGAAACTTCATGTTTTCAGAGTGCTTTTCTGCAAAGGGGACAGAATGGCTGCACTGTTTTAAGGAGAGGATGAATGGGATCATGTATTGTGAGATTTTGAGCAACAACCTTCTTCCCTAGTCAAGAGCATTGAAGATGGGTCGTGGCTGGTTCTTCCAACATGACAATGACCTGAAGCACGACCAGGATAACCAAGGAGTGGCTGCATAAAATGCATATCAAGGTCCTGGAGGGGCCTAGCCAGTCTCCAGATCCAAATCCAATAGAAAATCATTGGAGGGAGCCGTACCTCTGTGCTGCTCAGTGTCAGCCCCAAAACCAGATCTAGAGGAGACCTGTGTGGAGGAGTGGGCCAAAATCCCTGTTGCAGTGCAAACCTGGTCAAGAACTACAGGAAACCTTTGACCTCTTTAATCACAAAGGCTTCTGTACCAAATATTAACACTGAATCTCTCAGGTGTTCAAATACTTAAGTGCAGCAGTACAATACAAATAAATTGTTTATAAATCATACAATATTGTGATTATCATCCTGACCTTGTTCCTCAGACACAGATGTTATTTATCAGCTGTCTTCCACACTGGCACCTTTGGTACGTCAGGAGAACTGAAGTTTTAATGTTTCTCTCTGTGCGGGCATCCGTGTTACCAAATAATGCTTTCAGACTTTACAACAAAGGACATCCATCCATAGATACGGGCTGTTAGGTCCCTGTATGACCGGTGTCAGAGCTTGGTCCGCATTGCCGGCAGTAAGTCGGGCTCGTTCCCAGTGAGAGTTGGACTCCGCCAAGGCTGCCCTTTGTCACCGATTCTGTTCATAACCTTTATGGACAGGATTTCTAGGCGCAGCCAAGGTGTGGAGGGCATCCATTTTGGTGGCCTGAGGATCAGGTCTCTGCTTTTTGCAGATGATGTGGTGCTGTTGGCTTCATCAGAATGTGATCTTCAGCTTTCGCTGGAGCGGTTCGCTAGCCGAGTGTGAAGCAGCTGGGATGAGAATCAGCTCCTCTAAATCTGAGACCATGGTCTTGATTCGGAAAAGGGTAGAATGCCTTCTCCGGGTCAGGGATGAGGTCCTGCCCCAAGTGGAGGAGTTTAAGCATCTCGGGGTCTTGTTCACGAGTGAGGGAAAACTGGAGCAAGAGATGGATGGGCGGATTGGTGCTGCATCTGCAGTGATGCGGGCGTTGTATCGGTCTGTCGTGGTGAAGAGAGAGCTGAGTCAGAAGGCAAAGCTCTCGATTTACTGGTCGATCTACGTTCCTACCCTCACCTATGGTCATGAGCTTTGAGTAGTGACCGAGAGAACGAGATTGCGGATACAAGCGGCCGAAATGAGTTTTCTCCAAAGAGTGTCTGGACTCTTCCTTAGAGATAGGGTGAGAACCTCGGTCATCCTGGAGGAGCTCGGTGTAGACCTGCTGCTCCTCCACATCGAGAGGAGCCAGTTGAGGTGGCTCAGGCATCTGGTCAGGATGCCTCCTGGACGCCTCCCTGGTGAGGTTTTCTGGGCACGTCCAACCAGGAGGAAACCTAAAGGTAGACCCAGGACACGGTGGAGGGACTATGTCTCTCACCTGGCCAGGGAACGCCTTGGGATTCCCCTGGAGGAGCTGGCCCAAGTGGCTGGGGAGAAGGAAGTCTGGGTCTCTCGCCTTAGGCCTGATTTATGCTTCTCTGCCTGCGTCAGTGCAGAGACACGCAACGCCATTATCCGTCCTTGCGTAGGGCTCCGGCAGGCATGCAAGTACGTACGGAGTCGAGCCCACTTTTTTAAACATCCGTCGAACGAGACAGATTACGCAAGCTTGTGATTGGTCAGGACGCCGCTGTTGTTTACAGTGCCGCCATTGCAAAGAGAGCCGAGAATAACTAGCAGCAGACACGGAGAAGCTTGAAGAATACCTCGCGAAAAAATTCTAAAAATATGAACGTTTAATTCTCCCGTGACTGGAGGAGTGAAAAGATGTGCAGCAAGCATTTTATTTGTGGACGGAAATGACAGGAAACATGGGTTTAGAGGTGGGGAGCGCATGAAGAGGTGGGAGAATGAGAGACAAATATGTCCGTGTAAAAAAGTCTCTTATGTACACAAAAAACACAATATAAACACTATCTTGGACCGATACATGACAGGATACCACAGAACAGCGCTACGCCCTCTGTTGTCCTGCCGGGCAATTGCTTTGCAACACTCCCCAGGAGACGGAGAAGTATGACAGCAAAACGCTTCCGTCAATCCGTACGTGTCTGTCCCTTGGGGAGCTGACGGAGAAGCATAAACCAGGCTCAAGGCTACTGCCCCCGCAACCTGACTCCGGATAAGTGGATGAAAATGGATGGATGGATGAAAGTGCGTCTCTGAGCGATGCCATATTAGATGCCATGTTTCCTTCTATGGGATTTACTGATTTGTAACAAACGGTTATAAAACTTTCACCATTCATTAACGTTGTTTTTAACATTTATCTCTTCACTAGTTGCTGATGATGAAAGGGAGTCTGATGTGCTTGTTATTTTGCTGAAGTTTGCACTCCCCGGGGCTTTTTGACCCTAATGGGCATCTGTAACAAAGTCTTACTCCAACACAAAACTACTGCTTTCTTGCAACAATTTAGGTATCTACTGCCCCCTATCGCCAGGAAAAATACACACTGTCTCTTTAAATGTTCCACATAAAAAGTCAACAGACCCTTATGTTGCTGCAAAGTGTAATTTGTTTAGAAGTACTTTCTACCACTTTAGGCCAAAATGAGCCTTGTTGTTAACATCTTTGATCCTTTACATGCTGCTGGTGATGGTAACAGCATAAACATCATATTACAGATGCTCCTTATTTAGCTTTAAAGCTCACTGGAAATGTGCAAATCTATAAGGCGAAGGTGGGGGCCATGTTTGTTTTTCTCCTTTATACCTAAAAATGTCTTAGTTTTCTTTACAATAAGGGTCCTTTTATAAACATTACTTTGTGCATTGTGGAGCAATAATAAACAAAGGGGTTCCTTTATTACCATTATTGTTAACTATTCCTTAAGGTTAAGACAATGGGCCATGGGAGGTGGGGGTGGTCTGCTTAGTAACACAACATGGCTAAGCAGTTGTTAATACTTTAATAGTTTATTAACATTTAATAATGCACTATGTAACATTAGTAAAGGGATCCTTGTTGTAAAGTGTTACTGTAATAATGACACAATAAATAGTTTTAAAGTATTTTTGTGGATATTTTGTTGACTTCATTTTCATGTTGGCAACTTTCACGTTCTGCAGCGTTGCCACCCTGCCCAGGCCCTTTGAGCCTCCTTTCCCCTCCGTGTAAAGTTTTCTAGATCCGCCACTGAATGGAAACGATAAAGCACTAAAACAATTTGTCATGTTGTTCTGATGATGGCTCAGATACATCCAGGTGAAACAGAAAAATTAGATTAATGTGCAAAAGTCAATTTTTATTCTGTAGTCTATGAGATAGACTCATTTCATGCAAACTAGATGCTATTTGTGACAATCATGGCTTACAACTCATGAAAACCCCACATTCAAAATCTTAGACAATTATAATATTGTGAAAAGGTTCAACGTTCAAGGCTCAAAGTGCTACACTCTAATCAGCTAATTCATCCTAAACACCTGCAAAGAGTTCCTGAGCCTTTAGATGGTCTCTCAGTCTAAGTTAATTTACTGAAACAAACTGACTTTTGCTGCATATTCTAGTTTTTTGAGTGTCACTTGTAAACTGTTCTGTATACGCAGTAGTTGGTCTGAAATCAGTTAAGAGATGAAACCAGTCATTGATGACACAATTTATCATTTATAAATCAATGTTTGCTCTGAATGTGGTGCAGAGAAGTTACTCACAGGAGCTCCCTGAGCACCGCGTGCTCCCTTAGGTCCAGATACGCCAGTAGGTCCCTAAAAAGAACAAGCCATTATGTTCTTGTCACATTTCACACATTTTAAAGTACGGTTATGAAAGCCTGTGCCACTGAAGTTTAAAATGGACACGGAACATAGTTTCAGGCTTCTATTTTTAGACTAAATACACACCACAGGTCCAGGAGCTCCAGATGGTCCTTGGGGTCCAGAAGAACCAGCTTCTCCTTTCTGTCCAGGCTCACCAAGCTCTCCCTTGGCACCAGGCTGACCATCTGCACCCTAAACATTATTCACAGCAGTGTTATTAGCAAAATGTCAACATATAGGTTTTTGTTGAACACACTCGAAAACTTACAGGAGGTCCAGCAAAGCCAGCAGGCCCAGGAGGACCAATCTCACCACGGTCACCCTGCAGGAGCCCAGAAGAGACAGTGGGTCAAGGCAAATGTGCATGGGGTGAGACGCTGTTTCACATTATAAGTATTGAATCATTTTCATTTTTATTAAGGAAATCCGGAATTTCATTGGCTTTGGTGACAAAATATCAGAAGAATCTTTTAAATTTAGAGAGTAATAACTGAAAATATAGGATGTCAATTAATGTGGGACTTGGTACTGATTTAGGCTCTTCCAGATTCTCATCAGTTTCCATAAAAACTGGAACTATAATCTGGAGGTTTCAGTAGGTGATTAGCACCAGCATGTTATGTACTTACAGGAGCACCACGAACACCAGGAGCACCATTAGGCCCAGTGGGTCCGGTTTCACCCTACATAGAAGAGAAACTGCTTGAAAAACCCAATAAATGTTCTGATCTTCATAAGATGTTTAAATGAAGCCAGATTATGGTTTGTTCCTTCATCAGTTCAAGCAGCACTGTCGTACTTACCTTGGCACCATTGGGCCCCGATGGGCCAGGAGGACCAATTGGACCAGTCAGACCCTGAAACAAGAAGATCATGGATGAAAACAAAGATCAAGGAGAAAAAGGTAACAAACAAAAAGTTTATTTTAAATTTGGAACTGACCCTTGAACCATCCTTTCCAGGAGCGCCTTCAGGTCCCTTCTGCCCGTTGTCCCCCTGTTGGACAAAAGTAATGAAACTATTATTTTCTTTTCGTTTTGCACTGAAGTAGAACTTCACACGTCTGCAGCTAGAGGCTACACATTTGATTTGTGATGCCATATTTAAAACCTCTCTAACTTACCCTGTCTCCCTTGGCTCCTGAGATTCCACTGGCTCCTCTCTCCCCAGGCATACCCTGCAGACCTGGAGGTCCCTGAGATCCAGGAGCACCAGCAGGTCCAATTGCTCCCTGATGAAAACCCAAATTATAAAATATTGTCAAGTTTTCTCAGGAAGAAATTATCCTGAATAAGAGAGTGCCTGTTTTTGCCTGACTGACAACAACCCAGATGCTGTTGTTGTCATTTGTAAGTCCCATACTGACCTTGGGTCCATCAGATCCAGGTGTTCCAGGAAGTCCACGAGGTCCCTGAAGACCCTGAGGCCCAGCACCACCTCTCTCACCGGGGAAACCACGCTCACCCTGTTAAGAAGATGATAAATGGTAAATAACCTCTATTTGATATCTGATAGTCCTTGAACCCCCCAAGGCACTTTACAACACAATCAGTCATTCACACATTCACACACACATTCACATGCTGGTGGTGAGGAGCTACGATGTAGCCACAGCTGCCCTGGGGCACACTGACAGAGGCGAGGCTGCCGAGCACAGGCGCCACCGGTCCCTCCGACCACCACCAGCAGGCAACGTGGGTTAAGTGTCTTGTCCAAGGACACAACAGCAGAATTCTCTACTAAGACAGCCGGGATCGATCCTGCAACCCTTCGATTGCTGGATGACCCGCTCTACCTCCTGAGCTACTGCTCAGAAGAGGATCAACAGCAGGAACGCCAAAGTCCCAACAATGGCTACCTTTAGGTAACAGAGAAGATTAAAGATAGGGGAACTCACCCTGGGTCCAGCAGCACCAGGAGCTCCACCCTCTCCAGGAACACCCTGCAGAAGTCATCACAGATCACAGCTGTTACTCCATACAACAGACAGCTGATCCATGACTACGAAAGGTCTGAGTGAAAGCTACAACATCAGGTTTGGAAATGGATCAGAAAGCTAGTTCTGAGGTAAAGCTTGTAGAAACTAGGATGGATGGGTGTGATCAGCATCAGCACCGGGCTGAAGAACTATAACGGTATACAAATACCCACAATGCTTTTGGCCTGGTCTACTTCTCTAAAGCTTAAGAGAAACATTCTTGGTTCTGTGCTTCCTGTAGAACATCACTGAGGTTTAGACAAGATGGAATCTCACCTGGTCTCCTGGTTTTCCAGCTTCTCCTGGAGATCCGGTTGGTCCAGGCAGACCCTGTCATATTGGGACACACAGGTTTTGTATTTGTCCAGAAATCTGATTCTGATGCAGCTCTGTTAAGAACACATTGATGCCCAAAGACACATTTGATTCTACTTTAAAACATCTCATTGTAGCTGAAAGGGGTTAATGTGTAGTCATGTTTTATAGATCCTGAATTTGGGGTCAGGACCTCAGAGATACACCAAGGTGAAGGCAAATACAGATAATTACCTGTGACATGTTTAGTCGTCACTATTCAAAATGGATCAAATTGTTTCGGATTAAAAATATCAACAAGGCTCTTGAAGTTTTAATTTTCGGGGTCACCAGGTTCCTTTTGTGGCCCCTAAGCTGCAGAGTTATAAACGGACGTTGAGAGGTTTTACAGGCACTAAACTCACCTGGAAGCCAGGAGGTCCGGGCTGTCCTTGCTCTCCTCTCTCTCCAGCAAGGCCCTAAATTCGATAAATGCAGACACACATGATGAGTCGTCAGTTTAACTGTAAGATGGCTTCAACATTTAAAACTCACAGCAGGTCCAGGAGGTCCAGAAGGTCCCGTCTCACCATCCTTTCCAGGCAGTCCCTGTTCAGAGAGGAAATGTGAAATTCTGAATCAGTTTTTTTTAAGATTTGAGAAGAGAGTGAAGAGTTTGTGTTGAAGATGGACTTACTCTTAGACCTTGACGTCCCACAAGACCCTTCTCTCCTGGTTTTCCAGGCTCTCCCTGTTGCACAGAGTTTGATTTCAACATAGGAGTGTAAACTCAAGAACAGCAGAGCCACCCGTGCTTCCACAAACCCATCCAGACTTTTAGACACTCACGTTGGCTCCCTTTGGTCCCGGGAATCCCATCACTCCAGGCTGTCCTCGAGCTCCCTGAGGACCAGGTGGACCAGGACGGCCGTCCTCGCCAGGAGCTCCCTGTAAAGGAAAAGGAAGTTAAAAATGTCTGCTGCAGGCTGATTGGAGGTTTTGTGGCTGAGGGTCACATGAACTGTTTCCAATGCAGCGTTTAATATTCAGATGACAAACACTCGGAGCTCTACTGGTCATTTTTTTCATTTCTATTTCATTTATTTTAAGTTTGGATTTCTTCAACTTTTACTCATTTGAGGGTTTGACGTATTTTTGGCGTTGAGAAATGTAATAAATATCATTTTACTTACACCGGGTCCAACTTTGCCTTGAGGACCAGCGTCTCCCGGACGACCAGTCAGACCCTGTGAAATGAGTCAGCATCTTTTAAGAAGCAGGATGGATGTTGATGACTAACTTAAGGTCATTCTGAAATCACATTCAACAGGACAAACAATAACTGACTCTGGCTCCAGGAAGGCCCGACTCTCCTGTGCGCCCAGGGTCTCCAGTAGCACCTTTAGGCCCCACTGCACCAGGGACACCACGCTCACCAGGAGCACCCTAAAGGGGGAAGGTTCAAACACGTTTTAGCTGCAGAAACTCTCAGGAACTCTCAGCTGAAGCAGGACCGACCTTAACTCCTGCCAGACCATCCTGACCAGGGAAACCACGGTTACCAGGAGCTCCCTGTAAGGAATCACAAAAATGACAGAAAAAGACAGTGAGTGTGTGAGCCATGTCCTTTTAATTAATACTAAAATGCTGTCCAAGTCTCTGCTGCTTACTCTCTCTCCTGGAGGTCCATTTGGTCCAGCAGCTCCTGGTTCTCCTCTTGCTCCTCTCTTTCCTTCTTCTCCAGCAGGGCCAGGAGGGCCCAGAGGACCAGCAGGGCCCTACAAATAGGTGTTTTTTTTAACATATCTCCTCACAGTAACAAGAGTCATTTGGTGTTTATTGGAACTAAGTTTATGTCAACTTACCAGCTCTCCCTTTGGCCCAGATTCACCTTTGAGTCCAGGAAGACCAGGGTCTCCCTAAAAATGGGAAAATACAGACAGAGAAAACAGTTAAAGGTCACAAAATGTGCAAAAGGAATGATTTTCAGAGTTTTAGATCTTCTTAAACCGGCTTACAGACTGTCCTTTTGGCCCCAGAGGTCCAGTTGATCCTTGTGGTCCAGGTGGTCCTCGGGGACCTGGGAATCCTGGAGCACCAGCAATACCAGGAGCACCCTTCACGGAGAAAGATGAGCAAAAAGCAAAACTAAATGTTGTAAAGAAACAAGTGGTGGATAATAACTGATGATCTTAGTAAACTAGAGGACTTACAGCTGATCCTTTGGCTCCAGGAATACCATCGGTACCCGGGTTACCCCCTGCTCCAGCCGGACCAGGAGATCCTGGAGTACCAGCTTCTCCACGAGGTCCCTGCTGCCCTTCAGCTCCACGAGAACCAGTGGGACCAGCTTCTCCCTGGAACAGCACACAGTAGCTAGCATTTATATGCAGTACATTTTCATTGATTCATAAATATCTGCTGATGATTGCAGATTTTGAACAATTATGACAAACTGATGAATGTTTATTAATATTTAACAGGTTTTTCCGACAATCCATTTACTGAACCCGCTTGTCCATGCTGGGACACATGGGGGGTGGGGTGGGGCGGATGCCTATCTCCAGCGATCGACGGGCTACACCCTGGACAGGTGGCCAGTCCATCACAGGGCAATCAACAGGTTTTTCTTTTCAGGTTTTATGACAAGTAAATCCGATGTTTGCCTGAGTTTTACATATTTATTTTTAAGAAACCCAATGATAGGAAAAGTTTTGATGAAGTAATCATTAGTGGAAGTTTGATGCAGACCAATGTTTCTCAAAGATGATGTGATCTGGACAGACCTTAGCACCTGGAGATCCTGGGAAACCTGGACCTCCAGCAGGACCAGTTGGACCCTACACACAAAACAAATAAAAACAAACGATTTGACTTCATATTTTATCATCACCGCTGTATTGATGACACACTGAGGGGTGTAAAATAAAGATTCAGGTGTGAAGAAATGATGACACGTACAGGTGGACCAGCAGGACCGGGCAAGCCATCGTTACCACGGGCACCCTGACGAGGACAAACACAAGATCAGCGCTGTGCATCAAAATAAAAATGAAAAACTATTTGAAACAGTTGAAAAAAGACAAAAATAACAAATCAGACACATGTCTGCTTTCAGCATGAACAGAAGATTGCTCACTGCAGCTCCAGTGGCTCCAGGACGTCCCCTCTCACCAGGCAGACCACGAGGACCCTAAAAGACAAGAAGACATCAGGGTGTTTTATCTAAAACTGTTTTTTCTTATCACCAACAAACACACCGCCTAGATGAAACACAACTCAGATCAGATGAAGCAGAAGCCACTCACCATTGGTCCAGGGGAACCATTCTCTCCAGCTGTTCCAGACTCTCCCTGATAAATGAGACAATCAGAGGCTGAAAAGCTAATAAAGATTAAAATTCCACTTTTTATTTTTATTTTTATTTTTTCTTAAATCAAACAGATGTTATCAGGTGACTTTACTTTGGCTCCTGCAGCACCAGTCTCTCCCTTGGCTCCATCCAGACCAGGATGACCCTACAACAACACATAACATCAGGACAGCATCAGAAGCTGTGATGATTATCTCTGGCTTCCTTTCCAATGTCCAGCTTCCTGTCCAGGTTTTAACACTCACTCTGTGTCCTTTGATTCCAGGAAGTCCAGGAGTTCCCGGGAATCCACGAGCTCCCTGGAAAAACAGATTTGATCTTTTATTCAATCATTTTGGCTTTAAATCCTGAAATGATGTGTTGTGAAAAATAAAAATAAAAATAAAAAAATAAATAAAGAAAAACACTGGATGGTTGGTAATTCGTCACCTGAGGCCCTGCAGCTCCACGCTCACCAGCTTTACCAGCTTTACCAGGTTCACCCTAAAAACAAATTATGTCACAATCAGAAGATATGGCTGCTATGCGTGTTCCCACTGCTGCATCACTGATGGTGAAGTTAGGGGACAAACAGCTCCCTCTGGTGGTTTAAATATGCTATAGTAAGAAAATAAATCAATAAAAAGGTGCAAAAAGGATGAACTGAGATTAGCTTGAAGTAAAGTTTTGCACTGGAATGTTGTTTTTGTTTAAATATAATGTTCAGCTCAATTCAACTCAAGTTTATTTATAAAGCGCCTAATCACGACAAGTCGTCTCAAGGCACTTCACATAGTAAACATTACAATACAGGTCAGTTCATTAAGCCAATCAGAAAAAAGTTTCCTATATAAGGAACCCAGCAAATAAGCAAGCATTTAGCGACAGTGGAGAGGAAAACTCGTTAACAGGAAGAAACCTCCAGAAAATGTTAATTTACTTATTAAACATGAGGTTTGGTTCTGATTTTGATTTAGTTCTCATGATTTAGTGAAGATGCAGAAAGAGTAAAGACTTACATCACTTCCTGGTTTTCCAGAAGGTCCAGGTGGTCCACGAGGTCCCATTGGTCCCTGTCAAAAAGCAATGGAAAATCAAATATGTACAGTAGTTGTCACTGTAAAACACAACAGGTATGGCTGACTGATTTCTGCTAAATTCAAATGCATTATGGGATTGATGTTTATACGCACAGCTGGACCGGGCTCTCCGGTCTCTCCAGGGGAACCTTGGAAACCCTGTGGTCCCTGTTGGAGCAAAGGATGGAGGAAGATAACAGGTATGTAAATAATCTCTTCTGTGTTCTAACTTTAACTGTTTGATCATTGATGTGTGATGAGTTTGTGGTGAAGTAAAGGAACTTACAGGAGCTCCAGAAGGTCCAGGGGGACCGCGGGGACCCATCGGACCCTGCAGGGAAACAACACACATCATCAACCTAGTTTTAGTTTTTCATAGATTTATTTTGTGTGTGTGTGTGTGCGTGGGGGGTGGGGGTGGGGTGGGGGGGGGGGTGGGGGGGGGGGGGGGCTCTGATCAACCAGTGCAACATATACAATATGTTATATGTCACTCTATTTGGCAAAAAAGAAAGTAAAATCTGTTTCTAAGGTCCTAAAGATATAATAATGCAAATATTTTTGTGGGCTGATCAGAGAGAAATACAATTCTGTAGAACCGGGGGTGGGGTGGTGGTGGGGGGGGGGGTTAGTGGCAGGCGTATTTTCATCATGTCATTTGTCAGTGATCAGAACTGGATCCAGATAATCTGTCGTAGTTGCAGACGGCGATCGCTTACAGAAAATGTTCGACCATCTTACCATTGGTCCCTGCATCACTCCCATCTGAGCACCTCCAGCCTTCTCGTCAAAACCTCCAGCCATCTGAGCAGCAAAGTTCTGTGGACGCAGAATCAGTCTCCACTTACAGGGTTTCCTTCTGTTTTCATGACTCACAGTCAACATGGACTCAGGTGCACGTGAAGTATCTGCACCTGCTGAACCATCACGCTCCTCCTGCTGGAGCACCTGCTAGTCTGTTCTCCTAATTCATCATCGTTTGTGTTGAACATCTTTTATTATCACTTACATTCTTCTTTTTTGTTCAGAATTAGAAATAGGAAATGGAAAGACACAGACACGGATAGAGATGAACTGTCATCAATCTAGACAATTTGAAACTGATTTGATGAATCTTTGGCGTTTTCTTTCTAGGATCTTTGGTTTTGTGTCCTCAGACTTACGCCTCCAAGTCCCGGTGGCCCAGGTGGTCCAGCTGGGCCGGGGGGTCCAGGGTTTCCAGGTGTGCCAGGTTCACCGTCTCTTCCTTGAGGTCCAGGATTTCCCTTGGGAGAAGAAGACAGGAGGTGAATTTATGAGCAGATCAAAACAGATTTCAGGTCATTAATAGAGACTGATTTAGAGCGACTCGTTCATGTGGACATGAAGGACGTGTGTTCCATACCTTATCACCTTTAGAACCGACTTCTCCTCGTGGTCCCTGCTCACCTGGGGGGCCCTGCAACAACAAACATCACGAGTAAAACCATATTAACAGTAAATGTCATTTGTTAAGTATTTATGTTTTAATCAGTCAGCTAAGAAACAAAAGCTGTGTTTACCATTGGGCCTGGAGGTCCTTTAGGTCCTACGACCTGCAAACACACCAGGTCACAGTTTAGTCTCCTGTTCTTTAATCATCAATGAGTCTTTAATAAAATCTTAATTTCAACTCATTTTTCTGTTCAGGGACATTCCAGCTTGGTAGGAGGTGGACAAACTCAAACCCCACAACTAAACCTGACAAGGATTGCATTTGACAAGATGCTCGTTTTTCTCTGAAAACCATCGCCTCCTTTTGACCTTTAGTCCAGATGCCTTTCCTTCCACCCGACATGAACTTGCAGCTAACTGACTGAGGCGATCAAAAGGGGATTTGATTGGGTTCATTGTGTTCCTGGAATGCAGGAACTAATTTAATGAGACATTACATTTGGTCTCACAAGAGTGAAAACGCTTCTTGGAGCTAAAAAGTTGAACCTTCAGAACAAAGTAGGACAATAAATGAGAACTGAGTCGTTGAAAATGCAAAATAATCATCTGGGGAAAGGTGAGAAAATTCTATACACATGAGTGTCGAACAAGAAAGAAACAAAATTATTTTTCATTCGTGTTTTTTTTCAGTTGTTTTTAAAAACACCTGAAACTCTGATTCACCTGAGTGAAGAGCGAGCCGCGTAATTGTTATTTTGTGGTGATGATGATACTTACATCTGCTATTTCTCCTGGCTCTCCTTTCTGGCCCTGGTTGATAAAACAATTTGGTTAAATCTTGAGTTAAATCTAACGGAAATAGAAAAGTTGTGTCATCACCACCTCACCTTAACACTGAGGGTCTCTGATGGGGGAGAGGTTTGGATGAAGGGAGATAGAAAACAGAAAAATTGGATTATAAAGGGAAACATTTTGATCTGGTCTGATGTTCTTAGGAAAAAGACACCTGAACTGTGCTCTAAGGATGCTAAAGAGATCAGACACCAACCCCATCCAGATGATTCATTAATGATGCCAGAAGCAGCAAAAGCAAGCAGGAGCAAAGAGATGAAGTTTTCTTTCTGATATGATGCAAAATGTCTAAATGATCTCCAATTAAATCACTGAGATGAGCTCATACACACCCATAAAGGGTCTTTTGGTGTCTCTTTAATTTTTCTAAGTGTCATTTTCTTTTGTGGCTAAGGGTGAACAAAACCGAGGATGGTTTCTGTCACTCCTACAGTGTCTGGCTGTGCGACTGCATCACACTGAAACTCCACCATAATGGAGAACCATCAGCTTTGACTGAGCTCATCTCAAATTTATAGTCGTAACAGAAATATTCAGAAAGCCATTGAGGAAGTGCCTAAATCTGTAGAAAGCTGCAGAGTGAGTCGCATTAATCGTGACTGAGTCTATAGACAGTCTCCATCTGTGATGTTCAGATGGAGAATAGATGGGCACACCCCAGGATCCCACACTTTTAATAGAAGTGTTTCAATCCTGGTCATGTTGCTCATCTTGTTTCCATAAACATCAAGTAAAAGGTCACTTTGGAAAAGGGAACATCTACACAAGACAATATGATTACATTTGAATCCAAACAGGTTTAATTTGGTCTGATCACACATGGTTCCCATTTCAAAAGCCAAGGTGGAAGCTAAGAGAGTAATTTATTTATAGTCGTGGGAATAAATAAATTACAACCCATGGGGGCACTGGCATCAGCAGGGCAGATGGGGCAACACTCTCCGGTTGGGATGACAGGGTTGGAGCACTCTTTGATCTCCTCGCAGAAAATCTCATCGCACAGAACTGCTCCGCTGTCACACACACAGATTCGACACGGCTCTGGCTTCCACACATCCTTATCATTATACTGCTGGGCATCCTGGGTGCAGCCACCTGCCACCTCTGTGGTGACCAGCAGGGGGCAGGAGGCAGATGGATGGGGATTGGGTTGGGTAGAGGAGGGGGGTGGGGGTGGAGTTACAGGTGAGATGAGCGAGCGAAGGACAAAGTTAGAGAAGTTCATAAAGATTGAGGTGTTTTCAGAGCAGATTTAGTTGAAATTAGAAAAAGGAAGTGACAATTAGGGGCATGTGAAAGGTCGGGGGGGTGGATGAGAAAAGGGAGGGGTAACATGAGTCAGGGAGGGGTTAATGATCACAAGGGTGGGGAGTAGAGGGAAGCAGAAAAAGGTCATCTAACATCAAACAAAACAATGCATTAAAGTTTTTTTTAACGTTTAGAAAATAATAAAACACAAGTCAACTCTGAACTTTGCTTTTGATGCTGATGAAAAACATCCTGGTTTCACCATAAAACTTCAAATGGGTCAGTGTAAAACACACCTGAGTGCAGCTAGAACTCATGAGACTGGCTGTAAGGTGAATCGGGTTATTATAAACCCCCGGCCGTGTCACTGTGTGTGTGTGTGTGTGTGTGTGTGTGTGTGTGTGTGTGTGTGTGTGTGTGTGTAAAGTCTGAGACGAGGCATTTCACAGAGCTGGCTGAGTGTGTTTAAGCTGCAGAGCTGCTCTGCTGCTCGTATGAATGGACCTCTCTCACTGGGACACTGTGCCCAATTGACAAGCGGGTGCTGTAAATAAACAGAGGGTCCTTCTTAAACGGGATCTCATGGGTGTGTGGAGTGCCAGAACAAACACATCTGAGAAGTAAGAAAGGATGATTTATTGAAGGAATACGGTACTTTTTATATTATTGTGTTTCCTTTGAAATCTATCTTGATACAAAGCAGACGGTTTGGCTGCTTGCAAATAAACTTTAAGATGAACACGCTGCTAGAAGTTAGAAAATGCCGGAAACACAAAGTTAGAGAAGTAGAACCCCAACTTGCTATTACACCTGATGTCAGTCATCTGTTGACCCCTGCTGTGAACCCGTCCATCGTCCCGCTCCCTTCCTGCTCCCCTTTGAGCTTCCATGGGGTTAAAAACTGCCTGACCCCAGTGCCTCTTTAAAACACACACACGTACACACACACACACACACACACACACACACACACACACACACACACACACACACACACACACACACACACACACACTCATTTGCACCAGCCAGTCCTTGGGACTGAGGGAACATTATATTTCAGACACTTGTCATTGGACAGGTGTCTCAGTGGCACCAAACAGGAGAAGCTGAGCAGTGTGTCTCAGGTGAGAACAAACCTGATTCTCCATCCCACACAGATGTACCTTTACCTTCCCTACAGAGAGAAAAGCACAGGTTCTCTTGACGAGGCATAAAAACGTCGTTTGCTCCTTTAGAAACGACGTGCTGCATCTGATCGTCTGACTACCCTCAGTCCCTTATAAATATCACAACATATTCAGAAAACCGGTTAAAATGTTAAAGTCCCCCAACAATATTGTGATTTTGATCAAGTTTTCCAAGAAATGGTTAAAATGAAAAGTATAAATAAGTACACAGCAGTGGAACTTACGGTCGTCCTCCTCCTGACATCTGACCACAGATAGTAAAACAACTAGGGATGCTACAAGTAGCAGAACAGTCCTTGAGTCCACACAGCTGAACATGTCTAAATATTAGACATGCAGGAGCTTGGGCGAGAAACGACGGGATGCTGAAGACCAGGCTTTCAGTCAGGTGCTGTGGCAGGTATGTGATCCCAGGGTCTTACAGCACCATGCAGTCAAATCCTCCAAAAACTAAGTGGAATCCAACGCGGGGCCCCAGCTGGCACTCTGAACCCAGCTTGTCAGGGCAAGCACCGCGGTTTTATGTCCACTGAGCTTTGTATGGATCTTGGTATATTCCAAAAAAGCCAGTCCTTCCCCCAAACCCCCTGTCAGGCTGTAACCTGAACCTGCTGTCCCACCCCTCCTAATCTAGCAGCATCTACTCCAACTGGGATGTTATTTTTTTTAACCGAAGCCCTCCTTCCTCCCCTGACCTGCCTGGCCTGGCCAAGAGACGCACCTTCACTTCTACGTTAGAACAGCAGCAGAGCACAGCTCCTGCTTGGACTCAGCTACATGCCATCTGACCACACGAGAGCTGGATTGTGTTCCGCTCTCTTTGGGATTATGGATTAATCTCTGAACTTTAAGTTTGGTCTAATTAGCAGCCACATCACATTCTCATTCCAGTAAACTCAAGTCTGCTCAGGGGAAAAACTTTTACGATGAAGTGATGAGAAACCCCCCCCCCCCCCCCCCCCCCCCAAACCCCAATTCTTAAGTGATTGATTATAAACTTTATACAGACATAGAGAGTTATAACTCTCATACAGAATCTTAGTTACACTATTGGGTGTGCTGCTGGGATTTTATGAATGTAATTTTTACAAATGAAATCTTTTCAACTTCACAGACAAAATATTGGGGACCCCCTCGGGGGGTCCCGGACCCCAGTTTGGGAACCACTGATCTAAAATAGGCGGCTGTGCAGTGACGCAGTTGTTAGAAGATGTGGTTCTTGTAGCAAGAAGGTCCTGGGTTCGATTCCCGGCCTGGGATCTTTCTGCATGGAGTTTGCATGTTCTCCCTGTGTATGCGTGGGTTCTCTCCGGGTACTCCTGCTTCCTCCCACAGTCCAAAAACATGACTGCTAGGTTGATTGGTCTGTCTAAGTTGTCCTTAGGTGTGTGTGTGTGTGTGTGTGTGTGTGTGTGTGTGTGTGTGTGTGTGTGTGTGTGTGTGTGTGTGTGTGAGCATGATTGTTTGTCCTGTGTGTCTCTGTGTTGCCCTGCGATGGACTGGCTCTCTGTCCAGGGTGTACCCCGCCTGATTGCCCGTTGACCGCTGGAGATAGGCACCAGCCCCCCTCGCGACCCTGCGTGGACAAAGCGGGTTCAGAAAATGGATGGATGGATGGATGGATCGATGATCTAAAATAGGTGATGGGATCCTTCTGTTGCTTTTATAACCACATTTTATTTTTCTAACAGTTTTGTGCAAAAGTCTCATGACTCATTTCTTAATATTGGCCTCCAAGCATTATTAGGCCATTGTTATATTCTAACGGGGTTTTGATTAAAAGCTCTTCAGGATTTTCTTTTGGCCTTTGGCAGCTTTTTTCCTCTTCAGGAGAAAATGCTTCTTAACTCATTCGTGCAAAATAATATTTAGGTGTCAACAAAGTCATTCACAAACAGCTGAAACTTGACTAGATGATGGACTTTCAGATGGATTTTACTTTTAGCTGGTCACTAGAATGTTCGCAGTGCAGGAATGAAGGTGTAAATAAGTTATAGATGGTCTAAGGGTTGTTTTTTTTTACTTCATGCTAAGAATCTTTAATATGAGGGTGGCTCAGATGTGAGGTGAACTTCCCTGTGTGGTTCTACAGTTGATAAGACCAGGTGAGTGGGCTTGAAAAGACGACTTTGTCATGAGAGGCACAGTAATTCAAGGGTTATGACCTCCTAGGAAGCCATCCTCATTCCACATGTAGGAATAAAAGTTTGGACAATGTTCCTCCTGATCAGAAGTTAGATGAACAATTGTCTGACCTTTTTGGATTTGCGTTCATATCAAAGAAGACTGCATAGAGAAAACATGAGTGTAACCTAAAACGGGCTAGATCAGCTACACCTGATGGCCTAATGACTTTACTGATGCTATTTAAAACATCAAACAAGTTCTGTGTCTAACTTCAGATCTGTCACAGTCCAGCTGGAATACTGAGTCCAGTTTCAGCTCTCCACAACCGTTTCCCCCGGTGCTCGACTGTGCAGTGGCTTCTGCCGTCTCCCAGCACACACAATAGGCCTCTGTGTGCATGGCCGGCTGGAATGCTGCGAGATGGCAGGCCAGTGGGATAGCTGCATGGTGAGGACGGGGGTTGGTGGGGAGGAAGGGTGTGGAAGCTGTGAGGATAAAAAAGAGGAGGCGGGTGGTGTTGAAGGTGAGAGGGGGAGGTGAAGGGGTGGCAGCGATGGAGGAGCTGATCTCTCTACTGTACGGGTGCACAGAGGCTCCAGGGGTCTACAGGGTGTCCAGGTTTCCTCACCGTGCCGTTTGAGCGTAGCGGCTGTGGGCTTCTGAGCAGACGTGTGACGAGAGGGGAACCAGCAGCTACCTGGAAGAGAGAAGAAACCAACCTGTGAGATGAACGAGGCTCAAAATGAGTTGATTCTCCTACAAATGTTTCAGCTAGAGAAAATTATCTCACCAATAAACACATATAATGGTTTAGCTTTTATTTTTATTAGAAACTTTAATTTACAATCACCTACAGTAAAAGGTCACAACAGCGACCCCAAATGGCCGAGATGTTCACTACACACAACTCAAATAATAAACATGTATGAACAAAATAAAAATCACTTTTTTCTTATAATCTTGGAAAGTCTAGCTCTGGATGCTGACTAGTTTTTGCTGCGTTCAGTTTTATTGTTTGTTATAAAAGATGTTGGCATTAAAGGGAGAGCTCAGGCAAACACGTCACCTGAGGAAACTAACAGACCAGTTCTCACCCGGGCCAGTTTCTCTGTGCTTCTTCAGTCCTAAACAAACTCTGATCTCAGCTTTTTCACAGCAGTTCAGGAAAAACATTTTGTTACATTTCCATCACTTTTAATAATACGTTGTTGTGATTGTTTGCAGCTGGCACCAGCAGCAAAGCTAGCTACCATAGCACCTCTGGCTGGAATGTGACATTTGTGAGAATGTAAATATTTATAAAAAGTATAGTTTTTGATGCTGGAATTGTTTTATTCACTGGCTTTATTGTGAGTCGCTGAGAGCTTGTCTGTCTGATTGATCAGACGCAATCTCCTTTTCTCCAGACTGAGGTTGTTCTACAACCCTTCATCAGAAACCCATTAAAAAATTCTGGACATAGACAGGTGAGCTGGTGTTTTGTGCACACTTCACTTACCTCCATCACTAGTCAACGTGTAGTTGAGACACTTTAGGGTTTTTAAAGCTGACATCATCGCTCCTCTGGTCTCTGAGTCAAGTGTTGGTTTGTGATCTGAAATGAACCATCGGTGTGCATTTACCTCTTTTACTATATCTTTCTTGCTTCTCCATTATGGACACACAAAGATGCTACTTCATTGTACAACTTCTGTACATTTGTGTTACAGACACCTGAGGAGGAGACAGACTAAAGGATAAGAGAACCAAAACAGCTAATTAACATAAAGTTTTACACAACAGGAAATGGATCTCTTGTGCACTCGGGATGTCGCTGCATGTAGGTTTGCCGCTGTGAAGGGAGAGCTAAATTTAGATAAAAGATGATAGCTAGCACATGCAGGACATGGAAGATGGCTTCTATAGGGGAGATCAATCAATCAATCAATCAATCAAATTTATTTATAAAGCGCTTTTCAAACAAAGTGCGATTCAAAGTGCTTTACAAAATGACCCCAGATTCCCATTACAGGTTAAAAACATTAACAAACATATGCAAGCACACACACACACACACACACACACACACACACACAAGTAAAAATTATATTTGGCTGAGTCCAGATGAGCCAAGTATGGTAACGCAAGGAAACGCCATCAGAGGAGCCGTCTGCCCCGGCAGCATCAGGTCTTCCACACTAAGTCAGGGCGCTCAGTGGAGGGGGAGCATAGACCCCCACCTATAGAGCGCCCAGGAAGCTACAGTCGACCACCGCTCCCGGGGCAGAGGGCCCCTACAGAGGAAACACTGGATTAAAATGAGTAAAAATGTAATGAAAGAGCTAATATAAATGACAAAAGTTAGAAAATAAGTAATAAATAAAATGATATAGACAGCAAAATAATAATTTAAATAATAAAACTGTGCTCAAATATAATCATATAGAACATGCAAAGCAAGTAATAAAATATAATCATGTAAAACAGAAATAAAACTGTAGAAAATATTTAGATAACAGCTAACCTAAAAGGATGGGTCTTGAGTCTTGACTTAAAAACATGAACGTTCTCTGATAAATGTAACATCTCTGCTGACAGAAGCTTTGCTCCTGTAATCGTTGTTTCAACAGCTGCTGCATAATTTTCAGAAATTACCATGCAGGAGGTGCTGAAGGTTTTGAGTTTTAAGAAAGCTGGAAGTTGATCAACATCAGAATAGTTAGCATCATAAGTCGAAAACGTGTCCTTGGCTTTAGGTGAAGCCTAAACTCTCCGGGCCGGTTAAAAACCTGAGTCAAAAAGCCAGACCGGTGTGTTTCTTTTCCTGTGTGAGGCGGAGGGGGAAGAGGTTAAGTTTGTGCAGGCTTGCTGCGAGCGGAGGGGGGGCTTTCTCACACAAGATGGAGGATGAAGGGACAAAGGTGGCATTCATTGGCCGAGGAATGAAAAACATTTTCTCCTGAAAGCAGAGAAGCTACAACCAGCAGGCCGCGGGTCAGCGTGCACAGCTCTGGATGCTAACACGACTGGAGCTGCAGACGGCAGCCTCAAGAGGCCTTGGGTATTTTTGGTGGTGGAGAAAAAATCATGTCGCCTTCAGAAGTCGACTCAAAATATGATACTGCCAGTCTGCAGCATGGAAAAGTGTGTGTGTGGTGTGTGTGGTGTGCACTGGGTGTGGTAGACTGGAGTCAGCATCTATAAACACCTCTAAATTTGCTGTAATAAATCAACATGAGTCCTGAAATAAAATCTGAAATAAACATCTCAGGAAAGAGAAAAATAGCACAAGAAGAGGAGACAAGATTCCCTAAATCTTAGTAACACTGGACACAAATGTGGCGTCGCTGATTTCTTCACAAGCCACCCTGTGATCAAAGACAAACGTTCTGAGTCTGGACCAGCAGAAGGAAAATCACCTGCTGCGAACAGGAAGGATGTGAGACGCAAGACTCTGGTCTCACAGGGGAGACCTGAGTGGGGGGGCTTGGAGTGAGTGCGCCATCTAGAGGGCGACTCAGAAAACAGATCAGTGAGAGAAACTCACCATGAGGTGTCACCGTCTCACCAGTCAAAAACATTATTCTCAGGCCACAACAGGACCCCGCCTTTAAAATCACAAGACAATACAGTTCAAAATATAAAATATAAATAATTATTCAAGACTTTCCAGTAAAAAAAAAGAATTATATATATATATGTGTGTGTGTGTGTGTGTGTGTGTGTGTGTGTGTGTGTGTGTGTGTATGTATATATATATATATATATATATATATATATATATATATATATATATATACATATACATATATATATATATATATATATATATATATATATATATATATATGTGTATATATATATATATATATATATATATATACATATACATATATATATATATATATATATATATATATATATATATATGTATATATATATATATATATATATATTATTTATCAAATTATCCATACTTTTACCATCACTGACAGGAGCAACAGCACGTTGTTGTTATTGTGAGAAATGTTAAGTACTTTTACAAGAAATATGGAGTCAAATAAATGTATAAATTTACATAGAATACTAAACAAAAGAACAAAATTAACATTTTGGCTTTAACGGCTGAATGTCAGAATAAACCAGTCGGAGCTCTTTTACTTCTGTGTCTTAAACAAACACGGACAATTCAGAGATTACATTTTATTTTTGTTTTGCTAAGTGCAGCAAAATTAAATGACTATAAAATGTCCGCAGAGTCATTTAACGTGTCTTTTACAAAAAAATGCATTTAAGGGTAGGCTTATTTCGTTTTTTCATCTTTTATGTAATCAGCTGACGGTAGTAGCAGTTATACCTGAGAGGATAAATCACTCGCAGCTGGTTATTGAACCCGCCGTCCAGCCTGAGTCACAGCTCCGCCTCTGAGGAACAGTCTGTCCCGTACATGATCCACAGCAACACAGCAGCTGCTATTAAAGCTCCGTGGACCCAAGGGCCGCATCTATCTCTCAACATCAGCAGCTGGGAGGAGGAACAGTTTTTTCCCCCACCAGTTCTTACAGAATAAGCCCTACTCATCACCATGCATTGCTTGAAAAGCCTGAGGTCAACCAACCTGGGGATTTTGCAGCTGTTTAAAAATGCAGTAATGTCCAGGAGTCCGCAACCTGTTCCTTTATCCAGCTGGACAGCATCAGCCCACATCCACAGAGCCTTTCATCTCCAGAAGACCACTGAGGAGGGCCAAGGACATTCCAAGTAGGTCACAACAGGCTGTTATAAGCAACAATCCTTAAAAATAATAGGAGCTTATTAATAATTTACCAACAGTGCTCCCACAACAGTCCTGCAACAGTTGTTATTAGCATCCATCTTTGAAACCGCTTCAGCCACCAAGAGAGGAAAACTATAGAAACTAGATAAACGTTCTGCAAAATGAGACAACGGCAAAAATCCCTCGGTCTTTCTTTTGATATGGTATTATTGATGATAGCGATAGTTTGGTGATGAATTCCAAGCACCCTGCAGAGGCTGACACTTTACGAGTTAAGAGGAATTTACGTAGGTGGAGAAGACGGGACCAAGTTTAACCCCCTGCTTCTATTTATTCTAATTTTCCCAAGCTATTTAGGATTAGTAGGGCCTTGTTAAAAAGCCTTGTTTAAAAAGCAATTAATACTGGAATAAAAGGAAATGGCTCCGGAAAAGAACAAGGTCTCAGATAAAGAGAATTGAAGAGGCAGTCTCCGGGAGGATGCAGGAGGATAAAAGTTGCAGTAAAGCCTTGCCACTAACACATTTGTGAGTTTATCAATAAATAATTCCCATCTCTCCCGGGTGGTCTCATCCTTCCAAGCTCAGGTCGTCTACCAGAGGCCTGGGAGCTTGAGGGTTCGGCAGTATCTTAGCTGTTCCTTGAATTGCACTTTTCTGGACTGAGATGCCGGATGTTTTCCGGGGATCTGCTTTAGCCACTCCTCCAGTCTGGGGTTACTGCCTCGAGTGCCCTGATGACCACGGGCTCCACCGATGTCTTCACTCTCCAGGCTTTCTCAAGTTCTTCTTTGAGGCCCTGGTACCTCACTAGTTTCTCGTGTTCCCTTTTCCTGATGTTTCCGTCTGTATCGCCACATCAACCACAACAGCTGGCCTCTGTTGTTTGTCCACCACCACAATGTCCAGTTGGTTCGCCATCACCATTTTGTCAGTCTGGATCTGGAAGTCCCACAGGAGCTTGGCTCTAACCTTCTCTACCACCTTAGGGGGTGTTGCTCACTCTGACCTTGGGGCTTCCAGTCCATCCTCTGCACAGATGTTTCCGTACACGATGCCAGCCACTGGGTTGTGGCATTTCCTGTCAGCATCTTACACCCTGCTGCAGGTGTGTGTCTTTGCATAGCCTACACCTTGGGTCTTGTCTGTTGTGGTAGATCTTGGCCTTTGTTGCTCTAAACACCAGAGTAACAGAGGCCAAGATATAAAGCAATGAAACAAATATAAGCAGGATTCAACTGAAACTCATTTATGATGATGATTTTATCGAAATGTGAAATCCTTTTGGGAAACCACCAATTTTCTGAACTTCAGACTGAAAAGTCAAGAAAGACGCAATATGACTTGTCAGAAAACCGTTGACGGTTGGAGGGGACTGTCATGTGAATGCTGAATTATCTACTTAGATAACAACTTTCCTTCATTTGATCACTTTTTGTTTTGGAAGGCCTGACGCATTCATCCAAGACAAAGTCCGATCCAGATTCCGACCACATTTTGTCTGCACACGTTTAGCTGGATGGACACCATCACCGTGTGGGTCTTTCAGACGTTTTGAAACAACATAAAAGGAAACCGCTGAAAAAGTCACAAAGGGATTGTTGGTTTGCTGCTACCTGCTAACAGTCCTGTTAATAAGTAATTAGAGGCTAAAGTTTCAAGTTCCTCATTTATTATTAAAGTTGATAAAGAGCAAAGGAAACACCGATCCAATCAAAGGAACTAAATCTTTGTTTTCTTCACTGCTTTTGTTATTCTCACTTGAATGAAGGTAAACAGCTGCTCTCGTAACCCACGGTGATGATTTCTGGCTACGCCTTTATTCTCTCTGCTAACACGACGAACCTTCAGACGCTGCTCCAAGTTTTAACTCAACACTTTAAAGTTCGTTTTGTTTGTGTGTGCTTTGGCAGGAGGCGGCTGATGTCCAGTTTGGAGGACTTACTTTTTTACACCATCACCGACGGTAAAGAGACCATCCCCCTGTCTCAGTTCACCTCTGTAAGTCACACTCTGCCCTTCTGTTGTTTCTCATCAACACTTCTGATGTAAATCAACCTGAGTGAGCAAAACGCTCACAGCTAGAAGCTCCTCCAGGCGTCTCAATTAAACCGTGTTTATTGTCTGCTTTCTGTCATTTGTCTAAATAAACTGGTTGTTCACAGCTTCGCTCATTTTGTTTTTAAATTAGTTTTAACTACAGTAATTTGTGACACTTTTCGGGTCTCACTGGCAGATTTAAACGAGAATAAGAGACATTTTAGTAGTCTTTCATTACACAAACAAACTCACATGATTGAAAAGCAAACACTCATCCTATTCTGTGCATCTAATTGAAGCATTCACTAATTTAAATTAAGAACTAAATCTATTCAACTTTAAAAAGTCTAGAAAAGAGTAAAGATGTTTGAATAAAACATGAAAAGTCATCACATCACGTAATTATTATATTACTTTCTGTTATTACTCCTGAATGAATGAAAGATTTGCATTTTTAAGGGTTTATTTCAGAAACTGATGAATTTAATTTGTTTTCACATCATTTTTGTGGCTTTTCAACCAGTCACTAATAAAAAGTGATCATCTGGTGAACTCGGTGTCTATGGCAACTCATTCATGCTAAAACAGGCGAGCATTCAGGAGACGTGTCAACACAGGTGGCAGCTTGTGACATCACAGATGACTGGATGTGTTAGCAGCAGGTGAAAAAGCTCCTCACTACCTTTGCTAGCTAAGACCCTGCTCAGACATTCATCTAGGAGATAAAACTCTGAACTAATGACACACACACACACACACACACACACACACACACACACACAAGCCCGCTTAAAGCCATTTGTTTGGTCTGTTTGCTCTCTGAAGCATTTATCAAATGTGATAAGTAAACTAAAAAATAAAAGTCAAGCACCCGAGCCTCTGTGGTCAAGAGGGTTGTGCACGTGGTGTCCCCAAAATAGACACGTGCTGCACAGAGAAAGAAGTTGTCTCCCCCCCCCCTCAGGTCCTTGTAGGCACCCCGCAAGCTTTGGGTTTCTATGAACGTGTATTTCATGTGTGCATATTTCAGATTCCTGTAGTTGACAGCAGGATCTCAAGGTTTTGAGTCATCCAACAAGAGGCCGTGCGGTCCTCCTTTCACTGCTTGTAAATCACTTCGTTTTAAAAATATCTTGTTTCTCTGCCGTCCAGGTTTTGAGAAGAACGGGTTTGTTAACATCTGACCCTCGGCTGCGTGACTGCGTCCATCAGATGCGACAGGCCACACGTGACTCCACTGGGCCAGTCCTGATGGACAAGAAGCTCTTCAGAAGGTGAGAAGCAGTGCCAGTTTATTTATGGGGACAGAGTTTCACACACAGTAACAAACACTTCCTGCATTTATTCAAATGAGCATTCTGTGAGCGTAAGAAGATTGAAACCTGTCAGGCTGGGTTAGAGGAAGAGATGCCTTTTCTTACATAAAGGAGGCCATTTGTGCTCAGCACTATTTGAGTCCAACAGACTGGCAGACACAGGCATTTTATAGCTGACAGCTGCTGCAAAGCACATTCATGTGCGTGCATGCCTGCAAAAGTAGTGGACGTTAGAGGGAGACAGAGGTCTCAGGGGCTGCTAATGAAAGGGCATCATTCTGGTTGAGCTCCAGACTCTGACCATAACATCAAATCATCTAAAAGCTCCCTGCTGTCCCGATAACATCATTTCCTGACTGACTTGTAATTTATTCACTCTCATCTTCTGTTCTGTAAAAGCTAAGTTATTCAGACGTGTCCTCTTTGGTGATCATTTGTTAAAATGATGAGGTGGTTTGCTCCCAAACACCTCTCAGGAGCTCCCCATGACTACGCTGCTGGAGATAAGGAGAGTATCTCCTATTATTTTTAGGAATTGAGCCTTATAAATAATGCAAGCTCCCTCCGCTCGTGCTTGCATTGCTTTGGATTAGCGAAGGCTTCTCGCCACAGAGTCTAGTTCAGTCCAGCTGTGGCAGGACGTACCATTACCATTCTTTGAGAGCGTGCAGCATTGCTGACCAATTATAACAAATGGAAAGTCACAATGAGAGTTAGGGCGTCTTTGTGAAGACGAGCGTTGTCTTCTCATTTTGTTACACGCTAATTTACACGCTTTGTAATGAAGTAACACAATCAGAGCTCATTATAAGTACAACACTTTAGGAGGGTGAAGCGTGAATGGATTTTCACTCACATACGTTTATGTCAGACTACATGACTCATGACCTGAACATTCAGTACGTTTGCAAAAAGATCAACCACCTTGACTTACTCATTTACACTGCAACAGTTTAAGTTACCATACCTGATTCATTCTAGAAATGTTATAGATAGACAGACAGACAGACAGACAGACAGACTCCAGGTAGCAACAACAGCAGTCGTCTCTTTACAAAATTGTTCAAATTCAGCCATGTTGGAGGGTTTCCAGCACGAATGTCCTGTTTAGGGTCAAAAGTCAGAAACTAACCTTCAGGATGTTCTGTTAAAGCAGTATTCATTGTTCTGTGAGCTAAAGCAGCTCCAGAACATCACACCAGCACTACCATGTTGAATGTGGCTATGATGTTAGCTCAGAACTGTGGCGTTAGTGCTAATGAGACACACACCTGCCAGGCACTTTCACTTTTGTTTCATCAGTCCACAAGATCCTTTCCAGAGGTTTTGAACCTCATCAAAATGTATTTTTTATGAGGTTTTGTGTTCTGTGTGGTCATCAAAAGCTTTCTTTACAAACTCTCCTTTGGAAATCCTTGTATGTGAACTCTGACCTGCACCTTTAGAGCTCAGGATGTTCTATAACTTCCTTAAAAATGAGCATCATTTGTTGCTTCTTGAGATCTTGAGCTTAATCACAGTGAACTCATGATTTAACAAAGCAAACAATTACTGGTTCAAAGCTGTGCATGTCTTCTGGGAATAAAAAATGTCCTTTTATGTTTTTTATAGGTGTGTGGGCAACAACATCATGCTGCTGACTAAGGCTTTCAGAAAAAAATGTATCATCCCAGACTTTGAGAATTTTACCTACCAGATCAATAAGCTGTATGAGAGCGCTCAAAAGCAGGAGGGAGGCCTTGTGAGTCAGAGACATACCTCTTTGGTGTTTGTTTACTTATTGTAGAGCAATCAAGAGTGTGTTTCATGTCCTTCTGCAGGTAGCTGACTACATTCCTCAGCTGGCTAAGTTCAGGCCTGAGCTCTGGGGTGTGTCCCTGTGCACAATTGATGGACAGAGGTGAGTAACACACTTTAACAGGTATCATCTCAGACACTTGTCCTCAGCTGTCCCATGTCGCCACCTGATTTTGCTCAGATACTCAGTGGGTGACACCAAGACTCCCTTCTGCATGCAGTCATGTGTGAAACCTTTGGAATATGCCATCGCCGTGCACGAACTTGGCAGTGAGCATGTTCACCGCTTCGTGGGAAAAGAGCCCAGTGGGCTGAAGTTCAACAAACTGTCGCTAAATGAAGAAGGTAAAATTTTTGTTACATCTTTTGTGAGTCTGTCAGTCTGTCTGCAGTCCTGACATTTATTTGACCTTGTGACTCGAGTGGCTCTTTGGTGTGGTGCTGTTGTTCTCGTTCAGCCTCCCCTCATTAATTAATATTAATTATGGAGCATTTTTATCAGAAAACTGTCAAATATTCACCACACAGCCCAGCTAAGAGACATCAGCAACAGGAATATAAGCCATTTTCACTCCTTTTCCTTTAGTTACTAAAAACCTTTTAGAAAACTTTCATCTTAGTCTTTATTTCGACAAACAACCGGAACAAAGTCAGAATACAGCTATGACAACAACGCAAAAGTTTTTCCAGTAAAGTTGTTCCAGATTCTTTACCATTTTGTCCCCTAACCAATGTAACCACATACTGTTTTTGTTATATTGGCTAATAACGCGTACACGTCTCCCAAAGGAAATACAACCTGAACTCTGAGCCAGTTATTGCGTATGTGGTCAGAGAAAAAGCAGTGACATAACACATTTATTTATCTTTTTTCATACAGATAAACCTCACAACCCCATGGTGAATGCTGGAGCCATCGTCATTAGTTCTTTGATTAAGGTAAACCGTGAACACCTGTCAGCGTTGATCTGGTTATTTTAGCACATTTACCGTTCGGACAAAAGGTACAAAATCCACCTGGAATAGAGAGAAAGGTGATGACCTTCTTCGCCAAGAACCTGTTAGGAGCTTCTAAGTCGCTGCAAGATGGAATATGCAGAAGACTGGGGGGGGGGGGGGGGGGGCTTTAACAGCTGTGGTGGGGAGCAACGTCCCCGTGGACTCGGCCGTGTGACGTCATGTCAGAGTGTAATTTCACTGAACGTGGCTTTAATTCTTCTCTGTTGTGGAGCTTTTACTGCTGACTAAGCAGAAGGTTCTCTTATCAAACACGGGTCAAGTTCAGCAGAGAGGGCCAGACCCAGTTAGGACTTACAGTAGGGGAGTGTGTTCCTTTGGCCAATGACAGTTGCCAGCTTAGAGGGTGTGTTTACCAACCTGACTCTGCATGTGCGTAACGGGGAGACAGCGTTTGAACACGCACAGCTTATAGCTCACATTTAACCTGTAAGAGGCCAAGTACAATAAATAAACAAATAAATGGAGTAAAGGCTGAAGGGCAACATGTTCTTCTAGTCTTTCATACCGCGGTGAAAGCTGCCTACAAAAATCTGAGTGTGTTGTTGGAGTAGTCGATTTCACATCACTGAGGTGAAACTACGTGAAAAGCCATAAAACCCCATAAGTCCTCCCTTCATCCTGCAGTAATGGCTGATAGTATCCTTTAGGTGGAGTCATTAAATATGAAAGTGAGTGCTGTTCCTTTTTAGTTACTGCATGACTTGGTAGGGATCCTCTACTGGTCCATGAAATTCAAGCTCAGCCATAAACAGCTCCAGAGTGGTGCTGAGCACATCGCCACATGGACCGACACGCTCATCAACAACAACAACAACACACACACACACACATTCGCACGCACACACACACACACACACACACACACACACACACACACACACACACACACACACACACACACACACACACACACACACACACACACACACACACACACACACACACACACACAAGGGTCTAACACTCAAACACTGCCATCTGTAGGCTGATAAGCACCCTTCATGTCACTTGTTTCTAACATCAGAACTTCTCTCCTTCAACAGCCTTACTCAAATAAAGCAGAGAGGTTTGACTTTGTGAGTAAAAACTTTTATTTTTGCTTTTGTTGAATAATGTCATTACCTACTGAATAATGTTATTACCTACTGAATAATGTCATTACCTACTGAATAATGGTATTACCTACTAAATAATGTCATTACCCACTGAATAATGGCATTACCTACTGAATAATGTCATTACCCACTGAATAATGGCATTACCTACTGAATAATGATATTACCTACTGAATAATGTTATTACCTACTAAATAATGTCATTACCTACTAAATAATGTCATTACCTACTGAATAATGTCATTACCTACTGAATAATGGTATTGCCTACTAAATAATGTCATTACCTACTGAATAATGTAATCACCTACTGAATAATGTCATTACCTACTGAATAATGTTATTACCTACTGAATAATGTCATTACCTACTGAATAATGTTATTACCTATTGAATAATGTTATTACCTACTGAACAATGTCATTACCTACTGAATAATGGTATTACCTACTGAATAATAGTATTACCTACTGAATAATAGTATTACCTACTGAATAATGGTATTACCTACTGAATAATAGTATTACGTACTGAATAATAGTATTACCTACTGAATAATGTCATTACCTACTGAATAATGGTATTACCTACTGAATAATGGTATTACCTACTGAATAATAGTATTACCTACTGAATAATGTCATTACCTACTGAATAATGTTATTACCTACTGAATAATGTCATTACCTACTGAATAATGTGATTACCTACTGAATAATGTTATTACCTACTGAATAATGTTTACATAATGAATAATGGTTTTACCTACTGAATTATGTTATTATCAACTGAATAATATTATTATCTACTGAATATTGTCACCACCTACTGAATAATGTCATTACCTACTGAATAATGTCATTACCTACTGAATAATGTCATCACCTACTGAATAATGTTATTACCACAGGTGATGGAGTTCCTGAAGAGCATGGCGGGTACAGAGTATGTGGGGTTCAGCAACGCGACGTAAGACTTCAACCCTCCTCCTCTGACCTGTTTATATTTAAAAGTGAAATCCTGCTCTTTACATCTGCTGCCTTCCTACAGCTTCCAGTCAGAGAGGGAGACTGGTGACCGGAACTTTGCGATAGGTTATTACCTCAAAGAGAAAAAGGTTAGAGTCAGGTTTTAGTTTTGTTAATTTATTTCAATCGCCTCTTGGTCTGATTTCTGCTTACTCTGACTCTTACAGTGCTTTCCTGACAACGCAGATATGATTGCAGCTCTTGACTTCTACTTCCAGGTAACCAGGCAGGATTTTTGTCAGCTTAATATTTGATCATCAGTTTAACTCGGACAGAAACACGTCAACAGATGATTTCTGTGGACCGTTGCACAGAAGGTGTCGGACCCATGTGACTAATCACTGCTGATGCTGCTTTTCCTTCATATCTGATGCCAGAGTCAGCAGAAGCCCCATGCAGCTCTGTGGTCCCTCTGCAGTGGCTCTATGTAGCTGTAACCCAAATTCATGTGGAAATCATTCACATTTGTTTTAAACCCACAGTCTAAAGTCTATTGTTAGCAATTTTTAGATCCAGTTTCATTTAGATGTGTGACAAAAATGTCAAAAATCTTTTTAGGATACAAATACATCATTTCAAAGTGAGAGGCGTAATCACAAATACAGAATGGACTCACATGGCTTCATGGACAAGTGTCAAAATTTATCACAGGAGTTTATTTCTAATGGGGTCAGATGTGCTCCAGGGGCAATTTAAATGTTTAGGAGTGCACCACTTCACCCTTTACAAGGGATAAACTATCAGCCATGTTTAGCACCCCCTACCGCCACCCCGCCCCCGTCAGGGGCGCCTCCAGAACATTTTGATAGGGGTGGCCTGATTATTTTTTTACTGATTAATTCTATTATTTTTATGTTATTTTACAATTATGTCTTGAATAACTAAGCTCAATTTATGGTTTGAGTGGACATTAATATTCAATTTTCCAGGGATGGCCACCACTGGCCTTCCCCTGTACTGGAAGGGTTACCTGATAGGACAGTGGATGGGTTAAAGAACAACTTAGCTTATGATTTTATTCTTCTTGAACACTTAATAAAAGTCCATCAGAAACCCGTTACCACAGATGACAAACAGCTCTGTCTGTGTCTCCCACCCAGCTGTGCTCCATTGAGGTCACTTGTGAGTCTGGAAGTGTCATGGCTGCCACTCTGGCCAACGGAGGGATTTGTCCAATCACAGGTGATCGTGTTTTAAGTGCTGAAGCCGTTCGGAATACATTGAGTCTCATGCATTCCTGTGGGATGTACGACTTTTCTGGGCAGTTTGCGTTCCATGTGAGTGCCTTTGGTCTGTTGACAAGGTATGTGATCCTGCTTCCATCACTAAAGTTGGTCTTGGCCCTCTTCTTCTTAGGTGGGCCTTCCTGCAAAATCTGGAGTTTCTGGCGCCGTGTTGCTGGTGGTTCCTAATGTCATGGGTTTGATGTGCTGGTCGCCGCCTTTAGATCGGCTGGGAAACAGCGTTCGTGGTATTCACTTCTGTCAGGTACGCTGGTGAAAGCTTTTCTTACTTCTCTTTCAAGAGAACAAATAACAAAACATGTTTTTGTAAGTCTATAAAATATTCTTCAACATTGGATCCAACAGGAACTTGTGTCTTACTTCAACTTCCATAATTATGACAACCTGAGGCATTTTACCAAAAAACACGACCCCAGAAGACGAACCGATGATGATCCGGTAAGTTCAGATGGGGTTAGAAGAAGGCAGGACCTTTTGACTCTGTTAAAAAGCTGCTTAAAAATGCACAAAGGAAAATTCAGTCAACAATCCTTTGGTTTCTATTTGATCCTTAGAACAAGTCGGTGGTAAACTTGATGTTTGCAGCTTACAGTGGAGACGTCTCTGCGCTGAGGAGGTAAGCACAAACGAACACTAACGTTTTTTACCAGGTAAGTGAGGCAGCAGCTTTGCATTTGGGTAAATCTTTATCTGATATTAAAATGAGAAGATTTGTACTTTAAAAACTCCTTTATGGCTCCAGAGACTAACGCTACAAACAATGAAGATGTTATTGAAATACATCTTTGGGCCCCATAAGTCATATTTAAGGGCAACGGTGGCACAGGAGTTAAGTGCTCACCCCGTAATCAGAAGGTTGCAGGTTCAAGCCTAGTCTGTCACTGCCGTTGTGTCCTTGGGCAAGACACTTAACCCACCTTGCCTGCTGGTCAGAGGGACCGGAGGTGCCTGTATACGGCAGAACCGACTCTGTCAGTGTGCCCCAGGCCAGCTGTGGCTACAACGTCACCATCAGGGTGTGAATGTGTGTGAATGGGTGGATGACTGATCGTGTTGTAAAGCGCCTTGGGGTTTCCAGGACCCTCGAATATTAAAAACAGGGCAGGCCATTTACCATTTAATGTTGTAACACACTGCAGATAGGCGGAACCAGGCCAGACACTTCCTGTTCCTGGGCTGTATGCTAAGCTAACAGTTTCCTGAATTTAACAGTTTAAATCTCACTTTATCATCACTAAATCATACATACAGTGTTTCACCACAGCTCAGCTCCAATTTTACATTTGTGTGCACCCCCCTGCCCCGCAGGTTTGCCCTTTCAGATGTGGACATGGAGCAGAGAGATTATGACTTTCGCACAGCGCTTCACATCGCTGCAGCTAAAGGTGACACTTTTCATCATTACTTCATTCATTCTTCAACGACGTCAGCTTTGACATTTATCAGAGTCGATGACATATAACATTTACATTATAGTCGAATGGATTTCTTCTCTTCGTGTTTCGTTAATGTCTTTTATTTTTTTTAATTTTAGGCCACGAGGAAGCTGTGTTCTTCCTGACTGAAATTTGCAAAGTGAATCCTTACATTAAGGACAGGTACGAATCCAGATCGTAACTTCTTCTGATTCTAACAAATAATCCGTCCATCTCCATGTGTCTGTGTGGTCCATCAGATGGGGCAACACTCCCCTGGATGACGCTTTGCAGTTTGGCCATGACGCTGTTGTTGCGGTCCTGCAGAAGTACCAGTGCAAGTTCACCAGCTCCACAAGCAGCACCGAGGAGCAGAAGACCTCACTGGACTCCATGAAAAGTACCCTTTAACCCACATCATCAGGGTTCATTATGCTCATCTTTTGTTGTACATCTGGAAGGATTTTACAAATGCATCTCCCCCCAAAAACGTTCGACTGTTTTTTATGTTCAAGACTCGACATCCCAGAATTCTGATCACCCAGGCCATTTCTACTGATGTTCACAACAAAGGAAAACTTAAAGGTGGAATATGAAGTTATTTAAATCCCAAAAGAAGAGTGCAAACGGGAAATATAAAAGAAAAACACCATCTGAATGTATTATTGTGAACAACCAGGCTGAGGTACTGTAGGTAAAGCTAAACAGGCTGAAATTGTTCTAGTTTGACCAAAGTCACAGACTTTAAGTATCAACAGAGACAAAATGTCTCACCTTTAAATGTTTAATTCTTCTGAATGCAAAGAAAGAGGACGTTTTTAAAGCCATATCTTAGTAAATGTGTTTATTGCTCTTTATTAATGACACCAATGATTAATTCTGCTTTTCTGTTCAGTTTCTAATCAATTCTACGTTGTACATATCTTAAAATTATATTTATAAAATAATCAACACGTTACTGATTGTATTTGTGCTGCCTGTGTTATTTTAACTATTCTAATTTATTCTTCAAGTAACACCAGGTTTATTAGCATCAGAGGGTGTTTTATGTATTAATGTGCACTTTATAAGCAATCACGTTCATCAGTCTGTATAGAGAACCCAGTGAAATTCACTTTTATTTTAAAACTTGCCTTTTATCCCAAAATTGGGCTTTTCTGGTTTCATTTCTCTAAATAAATCAGAGAAAAGAAAAACCAAACAAAACTCCCGGTTAGGAAACATGAAACCAAACATAAGTTCAATTAGAATAGAAAAAATGCTGGAAGTGCTGCAGGGGTGTGAGAAATCTTATCTGGTGCTCTTCAGCCAAGGGATCCTTTTGCCAACATAAGTTCAATTAGAACTGGGTTTTATTTGCACTGAGATGATTTCTCTGCACAAACTCTGTAAATATTTCTATTATAAATAAATGAATCTGTAAACCATGGCAGTGAAGATATTTTATTGAACAACATAGAAAAACAACATGATACTGAAGGTTTTGTGTTGACTTGAGGTTTTATAACAGAAAAATGCCGCAACGTTCAGTGTAAAAGTTTACGGCAGCAGCCATGTTCTGAGTTTATGAGGTAATAAATCTAACGCACACGCACACACCAGCCTGAGTTGGTCAAACACAAAATAAATGAACTTGCATCATCAAAAGTGACGATAGACTGAAGCAAAAAAATTCATCACCTTTCATGAAGCTTTTAATGATTTACTTTAAAGATAATGCTTTTCCCCCTGCAGTTTTAGGATGCAGAGTGTTGGCTGAGTTTTAAACCCAGTCTGGTGCCTCGTACGGCAAATCCAATCCGATTTGTTTGTTCTGCATCACTTCAGCCCCTCTGGCTCTTCCAGCCCAGAATGTGTCAGCAGCTCCCCGTCCCAAAGTCCAAACGCAGGACAGAGAGGAGCTTTGAACTGAGCCCTGAGAGCGTGGATGATGCAAGGCCTCTCGACATTCACCAGCCCCAGGACGCCTGCTTCAAAGTCCAGCAGGATCCCAACACGGTCTGGCTTTCCAACCAGTGTCACGGGAACTACTTTACTGTTGGTCATGGCGAACCACTTCCTCTGAGCGTAGCCGAACACCCAGGATGAGCTATTGGTGCCCACACACTCGTCCCTTGACATCTGTGCCTCCGCCACCCCCAGGCGAAACTCTTGGGACTTTTTGACAGTAATCTCCCAATAGTGTCGCCCACTGCTGATCTTGGAGTCCCCAAACACAACGGCCCATTCTCGGAAGCGCTTGGGGTTGTCTTGGACTTGGGTGGGGTCCAGGCCCATCATGCGGTAGATGATGCCTGTGTCTTTCTTGAAGAGGTCCAGACTGCTGTGAGCGGTGTGTTCATCTAGTCTGAACTGAAAGTCTAGAAGAAAGCACAGAATTTACTGTTTTAGTGAAGCTTTTGACTAAGAGGCTCGACACACGGGAGGCGACAAACGACCGTGATCAGCAAAATTCGTCGCTGTCGCTTTTATTACCTGACACACGGGAGGCGACCCGCGGCAGCGACCAGCGGCAAACCTGTCTACGCGTTCTGTTCCATGGCAAAATTGCAACTTCCGTTGTTTTGTTTGGCTGTGTCAGGTTGGAGGGAATTAAGGTTATTTAAGCGGTTCAGAGTTAATAAAGCGGTAGATATGATGTTTCACAAGGTGCTGCTAGAGTTATGTGAAATCTTACTTCTGATTTTACTATATAAAACATAATAATAATCAACTTCTCCTTCATGTTTGCTCGGAGATGTACGGAGCATCCTGTCCTCTCATTGGTCAGTGAATGAAACCTCCGTTGATTGGTCCTCGTCCGAGCGACAGCGATGAAAAGTTGAAAATATTTTAACTTTCTGGGATTGTGTCGCTGGGTCGCCTGTGCATGAGCGCAAAATTTCACACGCACGTTTTTCGCTTTTCGCTTGGTAGGAGGGAGACCCGTGATTATCGCTTTGTCACGCATGTCTCGTTGAAAATGAATGGAGGAGAGGCGTCCCGTGTGTCGAGCCCATTACAGAGCAGTTTCCATTTTACCTGGTAAACCTGTGAAGGTATTTGAAAAATTGACTTTAATACAGGTAAGAAACAAACAAAGATGTGGTTGGATGGTAAATTATGGATTCTAGGACAAAAGAAGGAGAATTCCTGTTTCTAATCTTTGCAAAATATAAAGAAAGGTAAATTCAAATATTTATATTTTACTCAAAATTAACCTTTCTGCTTTATACTTTAACAACTTTGGTGCATTATGAACATCATACAGATTTATTGTATATGATTGAGCATTAGTGTAACAGAGGAAGGGAAAAATGAGGATGTGCCACTCTAAAAGGCTGCATGACATGCCTCTTTTTAAATGTAGCTTTGTAAATAGGCCTAGACCACCGGTTGCAATGATACTAAAGGAAGAACAAATACAGATGTGGTCAGGCTTTGATTCTCAGGTTGTTCTTGGGGGGGGGGGGGGCAACTTTTCTCAAATTCAAATTCTAAAATACTTTATTAATCCCAGAGGGAAATTGATTTTCTGGAAATGGTATGAATTTTTTCTCACCGTTTTATTTTTAACCTCCACACCCACTCATTCAGTATTCTTGTCTGTGTCACTAACATGCAGTCGTTTACATTTAAATCTTATTTACTTGACTTACCGTTCAAATGAACTTCACACACATTACTAAAACTATTTTGATGAATAATAAAAGCTGTAATAAAGTCCAATTAGGCTGCAGGAAAAAAGATCAGTCGAGCCTTTGTTAGTTTTAGTCACAGATCAGTTCATGAAAGAAATTACTTTATAGATTATCGGTTTCCCTGGATCCTTTAAACTTGTTGTTTTACATGAAAACGTTGCCACCGTTTTTAACATCCACTTCATTTCGGATGCAGTCTGGTTTTGAGCGTTTTATGACGCTTTTAAAAACAGCGTTATGGGAGAAAAACTCCCCTAAGGGGAAAAAAAAACTGATCAGGGCTGCTTCACAGATGAAATCTGGGGTCTTCGCCTGAGAAGAAACACTGGATTTTCTACACGTGTTGTGTAGAAACTGTAAAGTTTAGTTTACAGGAAGACCAGACTACAGTTTTATAATAAAACAGCAAACGTAACTAATAATGTCCGCTACCACTGAGCCCAGCTGCCCCCAAACAGTGACCTTTTATGGTTTCGCATCTGTGTTAACAACACGTGTTTGTAGCTTGCATGAAAATTAACTCACTGCTCGCGGTCGATGTGGATATAAAACGCGCCCTGGCTGGCAAGCTGACCGATCGCCTGAGTCCCGGTGATAGGGAGAACACGGTTCGTTCTGCCTGAAGACAGAAACGAGAAGCACTAATGGCCATCGCCATGTTTCCTCTGTAGTTGATCACGTGTTGTTGTCGGTTATGGGAACCTGCCGCTCTTCTGCCCCTGCAGGCCTGGAGAGGAACAGCACCACCCCGTCCAAAACAACATTCAGCACCATGGACAGCGACATGTCCGTTTACACTGTTCCTGGGTCCAAAACAAGATACAAATACTAAAGCATTTGTGTTATTTATGTACGTTTGAGTAAATGTACCTATTTTAAAACATGGTCTGATTCTTTGGGCTAAATCTGACTTTAAAATGTGGGTCTGGAAAACTTTAGTTCTGAGATCTATTGGGCAGCAGTAGCTCAACAGGTTGACCGGGTTGTCCAGTAATCGGAAGGTTGCTAGTTTGATCCCGGTTCCCAGACAGGGAATTCTGTTGTGTCCTTGGGTAAGACACTTAACCCACCTTGCATGCTGGTGGTGGTCGGAGGGTCCGGTGGTGCCTGTGCTCGCCTCGCCTCTGTCAGTGCGTCCCAGGGCAACTGTGGCTACATCGTAGCTCATCACATGTGTGAATGTGTGTGTGAATGGATGAATGATACACTGTAGTGTAAAGCGCTTTGGAATCCTTACTCTGAGAGGTGCTATACAAGTGCAGGTCATTTATCATTCATTATGATTTAACAATATTTTTCTCAGCCTCAATGTCAGTTCCGCTAAAATAATGTTATAGTAAATATTTTATATAAACTGTTTGTTAAAAATTGAATCCTGAAAACGTTTCTTTCATTAGCAAAAGACTAGGAGTTGGCTCTCATTTGTTTTAAATGCTTCTGGATTTGTTTTAAAATCTGACTGATCAAGAAAGAAGTACAACCTATTTGAAAGTTAATTTACACTATCCAGCCATCCACTGTGTATGCCAGGGTCACAGAGGATGGTGCCTATCTCCAGCAGTCTTTGGGAAAACAGGCAGGGTATACCGTGGACAGGTTTCCAGTTCATCGCAGGGCAACATCAAGACACACACAGGACAGGCAACCAGGCACACACTCACACCTAAGGACAACCCAGACAGACCAATCAACCTGACAGTCATAGGTTTAAATGGGAGAGAACCCGTGCATGCACAGGGAGAACATGCAAATGCCATGCAGAAAGACCCCAGGCTGGGATTCGAACCTAGGAACTTGTTGCTGCAAGGCAACAGTGTAAAACCCCCTAACATACTATAATGTTATTATAAAGTTAAAGATGCTTAATTAGAATTTAAAAAATAAGTTCCAGCAGGAGTTAAACTAAACTTTCCAGATGATCAACAACCATTTTTCTCCTGTGATTTGTGCCATTTACGCATATTAAAACAAATGTTAATTTTAAATGTAATGGCAGCATTGAGCTGCTTTAATGGGTTGTGGAACCAAAAAGCTCTGAAACAGAGTCTGGTTTCTCCTCTGCTGTCCTCCAATGTTTACATCATGCTCTTTAATCCAAAATGACAAAGTTGTGTTAAGACTATAAACAGATGCAGAAAATGTTTACTAAGTTTACATAACAAGTAAAAAATAATACAGAAACTATGTAGTTATGTAGTTTTCTATAATGGTTTAAGTTGTAAAACAGAGCCCAATAACCAACTAACATATCTAATATAACAGAAGATCACTCAGAAAACTAAAATCCACAAGACATTCTGGGGAAAGGGTTGCATCGATCAAATGTAAACTCTGTTTCTGCATAGATTGCAATTGTTTGCGTGATTTATAGTTAGAATAACTCCTTGGCAATAAAGATTTTTAATGGCGTAGATGAGAAATAGTATTTTAGGCTGGTGTTAGAGTGGATGTTAATGCATCTTTCATCACATGTGATGATTTATTTCTGTGAAGCTTCATTTGGCCTTGCAGCACAGCGAGATCCATTGTTCACACCAGCCTCTCTCTGGGAACAAAACTTAATTTCTAATTCATGGGTTTAATCCAAACAAGGCTCTTATTATTTTTGTTTGTGTTGCTGCTGATAGTTACTTTGTTTCAGCAAAGCCCCAGTAACTGAACATTTTTGCTAGAGCTGGGCACCAGCTCCCTGTGACCCTTCAGAGGAAGAAGATGAGAATGGCATCAATTAGCTTTTTGGGTTGTCTTTGTCCAGCTTATAAAAACGGTTTAGGAAACAAAATTCAGTAATCATGTTAAAATGTTATCATGATATGAGTTTATCTTCTGACACCAAAGAGTACAACTGATAGTTTAAAACAAACTTGATGTGGTTATCTAAAATAAAATCTAAAATAAAATGTGTGACTGTGTTTATAAATTACATGAAAGATCTTAGATCTTTGATTAACTTCAACTTGGAGAAATAGAGAATGTTTCCAACAATAGTTTAGAAAGAGCTCACATTCTCACCATCCCTTCCTGAATAATTATTTTTTCTACAACTTACTTCTATACCTGCTGCAATGAAAAGTCAAATGGCTAAAATAATGCAAAAATAACGTTTGGGTATAAATGTAAAACAGAGTGTAAAAGGAACAGGCTGCCCTTGTGACTCACCTACCACCAGAGGCAAATCAAGCTCTTTGTTTGTGTGTGTGTGTGTGTGTGTGTGTGTGTGTGTGTGTGTGTGTGTGTGTGTGTGTGTGCGTGCGTGTACGTGTGTGTTTGTGTGCATGTGCGTGCGTGCGTGCGTGTACGTGTGTGTGTGTGCGCGCGCGTGCGTGTGTGTGTGTGTGTCTGGGATAGGGAACTACAATTCACCTACAAATTATCACAACCTTATCATGTTTTCATGTCAAACTAACCCAAACAGGTAAAGACATTAAAAGTCGTTTTTCTGTTCTTATTTAAAAAACTGAAAAATAACTTGCAAAGAGCAGCTTTGAGAGCTTTAAATGTCTCAAGATAGAAAACAAACCACAATATACAAGCAACCACATGGCCAGAACCTCAGGTTCTGATACTGTCACCACAGAAGAATAGCCTCTGCAGGAGATCAACAGCTTTAGATGTCTTTGATATCTGTTTTCCACTGCTGAAGAGATTGTTGTATGTTCAGCAGATCCAACGTGCTTTAATGTATCTACTGAATTAATCAAATCCAGAAAGTGCTAGAAAAGGTCATCTGTTTTAGAATTAGTCATGACACACTGTTGGATTAGTCACTGAGGAGGAAAAAAAATCTGAAATGTTGAAATAATGTTTTGAGGGGAAAAAAGTGGAATCCTATTTTTATTTATTTATTTGTCATCTCTAGCAGCATCCAGAATTGAGCTCGAAGACACACGCACGCGCACGCGCACACACACACATACACACACACAGCAGAGCAAGGAGGGGGCGGAGCTCTGTATCAGAGAGAGGCGTGTCTTAAGAGGGAAGTGTCGTCTCTAACTCAGGAGTATTCTATTCTGCTGGTGGAGGGCCAGTATTCAGCATGTTTTAGCTTTAACTCTATTGCAACACACCTCATTTCAATCAGTAGGTGATTAACAGGCTTCTGCAGAGCCCGATGAGCTGCTGCAACTGATTCAACCACTGAAAGTGATGGAGCAGAGAAACCACTAAAATGCGCTGGATACCGTCCCTCCAGGCCTGGAACTGAATACCCTTGGTCTGTCACACTCCGGTGTTAACCAGTACAAACACTGGTAACCAGGATGTTGATACCTGGACCTATCTGCTCCCCACAAGTTCAGATATCAACCTGTCAGTGATTTAATCTTCCTAAAAATTGGAAGGATGAAGAAATCCTGCCCCAAATTGAACCCCCACCCCCAAAACCACCCCCGCATGTCCGATTTGCAAACCATAGGCTTGTTTACCTCGGATTTCTCTCTCTCTCTCTCTCTCTCTCTCTCTCTCTCTCTCTCTCTCTCTCTCTCTCTCTCTCTCTCTCTCTCTCTCTCTCTCTCTCTCTCTCTCTCTCTCTCTCTCTCTCTCTCTCTCTCTCTCTCTCTCTCTCTCTCTCTCTCTCTCTCTCTCTCTCTCTCTCTCTCTCTCTCTCTACAGTTTAATGGTTCTGCACGTTTCGCTCTGAAGAAGCTGAACACTGATGTAGTGCGGTGCTGTGGTGATGGACCCTCTCTGCTTATGCTCGCCGTGGACAGAATTTCTTCTGCACACAGATCCTGCTCCCTCCGACTTTCTCCAGACCCGCGGTGGCTTCTATCTTTATCCTGATGGGCGCGTGAGTGGCGCTGCCTGTTCGGAGGGATGATGGTTGCGTATCTCTCAGGCTGTTTTCTGTCTCTTACCCACTTTTAACAATGGATCTGAAAGTAGAACCTGAGGAAATGGACTCCAACCAGCCTCCACCCATAGAAGTTTTCGCGCACAACTCGACCCTCCACGGAATCTCCCACATCTTCACCTACGAACGGTTTTGCATCAAGCGCGTGCTGTGGCTCCTGCTTTTCCTGGGCTCGCTGACATTTCTGCTGTACGTGTGCGTGGACAGGATCCACTTTTACCTCGAGTACCCGCACGTCACCAAACTGGACGAGGTCACGACCCCGGTCATGACGTTCCCGGCAGTGACCTTCTGCAACCTGAACGCGTTCCGCTTCAGCCAGATGACGCGCAACGACCTGTACCACGCCGGGGAGCTACTGGCCCTGCTCAACGAGGGGTAAACACCACCACCAGCTGGGTCTTCTTACGTGTAGTTTTGGTTTTCTAGACCAAACTGCTCATTTGCATAATTGTTTGAAACTTTTAAACCCCCTTTTTCCTGAAGCCAAAATTCATTCTGATAATTATATTAGACTTTTAATTAAATTGCCTTCATATTGCTGATGGATATCCCTGCTTCCTTTAAACGTCTTCTGCAGATTGGCACACTTCCGCATTTCACTAAAGATTTGAATACTTAATCTACCTCTCACACTTTGGTCTCAGCCATCCAACAAGCCCCAGTTGTTTCCACCTTGTTGACTCAGAGCTGGGAGGGCAAGCTTGTCAGGCTTGAATTAAGTGAGGCATCATAATCAGAGGACTCCAGATGTTCTGTTGGTGCAGCTGAAGGCTGCTAGAGCTGGCAACCAAGTGTGTGTGTGTGTGTGTGTGTGTGTGTGTGTGTGTGTGTGTGTGTGTGTGTGTGTGTGTGTGTGTGTGTGTGTAGCCTGCTCTCTTTAATTGCCAGTGAAAATATTTCTGGTCATTTTTAAGCTTTAATCCCCGTCAGTTTGAAATTTCAGCAAAGCTGCAAAGAAACCCACCTCATGTGAAGTTAAATCCAAGTGTGTGTGTGTGTGTGTGTGTGTGTGTGTGTGTGTGTGTGTGTGTGTGTATGTGTGTGCAGTTGAACATTATTCAACAAGGTATCTTTTTAAACATTTTGGCATGAATGACACAAGTAACACATTTCTCAGAGATGACACAAGAGTGTCTGTCTAATTCTAGTTTGATTGCTTTGGCCTTTGTTAGTTTAATATGTCTCAAACGTTGACAGATGCAGAAACAACAACGTTATGAATGAATTATGGACATTTTAGATTGATTTCAGCCAATTATAGGATCCTAAACAATAAAATGCATCTACTGATCTCACATCTCTGACATGATCTTGTAATGTGAGAAGGAAGGCTGCAGTTTCTCTTCTCGTGTGTTCATCTGAGCTGAAGAAGCTCATTATCTCATAGTCGAGGTGGAGAAGCGGTGTAGGGCCCTCCGAGCTGTTTTACCTCCGGCCAGATATGAAAGCGCCTGTGGCAGGAAATCCATTTAAGACTGTTCTAAACCCTTGTCAGATGTTTGGAACCACTGGTTTTGGAAATGGCTTGTGGCATGATATATGCGTTTCACAAAGCCTCGACTGGTGCCTTGCTGGCAGGTTTGTTCACTACTTTTATGTTTTTGTTACAAAACACCCATCTACTGTAAACCAGAATAAAGTGATCACTGATGTTATGTGGATTCTTTCACCTCAGTTTCCTGACAAGGGAGACTAAATAGAGAAAAAATTAAAAGCCAGTTAATAAGCTTCTGTATCTGTGTTTCCACTATAATCCATTAAAATACATGTGGTGTAGTAATCATATGTTTGACAAGAGATCAGATCATATCCATTCAGGAACACATTGAGCAATTTCCTAAAATATCATTTATTTGTTGTTGAGTTAAAAAAAATCCAAGCAGTCTGCCCTTGGATGAGTGCATTAAAATGGTGACATTTTAATAAAAGCATGGTGGGAGATCACAGCGAGGGTAAAGAGCGGCAGCTTTTACAGCTTCTGCTCTTTTAGAGCACTGCTCCTTGTTCAGGTTAGTGTGAGCTCCATGAAATAAAAGTAAACGTCCCAGTGGATTAATGGCAGCATTCACAGCCTCAAGCGTCACTGCAGAAACGCTGAGCGCTTGTGGATCAAAACTCTTCTCCAGATCCATCTAATGCATCTAAAGGATCCTCTGACCTCCTTTAACTTTGCAGTGTGGAGACGCAAGGGCTGCATATTTCTCCAACCTGGTTTCCAAGAGCAAAGGGAATTCCAAAGTATTGTTTCTCCTGCTTTACCTGCAGCCTCCATTCACTCTGATGGAGACTGAACACTTCCTCTCTTCCTGGATAAGGTTAGATCTAGCATCTCTTCTTCAGCTTTATCTCTGCCTGACACTTAATTCTAAATAAGGGACAGTTGTTGCAGGGTGGGTTGTCCAATAATTAGAAGGTTGTAGGTTTGATCCCAGCTCCCACCAGAGAAAGCTGCTGTCATGTCCTTGGGCAAGACACTTAACCCTCCTTGCCTGCTGCTGGTGGTTAAAGGGACAGGTGGCGTGACTGCTCGGCAGCCTCAACTCTGTTCATGCACCCCAGGGCAGCTGTGGCTACATTGTAGCTCAGGGTGTGAATGTGTGCATGTGTGAGTGGGTGGATGACTCATTGTGTTGTGAAGCGCCTTGGGGGGTTGTAGAACCCTAAGAAGGTGCTATACAAATACAGGCCATTTACCATAGATAGTTCTGCTCCTGTTTCTTTGCCTGAGCTAACCAAACTAGTTAAGGACTATGAAGACCTCTGCATGCATCCTCGACATCTTACCCTCATCTTTGTTTAAAAATGCTTTTCAGTCCATCGGTCCCAGCTTCCTGTCTATAATTAATGCTTCTCTGGTCTCTGGTCAGTTTCCTGCTTACTTTAAGAACGCTGTAATCCACCCGCTTATTAAAAAACCGAGTCTTGACCCCTCTCTCCATAGCAGCTTCAGACCCATCTCTAAACTCCCGTTCATCTCCAAGATCTTGGAAAATGTTGTGGCTAAACAACTCACAGCTGCTCTTGATGAACATGACATCTTTGACAGTTTCCTGTTTGGTTAAATAAAAATGTTCACATCTGTGTTAAAGAAGGGTTCACACCAGCTGTGTGCGGTTTACATCTACATGTTTTAATTAGGCTCTGATGTAAATGTTAGTGTGTCATCACACACTGGCATTTGAACCATCTCCTGCGGGAGCGGTAAGCTGCAGACACACAGCCTCGATTGGCAACTCTTTGGTGGTTTAACTAGGGATGCACCAATACCGATACTGGTATTGATATCGGTGCCGATACAGATACCGATACCAGTATCGGTATTGGTAAAAGTTAACCAATACCAATGGAGTTGCTTGAAAATGGCTTCACTGTAACTTGTCATTTTTGTTCACCTAATATTTTAGTTTTGTGATAATTTCTATTCATACATTTTACTTTTTGTCTACCTCAGTCTTTTCCTGTTGAAAGCAGAGAAGAAAATAAAACCTATATTCCAATTCATAGCATTTTTTTGTGTGGTAGAAGTATCGGTAATCGGTATCGGCGAGTACTCAGATCCAAGTATCGGTATCGTATCGGTTTGGAAAAAAGTGGTATCGTTGCATCCCTAGGTTTAACCCCCTACCAAACCCCTTAATGCTGAATGTCAAGCAGGGGAGGCACTGGGCCCTGTTTTTAAAGTCTTTGGTATGACTCAACTGTGGATTCAAACCCACAATCTCCCAGTTTCTGGGCAGATACTCAACCCACAGCATAAATGTTTTTTTGTTTTGAAAACAATTGTATTTTATTTTGAAAATACTCATCTAGAAGAGCACATTTCTGCTTATTATCATCTCACCAATGGGGCGCATGTGAAGCAATCATATAATAAAAGACACCAGATCTTTTGTTGAGCTCTGCCAAATACACACACGGTTCATGGTCCAGAACACACACACACCTGCATTCTGCTATAAATGTGACCCTTCTGTGGCCACCTCACAATGAAGTCTGGGCTAACTGATCTCAGAGCAGCCTCATTGTGTCTTGGGGTTACGCAAAGTTACAGCTGTCCAGTTGTGATCAGTTCATCACCCAAAACAAATGGCAATGAGACGCTTCAGATCTTCTCAGCCGTGGAAAAACATCTGCAGAGCCATCAGCTGTAGTAGTGAATGGCCTGATGGTGGGATGATGCGAATCATGTTAAAAACAGATAATCCTTCCAACTAAATAATTTTAATGAATTTGTATTTATTATCGAGATTAGATCATTTATAACTTATTGAATCATATTATAAAAATTTACCACCGAACCTCATTTTGTTCGACGCTTTGATTGGACACTTTTCTGATGGTGCAATGTTTTGTTTGTTCAGTGTATGTTGGTCTTATTTACATAAAACTCAAATGTTATCTGAAGTGGATGTTAGCTTTTTGTGACACTTTTGACTTGTTGTGGAAAACATTCAGATGAGATTTCATGATAATTCTTCTGGAAAAACGGGAAAAAAAAATACAAAATTAATGACGGGTAAAGGTTTGCAAAACAGCTTTTATTGATCAAAACCATTCTGGCTTTTTTGAAATTGGAAAAGAACAAAAAACAAAAAGCAAACCAATCAGCTGAAGCACCAGGTCTGTTCCTTTGTGCTCCAGCAAACTCAGACTGAACCAAAACAGTGAAGATTGTAATAAAATACCAAGCTTCACCTCCACGAAGCCCAAATTCAGAGAGGTTTATGGGCTGAGCCTCCAGCTGAGCTCTCACACTGACATTTACTGATGATTTCACTGCTGCCAAAGAAATCTCGTTCTTCTTTCCATATGCCTGACCTTAATAATTCAGTCAGATTTCATTTGGAGGGTGCTATTCAGCTGGAGAATTCACATTAAAGTTTAACCAAATGTCTCTCGGCCAAAGCAGCCAGTCAAACAAAATTTAGGAGACACCAGTCAGACACAAACAAACACATCTTTCTCCAGAGACGTCAGACCTGAGCTGAGGTATGACGTGGCCTGGAGCTGGTGCACTGACAGCGATTGGACGGCTGGGTTTATGGGCCGTTGTCTGGACGTTATTATGCACTGTTCAATAAATGGCTACACTCTGGAAATGTCTTCTGTATGAAAGCCAGCAAATGTCATAGAAAAACCATCATGCTACAGTTTTATTGTCAGATCTGTTGTCCCTTTTGATTTATTCAGGACCATTATTATTAGATCTGCCTGAGAGGAGCAGAATTTCACAGAAGAAAACTCGCAGCATGTGCAAAACGAGTTCAAGGGCTGAAATTAATTCCAACGAGGCTGATTGTAGCGCATACCAAATTGCAGGGCATTAAATTTGCATTTAAAATGAAGGTTTCTGTTTTTTTATCTGTTTTGTCAGGCATGACATCAGGGACAAACACCTTGTGGAGGAGAGCGTGCTCGAGAACTTGAAGGTCAAAGCTGACTTCCACAATTTCAAGCCGCGGCCCTTCAACATGCGGGAATTCTACGATCGCACGGGTCACGACATTAAAGACATGCTGCTGTCCTGCCGTTTCCACGGCACAGAGTGCAGACCAGAGGACTTCAAAGTGGTGAGTCTGTGAACGCCGCTGTGATCTAATGACTCTCGCAGTTATATTTTAGTGCTTCAGACCAAACATTTGAGTACTGGACAGCAAATATCTGTTGTTCTTTGAGCTTGTCGTAAAAATATGTGTTTTCGTCAGCAGTTCTAGTTTGATCAACTTCTTTTGATATTTACACAATGTTTGCGTCCAGCTCTCTGTGGTGTGATTGGTCGATATGTATCTACTTAAAAGAGAGAGATGAACTGCTGAAAGCCTCAGAAGCAGCCTTCCTATAGGTTCTGCATGAATCTGCATGTGTTCATAAAGGGCAATCAGACTATCAGTCACTCTGATTTTTTCATTATAAGTTTTGAACTTTGCGATTATTTAATTCCTTTGTGCGCCTGGGAATGACGTTGCACCTTGTTTGTTTGCGATTCTTCATTTTTCGATCTTGAATAATGAAAAGTTTCTTAAAAAGAAAAACCTTCTCTTTACTTTTTAAATCAATTCCTTGATGTTTCAACGTCACACATCTGCATCCGGATGGAGAAGCAGGGAATAGTTTGCATTCTGTCAATTTTAGTCCTTCTTCACATCTCACGGATCCAAAAAACAATGTCAATAAAAGCGTTTCTACATAAAACTCAACGTTTAATAAGTGTAGCGTTATGGGTTTATGCTCTTTTATGAAAGAGAAACCATGCTACGTATTAATTCGGAATATTAATTTTAATAAATAAATAACCAAATTTTATATTGTTCAGAAGACTCAAAGGTTGTTTTCATCCATAAACTGCCGATAATATCTGAGTGTCTGTGTTTCAGTTCAATGAGGAAACAAGTTTGAAGGATTAACAGTTTTAATTCTTCAAATTAAACTAATGATTTTGAAAATTGACAAACAGGAAATAACAATCACATTGGCAACTTTGTGGGACAATCTTTTAACAGTTTATATGCTGTTCTTGCTCAAATAGACCTTCTGGTGAATTTATGAAGATTGAGAATGTTGTGACATGAATGCGTGTGTGAGTCTGATTTTGCTTCAGGAAGAAACAGGTGTCTGAGTGAAGTGATGGTTTGGATAAACTTAGGTCTTATCAGAGAACTGCATCAAACGCTAAAACCGTGCTCTGTCTCACCGAACTCTTGTGGACCCTCTTTCGGATCCGGGCCGTGGAGGATGTTGTGGTTCATCCAGATGACACCGGCGGCTGACAGGAGACGTAGGTGTCGAACGGAACCGGTCCAGAGTTGCCCTCGGTACACGTGGATGGTGGAGCGTTTTATCGATGCGCTTTCTTAAGTTAATTCACTCAGAAATCAAAAGACTCGGTAATGAGTCTTCGTTAGAAGTCGCGATTCAGCTATTCTGCCTGGCTTGGCAGAAACAGCGTGAAAGGGGGGAAGAACGAGCCAACAGGCTCTGCCCCCCCTTTGGTTTTCAGGTCTGTTCTCTCTTCCCTTGTCCAACACGAACTGAATCATAAGACTGAAAACTTACCAAAAACCTCTCTTCTCAAAGCAAAACATGTGCGTCATCAAATGTGTCTGAAGTTTACTGTGGGCAGATGTGTGTGGGTGTGTGTGAATGTTTGTGTGCTTGAGTGTGAAGGTCAGTACCACACATTCAACATTATCTACTTAAGTGTGGATTCATTAATCCATTATAATTACCCCAAAGCATACTAGTCATTCATTTGATTAAACACATTTATAATGAGCAAAATGATAATGGTTATTTTAACATTAAAATCACGAAAAAGAAGTTTAAACTTTATGTTTTGACTTGGTCTGGGTACAACTTATGTAAACACATCTTCTGGTAGACTGCAGGTGGCAGATGTTATGGTTTCCTCCCAGACTCGCTGGCGTTCAGGTCTTAATCTGTGGGTGAAAGTTCTCAGCGACCCAGCTATGACCCAGCTGCGTCCAACACCACCATTGTGACAGAAAACCCATATTTCCTCACGTTACATTCCCCCCTTTTTGTGACGACATGGAGGTCAAGCAGAGGCCACCTGACGTCACAACCACAATAACGTGATGTACTCGTGAAGGTAGACATCCCAGATGAAGGCAGGAACGATGAAGCGTCTCCACAGGTCTCGTGTAGAAGGGAGTCTATCCTGATCAGATGATTAAGGCCAAAACTGTTGCAATCATTGTAAAGTAATCCACTTAGGGAATCTTGAAAGCAGAGCTATTTCAATAGCAGTTAATTCAATAGCAGTTAATTTTCATCAGCAATAATGCAAAGGTATTCAAAGGATAAGCAGCTCGTGTGTCACACGGAGCTGGGCAGGTGATGTGTTCCTCAGGCGTAGTCCAGGCGAAGTCCAGTGACGACCTCGACACCGCTCGAACCACGACCGAAGCCCCATGCGACAGGAAACCAGTTGAAGGATGGTGAAGACGACCCCTCTGATGGGATGTAGTCCATACGAGCTCAGAGAAGGAGACAAAGTGAGATAGCCCACACGATAGATAGCATTTGATGCAAAACAAAGAAATCAAACAAAACCTATCTATGGGTGCCTCTGGGAAAATGTGGATGCCTTTTGTGAATTATCTAAAGAAGAAATGTACTGCACCCTGTTCTACGTGTCATGTAAAAACGTGATGCAGAGAAAACACAAATAAAAGAAAGCAAATCCTATCTGATATGTGAAACTCCGCAGGCTGCACTTTCTCAAAGGCATACATATAAAGAAATAATCATGAAAATGACGGGCAAATTGGCTTGTGGCCCTTTAAGTGAAATAGTAACAAAATAAAATCAAATTTGTAATCAAATATAATCATGCTACACAAAGCACTAATAAAAAGATAGAGATGTAAATCAGTTCTAAAAATGTAAATCAGTAGGTTAGTAATCCCTAAAGATGTGAGTTAGTAACAGGACCCTGGCTGGAGGCAGGTAACCTGAAAAAAAAAAACCAAAGGATATCACATTTGTTAAAAATTCATCCCACAAACGAGAGAATTTGTAACGGTCCACCAGTCAGTGGAAAAGAATCCGGTCAGAATAGAGTCGGTCAGAATAGAGTTTTGAATCTGGTATTGCGGACCCACAGAGACACGAGTTTGGACGTATCTGTGGGAGCAGGCTCATAAGCGATTTGGTTATCAAACTGTTTGTATCTTGTGTTACGAACCCACAGGGAAACTTGTTTGAATTTACCTGAGGGTTCCGTTTGGAACTGGAGCGAAGCTGATGGTTTAACTGTTGGATCAGAACCTGATTTTACCTGCTCAAAGTTGGGTTGCAGCTTTACGGAGGCGACTTTGTTGTGATCAGAAATAGTAGTGAACTGGAAATGCGAAAATGATGCTCGCAAAGCAGGAGGAGGCTCTCCACCCCCCTTTTGTTGCTCAAACCTATGCCATGTCTGTGAGACAGGAGAAGCATAACAAAGAACAGTTCTTAAGCTCTTAAAAGCCCTAATACCAAGAAGATGCACAGCATCACCTGAATCGTGCTGAAAGAGTAGGTGTTCAGATGTCCAAAGACCTGGAGGTGTTGGACTTGGAGGTTCTGAAAAGGAGTGATCCAAGGATGGTTGTGTCACGGGTGTCAAAGCAAACCTAGCCATGTTTAGAATCAGATACAGACATGATGCTAGCTTTAGGAACATGGTCTGTCCTGAAAACTGAAGCCAAGAATACTTTATTCCCAAGAATGATGGAGGTTCCCACACAGAATCAGAAAAACCCGGTTTAACCAGAGTAGTTACAGACTGACTAGAACTCCGCCCCGTAGAAGGTGCAGCACCTAACTCCGGGTCGGAGGTCAATGTTGTCAGCTGAATGGGAGTAAGGTCAGTGTCGAGTTCTGCAATGACCCGCCCGCTCGGAGGAGGCGTTCCCCCGAACCGGTTGAAGTCCGCAACGGAAAACTCAGAGCCACTCAGCACCCCCCCTTTGTCAGGAGGGGCCCCGAGCAGAGCATCACTGCACGCACCTACACCTCCCGGGCCGGGTTGCCTTCCCGAGCCCGTGAGAGAGGTGTGCGCAGCAACCACCGAGCCACCTTTAATATCGCCACTGACCACAGGACTGCTGGAAACCGCAGGGTTTTCTGTGTCGTCGTGGTCACCTGTAAGAGAAATCACAGGAAAGAGAGCACAGAGGCCCGAGACTAAGTCACACCCCTGTGAAAGGAGAAAAGAATTGGCCACCGTATTAGCAGAGGTCACAAACTGAAAAGTGACAAGGTCATTCACATAAAGGTCAAGATGTCCAGGCACAAACCCCTTAAATGGCATGGTAGCTCCGTCCGGAGACCACAAGTGTTTCACGGCGGCTGACTTTTCCATCACGCCCCAATAAAGAAGCTGGTTTGTGCATGAGGCGGACTGACGAGTACAACAGACCTCTGACTGAAGCGGTGGGTCACATTCTGAAGATTTCACACCCATGCTGGAGAGATGGTCAGCCTCTAACATGGATGGATGACAGAGAAAAAGCATCAGGAACCCAAGGGTTAAGCACAACCTGTTTGTCAGAGAGGTTAACCATAGGCTCAAGAGATTTATTCAGCTTAAAAGTAGCAGAGAAAGTGTTGTTTATTTCAAACCTTGATGTTGATGGTGGGTTTTTTGACCCCCTGGAAGAAATAAAAGTAAAGAAAAAGCGTTATGACTGTAAACAGCATGTTGCATGAATTCACGTCATGAATTGCAGACCAGAACCACCTCCGACCCCGAGCAGCTGGCACCGAACCGCAGCCACTAGTCCCCACTGCTCCCGACCGGCGGCACCCGCCTAAAACGGGCCCGTTCGGGCGGGCGGAGGGACCAGCGATGCTCGGCCGGTGAACAGTCTCCTGCGTCATGGCATGTTCTGGAAGCAGAACGTCAGAGAACCTTACACCAGGTGTAACAGTGCAAGAAAGATTTTGTCGTGTCTCGTCCATCTCCCATTAAGTTCAGAGCAACTCGCGTTTTTACCTTCTGAGCCGACGTAAAACTCCGGGCAGATTCCTTAATATGTCTCACACAAACAAGGACTGTCCGTAG